CTCGCACCCTCACAAAGGGGCTTGCGCCCCAAGGGGCCGTCCATAAATGACGTCACGCGATTTTGGCCGATTTTTTACCCCCTCTCCCCCCCTCGTCACACGGCGTCACAAAAAGTCAGAACCCCTCATATGACGTCACAAAGCTCTGCCCCCCCTCCCCAAAACCATATTTCCATTTTGAAAATAAAACATGCTTCAAATCACTTTAAACTATTGTCATTGTAGTGCGTATTTAATGTGGTGATGTACTCTGATGTAGGAGAAAACATTTATTAAAAAGGCGTTGGAAAGCTGAAATTTAGCATAAATTCACTTGAAAATATTCAACGTCTAACTGAAACTGCAGATGTTCAGAATATTATATCTAAATTCTCTCATAATCATAAAATATTAAAAGTAATTATAACTATAAAAATACTTGAAACTTTGTAGTAGAACGAAGCAAAATGGAGAGTACAATTATAACAATCACATTCATTTCACAGAATGGACGGCCCCCAAGTTAATAAAGCCTGCGCCTGGATCTGCTGAGATTTCTGATTGCTTTGTAATTGCATTGAGAGGTTTTAAAAAATAGGAACACGTGCATCAGAGAGTTAATGTATGTACATTAGATAATCGATTATGCGGGGGCTTCGGAGGGAAGGGGGAGCGCCGGATAATCACTTCTAACGATCATTAATTATCTTCTTTGGTTCTTTCGGTAAAGTCACGTAGAATGAGAATAAAATAATAAAATAAAACAATAAAATTCTAACGATCATTAATTACAAAAGCTTATTTTTGCACATTCTTGCAGAACAATTTTCTTAGGTGTTGTGTGCATGTTTTATTAGAGTTTCCAATGTGTTTACTGTTTGAAATTGGTACCGATAAATACGCATACAAATAGACAATAATCACATATCCTACCGTAACAAATTATTGCATCTACTGCACCGTTTGCGCCACTCAAATCTCGAAGACTGTGCATGGGGTGTTGTACATACCACTACGCTCTTGTTTCAATAACTTGATGTGTTTGACAATCGCCGGACTGGGTTACAGCCTTCGGAGCGGTTTTGCTGGTTTCGCCGGATCGGCCCGAGACTGCCGGATAATGTTGTCGATGATCAACTGTATGTATAACTTATTTTGCACCGTACTTAGCCAACCGTGCTAACCGAAGGTGTCGAAGGAGAGAAACATCGTGCCTTCCGACCTGTTCACGGACAGAACGCTTAATTGATTAATTAGTGAACGAATTAATTAATTAGTGAACGAATTAATGCATGCTGAAGGCATTTCAAGTTGCTAAGAAAGTACAACGTGGGGTGGGGGGATTGGGCAGAGGCCAAGTCACGAAATGGAATTGTGGCCCGCTGGTCGAGAATGAGTGGCAAGCCACGTGTAACAGCTGTTGTGTTATTGCCTACTGTGAAGTTACACGTGAAATTGCGTTTCTGCAAAGTGTTCGTTTTGTGTCTGCCGTGGTGTGCCTTTATGGGCGCCGCGGTAGCGGGATGTTAACTGCCTCGCATGTTACATGTCTACCCTGACGCCTGTATATTTGGAGTCTGCATGTTTCACTCCCCATTGTTCGTGTGGCTTTTTTCTCTGGGTTTTTTCGGTTTTTCCCCTCCACATTTAGAAACACGCGTTTAGAGCATTTGGTTGCTATACATTTCCACGGCCAATTGGTTGAGCCATCATTTTGTGGCCAGATCGCTTCTGAAAAATAACTATATAGCTCATTGGGCCTTATATGATGAAAAAAAGTTTAAAATATTTTTTTAATAGAGAAAGATCCATGACCTTACAATATGTCCACATGTGTTTGCCCCGGAATTAAACTATTGGACGTCTTTGAAAAAGAGCTTTACAGTTCATTTATTCCTCCAATAGATATAAAGATTTCCCTGGAAGGCTCTGAGTTCTATCCACTGAGAAAAGTAGAGTTGATATTTCTTAAAGCTTTAAACTAAAGGATTTCCATTGGCTGCGAAATTTTAACTGTTGAGATTTGCCAGTGTTAAATCATGCTAAATCAGTGTGATGTGCATTAAAAGTCAATAAAGACCAGCTTAATATTTAATTATTGTACCTAAAAATAATTGCAGTTATCAATGTTAATACTATACAGATGACAGAGGACGCATTACCTTTGCGTTAAAATGTTCAACATAATGCGTAGTGAATATATACATTTTTAAAAAACGCGGAGAGTCAAGCGAATTACAAATCAATTTACGTGAAATCTAACGTTCGGAGTGACACAACATCGTCGCGCGAACGGGGACCTTGGGCATGATTCACGATCGTGCATGCAGATGCCGACGCATCGACAGAGGCGGTTCGTCGTTGGAACGCGGGTGCGTCCGCTCCGACCTGCCGAGAATGCGGGCACAAGTCCCGCATGAAAATGGGAAGCTGGAAACACGACGCAATTTACCATCTGCACACGTGGTCTTCACTAATGTTCAGAGGGGAACGGTGGGGTGGGGGGGGCACTTTCTCCGATAAGACACCATCAGTGAGAGGGCCTCCACACATTTGAAACCATTGGGGTTTGATAGCAGCACGATGATGATGATGATGGGGGGGATGTTTTCACTTTTTGCGTATTGTCGGGGGCAGCACGTCAAGGGGCCCCACTAAAAGCCACCAGTGGGCCCGTGGGCCTTGCAATGAAGAACACTTTTTGATGTACACAGTTTCCTCAGCTGCTACTGTAACATACATGCCTCATCTGCCCTTAATTGCATTGGCAGATCATAGCCCTCCTCATGGCTTGGTAGCTATTTCAACTATTTCAGCATCATCCCGTTTGTTGTCCTTCCCCCGCCGCCACATGCGATCAGCATGGTTGGCTACGTACGATGCGGAATAAGCTCAACATACACATGCTGTTTCGTTTGATCGTTATCTACGTGCGGAACTGTGTGTTGAACTTCTGTCGCACCGTACGTAGCCAACCGTGCTGAGTGGAGGGAGCGTCGGGGAGAAGGCTGCCGTTTGGTGCCTGGCCGAAGTGACGGACCCTCGGGTGGTTGCACCGAGGAATTGAAACCCGTCCCGAGAGAGGATGCCCATCGGGGAGACGGGGCAATGAAATCAAGAAGTGCGCAGGTGCGAGGCGGATTGCTGCGTTGCCCAATAACCACGAGATGGCAATGAACATGGGAATGCCTTTCGTAAACTAGCAGTGAATTAATATTGGCTGAGGATCACGATGACCTATTGACAGCCTGAAAACGAGCAGCAAAAAAGAAGCCTTAGTGTCTACCAGCGACTACTGACAATAGCCTGTGTTAAATAATTAATTTGAACGTCACTTGTTACTCAACATAAGTTATCACCATCCCATAGCAGCAGGCCTCGCCGAGCCAGCTCGTCCCAACTCGAGCATGACAAAGCATTCCTGACAATATTTTTTTAAAAAGCACTGTACATCTTATCTCCAGAACAGCTGCTTCGCACGTGTTTGTGTGTCTGTGGCCCATTTATTTTTTGGCTCTTAATTTGTTCGTGGGATTTTCCCTCTTCCCCCCCCTCCCTACACCCCCCCCCCCCCGGCTGTCAACGCACACAGATGTATCCGGACGGTTTACAGTACTCCTCACCGTTGCGTAAGCGTTGTAATGTCCAAAGCCATTTGGGGGTTGCTCACTTAGAAACCACCCCCCCCCCCTAGCCCCCACCGAACAACCCGTGAATTATTAATCTACGAACAATTTCACACCAGCGTTACACTTTGCACGTTCCACCCGGCTGGGTTAGCACGGTGTCGCATCGACAATAAAATGTGACGAGACCGCACAGCGGTGTGGGTGGGTGGGTTAGTGGGTGGTGGGTGGGTTAGTGGGTGGTGGGTGGGTGGGTTAGTGGGTGGTGGGTGGGTGGGTTAGTGGGTGGTGGGTGGGTGGGTTAGTGGGTGGTGGGTGGGTCGGTTAGTGGGTGGTGGGTGGGTGGGTTAGTGGGTGGTGGGTGGGTGGGTTAGTGGGTGGTGGGTGGGTGGTACGGGGCTGGGGGACACGATCTCGCGGTGGCTTCTCACCGCTCAAATCCCAGCTTCAACCGTTTTATGATGCTTCACAACTTTTTTTATTTAATATCGAACGCGACATCATCAGAGATGGCAGCGATGTACTGTTAAGCTGGCGATTAGGCACAAACCCCATTTCCCTTTTGCTGAGATTCAAATATCCTGTGGCCACTCCACTCGAGCAGAGTTATTATGACTTGCATGCGTATTTTTTGCAGCAGTTGAGATTCTGTTGGGTGGAGGGAGGGCCTGGGTGGATACATAAAATAATGCAATAATGATCATTTCTAGTCCTTTGTCTTGTCATGTCAGCGGTTTTGGTGAAGGGAAGGGGAACTGGTTCAAATGTCATTTAACTAACTTTTTATTTTATTTTTCCAGATAAGGCGCACTGAGCTATACCGAATAGCTCTTTTTCAAAAGGGACCTGGCCACAAATCAAAGCTCAACGAAGTTGCTTATCATGTGGACATTTAACGTAGCCAAATATTTGCCACTGATTCTAGCCATGGCCAGGAATTGAACTGTACTTCTGTTGCACCCTCTTGGGTGGGCATAAGCCCCCCCCCCCCTTAATGACCAACAATTCCCCTACTAGCTATCAGAGGCAACGCCTTTGGGTGGCTGGGAGTACTCTTAAGTTCACGCTACGTACTGTATGTCATCACGGCCATTGCCGCCACACTTCCTTCTGCCAGATCTTGCAGCGGTTACACAATAGACAACTGACCCCCAAGGTCTGCTCTGAGTCTCCCACTCAGGGAGTTATACATTGAGGGTGTGTATGTGGGTGTTGTATGTGGGTGCTCGATCCAGTATTAGTGCCCCCGTTGATGCCCGTATTGCCGTTTTAAAATTACCACTGGTTTGTAGTCATGGAGATATTGTTTCACTTGTTTTTGCCGTAGTCAATGAAACTGACTTTCAGATGACTGACTTTTCACGTTCGTACATTTCATCGGTAACAACTAAATGATTTCCGGATGTGACATTTTTTATTTGCACAGTTTATTCCAGTTTCATTCACGGACCACGGGATAATATTTAGGACGTAAAGGTGAAGGAAGTAAAAAAAACTACATGCGATTGACCGAGCTTTAAAGGCACATTTACGTTAGTTCACATTTCATTAACCATATTAACAGCGGTGGCAGATCCAAACCGACGGTGTGACCAGCGGTGCCCCTACAATTAACTGCGAAGAACTCGATGGCCCATCACCCGAAGTGTGTCATCACACGCGCTGATTAACCGACACGACTGGCATGCAACGTCTAAGTGCAATGCATGACAGCTCACCGAAGGCAGGTGGGCGGCTCCGAACAGAGGGGCCGCGATTTGAGGTCTGGAGTATTTTTAAGCTGGTGACCCTCTAGTTCAGGATTTTAAATGCCGGGCCACGTGCATTTGCTCGGGCGTGGACAAACGCGCACATTCTCTTGCGGGGCGAGGGGGGGGGGAGAGAAAGAATGGACGTAACACAGAGAAGGGATTTTGCTCTGCCCGATGTGTGTTTAATTTGTGCGATGTCCACCACTACCCAGTGAGGTAACTTATCACCATCATCAATCATCGTCACCATTATCAACACCACGGTCATCGGCATCCTTATTTAATGCGTGATTCACAGCACAAGCTTAATCAAATATTTGCGAATGTGCTTTGAATTTTCAGGCTCGGATGTCATAAATGCAGATGAACGTGGTTTGATTTTCAAGCCAAATTTCCAGGAACCGCAGGAAAAGTAAGAACAAAAAAACATTGTACAAACCGCCGCTGTATGAACACGACAAAGACACAAATGACAAATTACAGCCGTGTGAAGTGCCCCACTATTCAAACTTTTGACTTTGAAATACCAAAGTCAAAAGTATGAATAGAGAAAAGGAACTGACAAAAGATAAAATGGAATTTACGTTAAATCGGACCAGAGACATTAAGTATTCCTTTTTGTTTTATATATAGCGTCCTTCATGCAAATTGCATCCAATAATCGTTGAGGACCCACCCGACAAGCTTGGAAGGCAGGTAGTTATCCGACGCCAACAATTACCCAAGCTCTGCAGTCCTCTCTATGTCGAGATATTTTCAGCCAATTAATCCCGTGTTCATGGCACGTGGGAAGGACATCGAAGCACCCGGAGAAAACCCACGCGTGTGCGAGGGGGCAACAGTCTATCCTGCACGGAAGGGACAGATGATATTCGTCCTCGCTTTTCTCTCTACCACCTTCTCCTGGCAAGCCAGGGTTATGGCACCTCGACGCTACGGGAAGGGACATTTGTTCGATCCACCAAATCTTGCCGCTGCGGTGCTGGATTACAGGCGTGCACAGCCACCACAGCTCCAACGCAGTATATCGAACCGACGAAAGCACTCGACTTAGAAGCAAACAAAATACAAATTCCTCGCAACAAAAATTTCATCCTCGTTTGAAGTTTTTTTTCTGACGATTCAGATTTTTTCTTTTTTAAATACCAACTGGTCACCACGGAGTGACCGATGTGCCTACATGTTCATGAGGCATTTTGGGTGTAGTTCTCATGGCGACAAAGGTAATTGAGACATTATTTCACACCGAGTCAACTATAATTTAATTTGCAGTCTCGTGAAAGGGAGTAATCCGAGACCTTTTGGTCGAGTTTAAGGGATGACTGTACTGATAGGTCCCACCTGTATAATACTATATTCGAAAAAAAGTGTTGATGGCTGCCTGCCTGGCTGGCTGGCGTGCAGGTCACGACAGTGAACATCAGCGTAATGACGTCACCCACATCCCACAGCATTAAGGGCTGCCCGTGAGTCGTGCTGACAACACGCCTCCCCTCAGCACCCCTTCCGCTCCCCTTCCGTTCCCCCCCCCCGGCCCCCCTCCGTCCCCCACCCTGTACCTCATCCCTGTATCCCACGTAAATACGCGGGCAGTGCTAGTTTTGTAAAAAAAAAAATTCTGTCATTCTATAGAGCAAGAAATTGAAATTTTACTTCCTGTATTTATGGAAAACCGTAATTTTCCACATTGACAGCATTTTTTGGGAATAGAAATGTAATTGAGGACTTCAACATATGGAAATGTGGAGTGAATCATTTTTAGGATTCTCTGGATGTTATCGCTGAAAACGGTTGCGCTCCATCTTCTACAGTGTTCACAAATCCCACCCAAAGTCTTCCCCTCTCCTTTTCAGACACGCGACGTGATGTCACACATCCCCTGACAAACAAACCAAGGTCTCTTGCTACGTTCGACGACCATCTCCTGTCACGGTAAAATCCAATTGCGTATGTTTTTGTCATGTTTCTAAACGATAAAACGGAACATGGTTTTAGTTTTGCTCTATGAACCTTAGAGGCATTATGGCCGTCTAATTCGATAAGGTGCTCCGAGCAACAGGTGATAATGCCTTCATAAAATTGAGGTGGCTTTGACTATACACCGTGTCCTTTTCCTTCCATTAGACCTTTGAACCTAGTGGGCCAAACAATCCTGCTTGATGCAAAAGTAGGAAAAGCTTCGAACACCAATTATGAGGACACTTCAGCCTCCATAATAAATGCTGGAGACACACAAACAGTTCGGGAGATGCTTGAGGAAAAGCGATGGGTTTAACCCACACCCATCGCTGCGAGATTTGCGCAACTTCGGACAATGCCGAGGTTCAGTTCTTAGGGTCACTTGTGGAGAATTCCTCGAGCGAGCGCCGTTCAAATCGACGGGGTCAAATCGTGCCGCAGCCACTGCCGCCTCCGCTGCGCTCGCACGAGAGCCACCTGCCACGCACCTCCCATTAAGTCCACGGCAGCAGCAGCAGCAGCAGCGTAAGCTCCACGCCGCGGGGGGAGCGTCGATGATCCCCAGCGGTCACGCCTCGGAGGAAGAGCTCTGACGGCCAACCTTGCCCCTCACCCCGTTGGCCGCGCCGTCGCACAGCTCCAGCCCTCCCGTGCCCTCGCCGGCGGGCAGCCTCGGCTTGGTGATCGTGCCGTTTGGCGGCGGCGGCGGCGGCGACGACCTCCCCGCCTGGCACGGGCTCGTGCAGAACGCCAGCAGGCCCACGCACACGGCACCCAGCACGATGCCCAGTGAGCTGATGCCGATGATGCTGATGAGCACTAGGTCCAGGCTGGTGTACGCCGACTTGGGGCCCGGCGTCGGGGTGGGCGGCGGCGGCGGCGGCGGCGATGACGACGACGGTGGCGTTGTTGGCGCCGGGTGCCGGCGTGGCGATGAGGACGTGCTCCATTTGCCCGCTGCGCCGGTTCGAAATTCGGGCACTCTCGCGAGATCTGCGGTGAGCAAGCGGGTGGTGTAGGGGCAAAGGGCAGGCACGCTGGAGCGGTCAGCACCGTGTGGCGATTTAATTATCTATTTATACACTTAGCCAGCCAGTAACGGATAATGAGGTGTTTTTTTTTTTATGCCACCATGCCACTATCAAGTACTGGGAATTAAGGTTGAAGCCAAAATAATCTCAATGGTGTCTCGGTATCACTCTGTGAGCCTCGGGCATTAGTTCTTAATCAGCCTTCGTGTGACTCACTGAGCCTCAGGCATTAAGGCTGAGCCCGAAAAATCATAAATGTATCGAAAGGTGACTCTCTGTGCGGTACTCCCTGTCCAAATTCCGCCCCCACTGCCCTCCCCTCACCTCTTGTAAGTCCGGCAGCTGGGCCCCGATGGCCCAAGGCCTCAAGTGCAATCGCACCGCTTGCACCCTCCATGGCTACGCCGCTGCTGCAGTGCTACGAGCAGGAGGAGCTTTAGAGGCTGCATTTTGCAGTGCTCTTCTAAAAAAAAAATCTATATTTGTTCTACTTTGCAATGGTTGATATGCAATTCAGCAGCACTATGATACATCCTCAAGTTTAGTAATTAGATCCACAGCATCACTATGTGTGTTATTATCGGTTATGTTGCCTCATGGTGCACCTAGGTTGGCACAAACGCCGTGGTGACATCACCACCGCTTGGTGGCGAACGGTGGCGGCTGTTGTGAGGTGCCGAAATTAAAACAGTTCTGTTATTTTTCGCTTTGACTTGGGTTTACAATTCCTATTTCGCATTTAAAAACCAGAACTGAATTAAACAAGGTGAATCACAACGGAGTGGGTGGCATCGGGCATGGGTGGTGGTAAAACAATCGAGGGGGGGAATTTACATAAACAAACTGGGCTCCCCACCAATACTATAAAAGCCCCAGCCTCCCATTAAACTTAATCCGGCTCTGGCTTTGAGAGCTTATGAAAGCAGAGTTCTTGTGCTGACACGCGACAACTCGTGCCCTCACCGGCGGTGCTGTCGGGGGGTGATGTCGCCTGTGGTCTCGGCGCAAGTGTCGTCAGCGACGCTCCTCGCTCCCCGGAGCTATGCTCCGACAAGACGTCCTCCCCGGAGCAGCCGTGCGGCCATTCGCCATGGGGGCAAGGGGGGCCCGCGGGACCCTCGCTGGACGAGACGTTCCGGCGCGTGGGCGGCTCAACCCAGCCTGGTGTCGGAGCACAATGGACGGGCAAAAGGTCACGGCTTTGCCTGGAGCGGTCGGGTGGATCGGGAGATTAGATGGGTTCAAATCTAGGGTTTAGCCCCGTGTGTGCTGAAACTGGGTTCTCAAGGTGACCTCGTGGCTCAAGAGTCAGAGCACTGAGCTAGCACCGCTGAAATCCTGGGTTCCAAACCAGGCAGCGAAGCTCAGCTAAGCTCAGCTGCCTGTGCTTCAACTGGTTTATCAAGTGTCGTGACATGCCGGTCTCAGACCCGTCACCAATGGCTGGAAGAGAAAAAAAACCCAATCATGTTAAGTTTGGTTCTGTGCTTAAGTTGGCAACATATTTGACTATCGTGCTATGAGCACCAAAATTGTAGCAGATCGTGTCGAAATTTGCGTCCATAACATATAAAATAACGAGGCAACTTGAAAGGTGTTTCAGAAGTAGATCTGTGGAAATTTCTTCCGCAGACATTTGCTTACCATGTAACAAACATGCTTGTGTAGAACAGTGGGTGGGAAAGTGTGCATGAGAGTTCACTTCAAAGGATCTCAGAAGTAGGTCTATGATATCTCCTTCTGGGCTGTCTTTTTTAAAACATGGGGTGGGCGCACTGTTCTGCGAGAGTTCTGAATGGAAATGTATCATTATATTATATGATGCCTACAGCAGGATATGAAGAAGAAAATAAAACAGATTCTGAAAGAGAACACTGCTTTTGGCAATCAGGTTGTGGACATAATAAGCCAATTGCACATCAAGGTTGTTCATTGTTTGCAGGGCCTTGCGAACAAATGCAACGTTTGCTGAGGCTTTATTTATTAACCTTATAAGATCACCAATTATATACCAATTGTGCTATTAGAGTAATATTTAAAGGTTGGGCGGGGGGGGGGGGATCCATCTGGTACAGTCAGTGAAGACACACCAAGTGAATTTCCACCAAACATGAACTAACCCTTGTTGGATTAAGTTCTTACTCTTTGGTTCTATTCGGTAAAGTCACGTAGGTAAAAATAAAATAACAAAAATCACGACGTTTCGGCCACAACACAAGTGGCCTTCATCAGGTGAAGGGACTGGACTGTCCAGAGGACAGCGTTGGAGTGAAAACAGCTTAAAGGACGCAACCTGGGCTTGCTGTTTTCACTCCAACGCTGTCCTCTGGACAGTCCAGTCCCTTCACCTGATGAAGGCCACTTGTGTTGTGGCCGAAACGTCGTGATTTTTTGTTATTTTATTTTTACCTACGTGACTTTACCGAATAGAACCAAAGAGTATGGATCCTTTCAGTCACGAAAGCTTCAAATCTAGGATCAAGTTCTTCTCCATTTGTCACAATGAGCGGGTTTATGAATATTCCACATTTCTATTACAGGTATCAGTTATAATAACGATCATAAACATAACGTCCATTTATCAAAGGCATCCTCACCGACTCTCAAGCCTCTTTTTCATTGGGATTTTTGGCCAATAGTGTTCTCCATTTGGGAGTAAACTGGAATATCCAGAGAAACCCCACACGTATGAGGCTATCGCACTAAAAGTTCTGCACAGATTAGTTAAATAACTAATTTTCTCTACTGCCAATCCCTGAGCCACCATACACAACCTGGCGGGTTTGGGAATTTCACATATATCTCTGTGATCCACCCACCCTTGCCCACAAAAGCACTGCATCACAGGTGGCACCACCATGCTCAGTAAATCCATGGGACAATCACTGCCAAATTCCCACAGAGTGGCACGGATTCCAGCGACCCCGGAGAGAGGAAGGACTGAGTTGACCTCCCTGACCAGGATTTTGTCTTGCAACCTGCCATTTGGGAGCCACATGCTCCAACAACAGGGCCACTCGGCAATCGGAGGCTTCCAGAGACCCCGGGGCTTCCAGGGGAATGAGTCGGTGACCCCCCATGTGCAGCCACCACAGGGTTTTGACTCCTTGGCAAGGAGATTTTATATCTCCGACAGCCGCTCGCCGATGACGTCAATGAAGGGATGAATTGCCACGAATCGGAGGTTACGATTTAATTTAAAAAGTGATTATTTTTAATTAGTTTTTAGTGTCTCCTTTGTTGACTTATTCTTGTGTTATTCATTTGCGCAGTTTTATTCTCTGCAAAATCATAAATACCCGGCGAGGGAGCTCAACGGTAGGCTGCAAATCCTAATCCTGGTTGGGGTTTCACTTAACCAACAATTCCTTTGGTTTGATCAAGATAAGTACCACTTTTTTTGGGACGTCCAGAAGTGATGAGTCTATGGATAGACTCACCCCTGTCATAGGAATGGAAAATGTTCAACGCTGGTCAGGGCTGCAAACGGGAGATAAACACCGCCTCAGTGCTCACTGAGCGGGGAATCGCTTTCAGATTTGTTTTTGTTTATTGTAAACATAACATTTGCATAAACATTGCATATAATTTTCACACGTAGTAAATAAATGATTCTAACATGCGTGATTCTGTGAATGTAGTGTGAGCGTAAGAATCAATGCAACGACCATGACAACCAATGTGGTACTGTACAAATTAGATTCCAATAAACCGCTAAAAAAATCTATAATTGGATACGTGTGTGATCTATATTTTTTGTTATCTGCTTGTTGATCAGATCACACCATGAATGTTTAGCACCTGCGGAGATGTGTCGACGTATTATCATGAAGTTAATCCAAACTACTGCAATGAAAAAAAATACACTGTTACCCAAGACTGCACCAGCAGAGGGCGGAAAAGTGTCAGGGTCATCAGCGATACATCGGGGGCCATCCATTTAGTAGACACGCAAAAATCTGTCAAAACTTGACCCCTCTCTCCTCCCTGTAGGCACGCGTACTTTTTACACCCCCCCCCCCCCAATCATATAGAACGGCCGATATTTAATCCACGCAGAAACGATAAAGGATTAATAATATTAACGTGTTTAAGCAAACAGATAATCCACCGCCAAGCTATCTAACTAATTTGAAGGCCAATGTAGACGAATTATTATCGAGGCTTCACCACCCACCCCCCACCCCCCGTTTCCTATGCGTACGAACATTGTGAGTAGACCCCCCATACGCAAGCGTACGCATTTGGGTTAACCCCCTCCCCCCTCCATGCGTACGTACCAAATGGATGGCCCTTAGACAGCTGCGAATCCACTGCTGGATAAAGGCCTCCGTGTGCTCTTATGGTAGTGCGTGGTGGTTGTTTGACCATACTTCACCACGCTGGTCAGTGGGGGTAGGTGATGCACGGGAAGTTCACAGCACAGCACAGCGCTAACTAACCACTGCCGTGGGCATTGCCCGGCACAAAAAAACGCTACCTGATAAAAAAAAAACGGTCATGTAACGAATAATCAATAATTTAATTGCATTCGTAAATCCGTGATACGTGTATTCTTTTCAATGCACGCGATTTTACGAAAATCGTTCCTTCAGGGCAATGGTTGCAGCAAACGAGACCGTTTTCTAACGTGGTAGTAGCCTGGTCTCCTTCCCCATGCCGCTCATTAAAGTCCAGGCAGTCCCCGGGTTATGGAAGGGTTAGGTTCCCGAGAATGATCCGTAATCCGACTTTAACAATTCCCCCCCAAAATCAACGATAAAATCCCATAGGCGGAAATAGTTTTGCCTTCCCGACCCAATTACGAGTTCGTTTTCTCTCAGTACTTTATCACGCTATCGCCTGTTTTCTATCGCGACCTGCTGTACATACGCTCTGCACTTCCTAAGATTCTTTCATTTCGTCCAATATCTACCCAAACACTACCCATAGTTAAACTAATGGAACATATACTGTATCCATAAAACAAAAAATTACGTAATGTTGCAAAATGGACAAGAATTACGTAACGTTACCAAAAAAATTCGATTGACCTTAATCCTAGCGAAGCTCAGGCTCGGTGGAGCGAGGCGTAAAGTGGGCCGCCTTACACCTCGCTCCGCGGTATTCATCTGCAATCTCACCGCGCTGCACTATTTGCGCTTACCTAAGTAACGCAAAAAATTCCGCATACTGAATTTTTTGCCAACACGATTTATGGGGGCATTTCCGTCAAGTCGTATTTCCGTAAGTCGGGTCATCCGCAACCAGGGGACTTACTGTACCTGGTGGCCACATTACCCACTGCAGAAACCCCCAGGAATGTTGAGACTCAAAGTTAATATTTAATAATCATTCAGTACAGTTGGTATTACCTACAATGTATACACCTATAGAACAAGGCTATCTTTCGATTTAAAGCTTTCGTGACTGCAATGATTAATCTTCTTTGGTTCTTTCGGTAAAGTCACGTAGAATGAGAATAAAATAATAAATTGATAAAATAAAATAACACAATAATATTCTCACAACACAAGCGGCCGCTTGTGTTGTGGCTTTACCGAAAGAACCAAAGAAAACAAGGCTATCATTAAGGTTGTTCATATGTTTTATAGACCGGCAAAGTCAGAGGCGATGTTACCCAGATACTTTTCCCAATTCAGTAACCGTATTCCCTCGTCATTCGCGAGGGATGCATTCCGGAGATGCTCGTGAACAGCACTTGTCGCGGATAATGACACTGGCCTACGAATATCGTACGCGCAGCGTCCGCAGATGCTTCTAGCGCTTCGAGAAGTTCTCTCTCTATCGTGCTCATCTCTTTATCTCATCATGTTCTCCTTCATCGCTTTATTTCATCACTTTCTCACATCACATCATTCTCTCTCGTCACTTTATCTCATCACTTTCTTTCTCTCTCTCGATGCAGTCGTGTAGAGTTCCAGATGCGATTCACGCATAGCCAAAATCGCGGATATCAAGATTGTGAATAATGAGGGAATACCGTAAATTGTGGCTATTTTCAAAAGTGACAAATCTGGACCATGGTGCCGGCGCACACATGACCCTACTCGTCTCCGAATGACGTCAAGGAATCTCTTTGACGTCCACTGTGATGCAGACGACACGGCGCTCACGCGCTAACCGCTCGCTCGGTCTCACGTCACCACTCTCAAGTTAAATCAACAGAAATACTGTTACTACTATGGTTACTTGGTTCGAGATTCGGCAGGACGTCTTACCGGGCAAGGTGCATCCCAGCAGCTCGAGCCGGAGGCCTCCTCCTCCGGCTCCCCAGCGCTCGGGATAGAGGCGCACGTATCGTGCCGTCACCACCGGGAACCTTCGCACCTCCGGCATGTCCCAGTTGGAGTTCCCGTCAAACTGCTGCCGGTGCAAAGACACAAGCGACAAATTGCGAAACAGACGAACAAAAAACATCAGCGAAATTGAACGAGTGGGATGACGCAAATTTTTTCCTTCTCTCTCTCCCTTGCGGACTGCCGTTCTGCTTCAGATCGTGGGAAAGGAATGAGGCCTCCGATTTGAAAAAAATGCCGAATGCGACTATCTGATGCAGACCGTTTCACGAGTGGATTTGTATGCAGATTGTAAAAAAAAAAACTTTCATTGTAGGCGTGGAAAATGTGATTTTCCGCTTCATTGCCCATTTAATGCACAACACACCAAACTACACTTGCCTTTTGTGTTACAAGCTATTTTATGCTCATTTTGAATGTGAACACCGATTGAACTGCTACAGTGACCGGAGCGAGCTCTTTAAACATGGTAGAAACGTAACGCAATACCACTTAAGTGTCCTATCGTGTACACATCCACGGAGAGGGTGGCTGGTTTCATAAAGTCTGGCTTGCACCACCAGACCTCATGGCGCAACAAGGATTGCCTGACATCTGCTGTAACTTAAACATTAAAAATCCTGTGACACTATCGGCAAGAGCAGGCTATTATTCGTGCACCAGTGTAACAACCTGAGTACTCATATTACCCGCTATTACAATCTACATTTTTTGTTTTCATCTGTTGAGAATTCCTTGCTGAAGAAACATTCGAAATGCAATGGCAGCAGTTTGATAACCACCGATTCATTGAAATACATTTCTCCTTCTAACCATCAACACTGCGCGCCACCAAGATGGCCGATTTGAAAATGGCGCCGGAGTCTTCGGTGATCGCGGCGTCGATTCGGCTCGTTCGGGGATCTATTCGGTGGCTTTGCCGAGCCTGTGGTGTTGCGCCTGCAGGCGCGTTTTCGGAAAGAGGACACTGTCCATGTGTGGGATGTGTCCTAGCTTTGCCCGTCTCGGGGTTTGTTTTTGTGAAAGATATTTTCCCAATCTTTTACACAGGTGTGGATGTTTAACTTTTTTCGCACCGTACACATCCTGACTATGCTATCACCATCATGACATGGAGGTTAAGCATCCATTTTCAAGCTCTCAGAGAATTGACCACAGAAGCAGATATGATCCTTATGGCGGTACCCCGGGGTACCAAATAATACAAAATGGCCGAGGCAATTAAATATTTTATTTCTGCGACGCTATTTTTTTTCCAGGGCTGTACTTAACTCCGTGACTGGGGTACCAATCAATCCGAAATCAGTGCTACTCCGCAATGTCGAAACGCAGCGAGGACGAATTGCGCTGAAACCCTGAACGGACAAGCTGCTCAAAGCCCCCCCAAATGCCCAAGGAGTTCACTCTAAATGGCGGGCCTTTTCCACCAGCAGTGGCGTGAGAAGCCAAATGCAGGGCCTCCGCCTTTTAACTCATCTTCGGGTATATTTGATCACATTTCACTCCGCTGCTCAGTGCGCATTGGTGTGTTTATCCAGCTCTCTCTTGTTTTCCCTAAAAAGGGAATCTGATGCCACGCTTTGGAGGACGAACACAACCAATGACTGCCCGGTTTCCCTTCGGCTTCCTGTGGTTGGCGGGAAGCCCTGTGAATTCCTGCAGGAACGGGAGGAAGGAAGCGACCGGACCTCAGCAGCTCACGCCCTCACCATTTCAAGAAGCCGTCTCTCCCTCTCGCACCTGACCCCAAAGGCTTTTAGTATCCCCCCTTTTGAAGAAGGGGCCCACGCTATAGTCACATTTCCTCTGCTGTCACTCCCATGTGGAGTAAGCCGCAGAGGGTCAGGTTCCTCATCACTGACCTGGCGATTTCGTGAGGACTTCAGGGGTGAGAGTCGCCCGCTTTTTTTTGTCCGTTATTTAAGATCGCCCGTCTATTGTTAAGTAGGAGTTGTCCACGAGGTGATGTCATTCGTGAGAACGTTCCATTGTGTGCTCATGTTGCAACTCAAGTTTGCTGGGTTTTCAATGAAATTAATTAAAAAAATAAATTCGTCCGCCGCTGTGATTGTATGAAAAAATAACACGCCAGTTGTTTTCGTTCTGTTTGCATGCTACTGTTGTTAGTATGGATTTTTTTTTAAATTAACATACTAGCTTTGCTACCCGGCTTCGCCCAGGACTTGGATTCACCACGCCCGGCCGCCTTTGTCTCCCCAGTGGCGATGTTCACACACCACACCAGTTACTCGACCTAGGGGAGGCCCAGGACCGGTTCAAATAATCGTCACCGGTGGTGGCCGTGAGCGGGAATCGAACTCGGGTCGCTGGTTCGTAGCGTAGCGCTAACCACTACACTACAATGCGTTACGCTTCCACACGTGCGGGTCACATGACAGATTTGACGTCACAGCTCACTTGCCGTGCAAAAAAATAGATGCATTATTGAGCTCCCCCCCCCCCAAAAAAAGTATATTTTAATAATTTTTGCACGGTGTACAGTCTGGAAAGTACCCACATGGCAAATTTCAAGTGTGTTGCATGTCGGGGAGTACGCTAAACATTTTGAGCAGACACACATAATCACAATTTTTCCTTTTATATATATGGAGATATAGCTTATACATATTCTACCAACCACACTCCAGCCACTTTGTCACTTGCCATCAGTCGCCTCCTGATTGCTCTTCTATCGCTATTACCATGGTTACCTTTCCTGTGAACCTCACTGGTCGATTCTTCCCACATGTTGAGGACTCGGTCTACAAGGCTGACTATTTTGTTCCATCCACACTTTGTTCAATCACCGTACTTTAGATCAAAATAACACACTCACCCACTTCTTCATTCACTCGCTCACCCACTCACCACACTGCCACTCACAACACTTCTCTTTCCGCTTATTCCCTAACACCGCTCCACTTTGGAATTCCCTTCCATCGCCTTTTCCCAAATTCTTGTAACCCTCCTTAATTCAAGAAATGTGTGAACTCATCTATCAGAGCTTGAAAAATGCTTTAACACGTAGGCTTTCGCAAGCAATATTAATCATAATACAGGTTTTTGGGTTATATTGCATAAATATAAATGTCGTTAAGCCACGACCACCCGACAAAGCTAATTAGTATGCTTTGTCATGTAAACAAAACGTGCCCATGTGTCGGTAAGCAAACCCACAACATTTACAATTTGAGTGGGACGTTTTGACGCTGGTGATCACAGGCAGCTTCGTCTTCCCTGTTTCCCGGTCTTGTTGCTCGCCGCTTGCCGATCCCAGGGCTTTGGGGGGGGGGGGGGGGGGGGGGGGGCCCTGTGCTCAGCAACCGTGATGAGGATGTCTTTTTTGTACGTGAATAAACCCACGAATCGCGATGGCAGCGCGTTGACGCCAGGCCTCGGCGCTCACGCACCTTGCTGGTGCCGCTGGCGCCGTCCCTGGTGATGGGGGCCCAGCTGTGGCCGTCGTCGCCGCTGTACTCGAGGCGGAACTTGCGCACGAAGAGCCGCGCGTCGGCCGAAGATGCGAGCGGGCCCTTCGCGCCCTGCACCACCAGCCCACTCAGCGCGACCACCTGGCCCAGGTCGACCTGAGATGATGGCGACGATGGAGAAGAGGAGTGGCGGGGGGGGGGGGTGGGTGGGACTGAGCTTAATTTCAGCTGGGCTTGTCAGTATCACCGACCGATACAAATATTTCTGCACCCGGCCCACCACATCTAGTATACATAATGCTATCTAATTTATAGAGTGCTTTAACTGAAGGTACTTGAACATAGCTTGCAAAACGGTGACAGAAGAGAATGATTCAGATGGCAGGGTCTGTATCTGCTTGTCGTGTGTATCTGCAGCTGCAGTCTAGTAGTGACCCGTATGTCTATTAGTCATTATCCCCATTCATTCAATCCATTCATCATCATTTACTGTCATCAATTTCGCTTCCACCGAATTCACGTATCACAGATTTGCCCCCATTGCTTCATCTCGTCTATTTCATTCACCTCATCTCCACCATTACATTCACATGCTGTTAATTCGTTGTAAACCAAGGCGCTAGATAAAATTCCTTTAAGATTAGATGAGAAATATTGACGCACTCAGCACATCCAGCGTGCCTTTCTCTGCGGCTACTCGTCGCCTGCATACTCCATTAAAATTGGTACGGTATTTTGTTTTTCAATACGGCAATTTAATTTTACAAACGCACTCTGTCCTGCTCCTACTTGCCTTGAAGTACGCTCCAACCCCTAACCATTTGTCTCTCTCGCCCCATTTTGTTCACTTTTGTTCACTTTTCACCCTTACTTTTGAACTCTTCCGTTTGTTCTTCGATTTGTAACCGTTATTTTTATTCTTTCGGACCGACAGTAACGACAAGGCACACAATAGGCATTGTTTGGATCGCGAGATGGCGGGTTTCCTAATCTTTGTTACATCTCAAAGTTTCTCGCGGTATAAAAAAAAAACACGGACAAAATAAAAATAGGCACGTGGCTATTGCTGCCATATTTCACGAGCTGTTGTATGCTTTTTTTATGGTTGGGTTCACTTTAGGGGAGAGGGCAGGGAGGGAGGCCCTGAGCTGGCTAAGTCGCGTGCAGCGTGGTCGGTGCTGTCAAATTGGCGACGTTGCCGCCGCTGCAGCGGCTTTTACTGCAGGCGAAATTATGCAGATTCAGGATCAATTCCAGATGTATATTAAGTAAGCCGTATCAATCTATTGCATTAAATATTTGATAAATGTGTCTGGCTACATGATCCAAGCTGTGCATTGAGGCTCCTATATCAGTTTACTGTATTTAAAACTTGGCAAATTGTTAAATGACACCTTTAACGAATTAAGAAGCCCTAACTAGTGACATCTACCAGCTTCATGGGGTTAGTTTGTAAGGCCTTACACTTCATTTGTCAACACTGGTTGGGGAGGGAGGAAGGAGGCGACGGGGGAGGGGTAGTTCTTGTAGTGTAGTGGTTTGCGCTACGAACTCAGCCACCCGAGGTCGTTTCCCGCTCACGACCAACACCGGCGACGATTATCTGAATCGGTCCTGGGCCTCCCCTAGGTCGACTCAGCCTCACATGAGTACCTGGTGCGATGTTTAAACGTCGCCACTGGGGAGACAAAGGCGGCCGGGCGTGCCTCTGCCCACACACGCCCTCGTGTGTCGTGCCGGCCTTCAAATGTGCCCACTAACAGCACTGTCACCAACAGCTTGTTCGGGGCGATACGGGGGAATCTTCGTCTTTTTGCCCTTCAAGGGGGGCGAACCTGAAGCCAGTGGCCGGTGCCTTTGACCGGGGGGGCCCAGCCGAAGAGAGGGGCCATGAGGCGCGCGGCGGCCGGTCCCCAGTGCGAGTCGTCGCGCGACGCCGACGCCGTGATCTGCTCGTCGCGGAGCCGCCCCGACATCAGGCCCAGCTTCTCGGAGCACGGGTAGTCTGCCGGGGAAGGGTGCGAGGCACAACATCATCAACGAGCCATCGGCCGAAAGTTGTAACGTTCCAAAAAAATTTAGTGATGCGTTTCAGACACTCGTTCCAACTCTACTCCCAACCATAAATATATACATCTCATCACGGTGGCGAGATGTTAACCACCTCGCCTGGTATACAGGAGGCCGTGGCTTCGATCCCGACCCTGACGCCTGCCGTATATTTGCAATTTGCATGTCTCTCTCCCCGTGGTCACGTGGATTTTTCTTCGGGTCGCACGCTGCTCAATGCGGTTTTAGCTTGTGGGCTAAATGAAACTTATGGCGGGACCCCGGGGTCCCGATTAAACGGAAGTGAAAATCGTAATTAATCAATTTATTTTTGGCGACTCCGTCCCACAGCACACATAAACGCCGCGACCCACTTGGTGCGGATCATTCCGTTGTCGTGTCGTCCAAGCGCAGCGAGGACGAATGCGCAGAAGAAACAAAACTTTGAAACTTTGATTAGCGCATCGTGTAGAGCTCGTCGAGAGGAATAGATTGCCTTGTCGTTCGCCTTCAACAGACATAAAATGCCGTCGCAACGCAGTTTATGCGAGAGCCCGGGGGCTTATGGGACCCCGGGGTCCCGCCATGAGGTTAAAATATCCGGGGCCATTATTCCAGCCCTTTCAAGCAAGCACAGTTATGGCAGATTCATCTATTCGCTTTTAATATTTAATTTAAAAACTATTCTGGGTCGGCGGGGGAGGGGGGACAGTTGGGAGCAATTCACGTCTTTCACGAAATATCCAAAATGCAATAACTTGGCAATTTTCTTTTCATGGAGGCACTGCCATACGTTCTGGGCACATTTCACGTGAATATGTTGCATTTGGCCAACACAGAACTCGAACCTGGGAATGTTTAAAAAACGATTAAACTACTTTTTTTACTTTACTAGGTAAGGCGCACTGAGATATTTAAGCTCTTTTTTAGAACCGACTCGGCCACAAAATGATAGTTCAAAAGAAGTGGCGTATGATCACATGGAAATTTATAGCAGCTAAATACTCTTAAACACACATTTCTAAATGTGGAGGGAAAAACCGGAGGACCGGAGAAAAATCCACGTGACCACGGGGAGAGCACGCAAACTCTAAATATGCAAGTGTAAGGGTCGGGATCAAACCCACGACCTCCTGCATAAAAGGCAAGGGAGCTAACATCTCACATCCCGCGGCGCCATTCAAAGGCAGATTCATTTATCTTTAAACAACTCAATGGAGGATTATCCTACATGTGTTAAGAAGACAACAACAAGTACAATATGTGCATTCTTCCAGCTTAAGATTATGGACCACAGACTAGGCTGTTAACTAAGAAACAAAACCCAAAAAATCGACGAACTTGACAAAGATATACAGGTATTCATAGAAACGCAAATTGACAAACTATGGACAAATATTGACTTAAAGCTTTCGTGACTGCAGGAATTCATATTCGTTGGGTCTTTCGGTCAAGTCACGTAGATAGGTTCGAAGAAAATAAAATAAAAAATAAAACTACACTTCGACGAACGAAATCCAATTTCCGCTTAAACGAAATTTCACTACGGCCACGCGCCACGAGGATCACCAAACGAGAAGCCACCCAGGAGGCTGCGTTCATCAACGCGACAGCGTCACGATGTCCCTGCGGTGCAACAGCAACGCCCTCCACATCGCCTTTCCAGGCGTTCCGAGATGGTGCAGATCTTTTGGCCAGTTCCCTGAGAGGGTTCATTATTATTGCTTTAAATTCATTATCATTCAATCGTTTAAATTCTCGCGTTATTTATTTATTTATTTTGCGTTGTGACAAGTGATATACTGTAGGTGGCATCGTTTGAGGTTGAGTAGAGTTGGAATGACTGAGCAAAGTCATTCCGATTCACGAAACTTCATTTTGCGCGTGGTTTTTTTGAAGAACGCATCCCTTTCGTAAATCGAGGCATACGTGCATTTGGAAAAAATACGGATGTCATAAGCGAGTGGAAGAGGCCCGCTAAGGAATGAATACATAAGGAGGAGAGTGGAAAAGAGGTAGGGACGAGGCATGAGAAACAGCTGACGGGGGACAAAAATTCGCGTCGCAGTGGAGAGGAGGGAGGAGAAGCGGAGGAAGAGAGCAGAAGGGGAGAGATGGCGAGAAGGAATCAAAGAGATCAGAGGCCATTGGCTGGACAAGAACGATGAATGAAAGGAATGGAATAATATGGGTGGGAGACTGGCCCAAGAGTGGTCATTTACACCGATGGACAACAACATAAACTCTGGTGGCCGCTTGGGATTCCAACGAAGGTTCTCAACAGCTCTGACTCAAGATATGGGAATTTTGATCGCCCTGAGCCAGACAGTCACAGACTGATCCTGTTAAGTCAATGTTGGTCACGTAGGCACATGTGGCAACCACAGCTGGCCACTGCCCATCGCTCGCAAATCAGCCTGTGGGCGCCTTCTGGGTGGGTGGGTGGGCGAGTGCGTGAATCGGGTGGGCCGGTGGGTGCGCAAATATCTGAGGCAAGAAAAAGCTGAGTCTACGGCAGACTAAACACAATAGCTGGAGCTGTCCGCAGGGAAGCAATCGGCTGTCTCCTGCTTCCCGAGATAAGCGAGTGTTTACTCAGACTCCTCAGAGCGTGGGGGAGGGGGAGTGGTGGGCAAGAAGCGACCCGAGAGCCCCCCCAACATCCTCAGATTCAAGTATAAAGATGCCGAGTCGGAGGTTAAAGACACCGCGCCCACGCGCGCCTTTTGACAGATATTCCCCGCGTCGCTCAACAATCTGAACAATTCTGGGCATTTTTTTTTATAACCCCCCCCCCCACCTCCAAAACGCATCGTCATTGTACCATTATCACAGTTAACAAAACATCGTTATTTTAATAATCGTCGTCACCATCAACATAATCACCATTCCTCTAGGATCACGAACCTGCTCACGGCCTTCTGGGAATCTGGCGAGCTACTCGATGCAACTCTATCGGCGCTCTCGTCCTATTATTGCCAAGGCCGGCAGAGGCCGCGCCTGGCTGAGTGGTGGCAGCTGGGGCGAGTCTCACCGGAGATGGAGCAACCATATAACTCGAGGCGCATGGCGATGCCGTTCTCCCACGTCTGTGGTTTGACCCGCACGAAGCGAGTCACCACACGGACCGGAAGCTTGTTCTGCACCACGGTGCTCTCGTCCGTGTTTCCTACAAACTGCTGCGTGTGTGTGTGTTGTGCGCAGCGGCACGTGCAGAGCAACAGCAGCGGCAGCGGGGTTAATGCGCTGTGCTACAAACCCAACCACCTGGGTTCGATCCCCAGCCGCGGCTACCACGTGCGGCGAGTGACATCTAAAACCGGTCCTGGGCCTCGTCGACTGAAATGAAATAGCTGGTGCGGTGTGTAAACGTCGGCACCGGGGAGACAAAGGTGGCAGGGCGAGGTCCCGCCCACTCCACCCCCTAACCACCACACCCACGGTTCAGGTAGCACCGCCTCTTGCTCACACCATGAGCAGAGCTGGGACAATTAGTCATTGAGTGAATTAGTCGACTGAAAAATTTGGAATCAACAATGTACTTTTTTGTGGTCAAATACTCGGATCCCTTTAAATGCGATGGCCACCCTGACATCGTGCCACTCTCGAAGGCAGGAAACCCGCTAAAAGCCACGCCCAGCGTAACCCGGCCGATAAACATCAATGATGTCACCAAGCCCCGCGCATCACCTCCTGCCCAGCGGTACACGTTTGAAATCGAGGGCGAGACTTCCCAACTATTTCCATGTCATCCAATTATTTGAATAATCAAACCGAAAACTGGGAGAGTAGTCCATTACTTAACTGAACGAATATCCCAGGTCTAATCATGAGTCAAGTATGAACCCAGGACAAAATATGAATTCTCAGAAATACTGGGACAGCTTTCCTGGGTGCCACAGTGGCGAGATGTTAACTACCTCGCCTGGTATACAGGAGGTCGTGGCTTCGATCCTGACCCTGTATATTTGCAGTTTTCATGTCTCTATCCCCGTGGTCACGTGGATTTTTCTTCGGGTCCCCCGGTTTTTCCCTCCACATTTAGAATCAATGCATTTAGAGTTTGGCTGCTGCTCTACATTTCCACGCGATAAGCCACTTCGTTGAGCTATCATTTGTGGCCAGGTCGCTTCTGAAAAAGAGCTGTATAGCTCAGTGGGCCTTACTTGGTCAAATAAAAAATAGTTCTAGTTAGAAACAGGGGGACCGTGCACGTTACACCGGCCAGTTTGTTAGCCTCGAATCCTTACCTTGAGCTGGCGTTCCTCGCGGATAGGCGACCAGTCGCTGCCTGTGACTCCCACATAAACTCGGTAGGAGGTGACGTAGTACACGCGGCCCGAATTTATCGAGATGGCGCCCTGCGTGGCCACGGCCGTCACGATCTTCAGGCTGCCCAGGTCGACCTGTCCGGGCGAGAGGGAGGACACGGATTCAGTGCGGGCGACCATACCAGTGGAGTTTGAGAACATTTCTAACAGAGGGAGGAGCAGTGGCAACAGTTGTTAGCGCTCTGCGATACGTGCATAGGGAATTTGATTCCCAGCCACTGCGAACATCAGTGACAAATGATATCTGAACCTATCCTGGGCTTCCATCCCCATTCACCAACCCACAATGACCAGAACGGTTAAGTATGTTTAAAACATTCCTGTGACCAATAAGGCATGGGACGGCCTTCAAACCTTTCAAACATTTTGTTTTTTTGCCAGGTAAGGGGCCCACTGAGCTATGTAGCTCTTTTTCAGAAGCGACCCGGCCACAAATGATAGCTCAACAAAGTGGCTTATCGCGTGGAAATTTCTAGCAGCCAAATACTGCTTAACGCACGTTTGTAAATGTGGAGGGAAAAACCGGAGTGCCCGGAGAAAAATCCACCCGGCCACGGGGAGAGAAGAACATCTTCACATATCCCAGTCGCCAGCATCTCTTTACGTCTCAGTTGAGCCACATCTTTTGGTGTGCCACCGGTTTAGGAACAACCCCGCTCCGGTACAATCACTGCGCGGGAATCACCGCATGGTGAGGCGCCGCACTGACCCACTCGCACACTCGAGCGTTCCACCACGGAGGAGTTTCGAGCGGACTGGAGCGAGCGCTATTTTTTGCGCGGAGATGTGCCGACCTGAATCCACTCGCGGTTGGAGTCCACCGCCGGGGTCCAGGCGTTGAGCGGGTGGTGGAGCCGGCCCTGCTGGGGCAGCCACGTGCCCGTGTGGTACGAGGACGACGCCGAGACACGCGCGTCCGGGATCGTGCCCAACTCCATGCCCAGCGGCGCGAAGCACGGGAACGCTGCGCGCACGGCGGCACGTGATGCATGATGTAATGTTTTCCTTTTTTTTTACTGACCAGGTAAGGCCCACTGAGCTATACAGCTCGTTTTCAGAAGCGACCCGGCCGCAAATGATAGCTCAATGATGTGGATTATCGCGTGGAAATGTACAGCAGCCAAATGCTGTAAATGCATATTTGCCTAAATGGGGAGCGTAAAACCGGATGACCCGGAGAAAAAGCCACGTGACCACGGGGAAAGAGAACATGCAAACTCTAATTATAGAGGGATCAATGTCGGGGTCGAACCAACGACCTTCTGGATACCAGGTGAGTTAGTTCACATCTCGTCACCGTGGTGTTTTACTCAGAAAAGCCACGCGGAGTCCAATAATTATATTTAGGATCGTGCTATACTGGGGTACATTGTGCATTTTTAGTTATGGGTAAATCCGGAAAGCCTGGTGAAAAGCCATTCAGAACGTTTGACGCACCCCCCCCCAACCCCCCCCCCCCCCCCCGAATTCTATAGAACGACCGGTATTTAATCCACGCAGAAACGATCAAGGATTAATAATAACGTGTTTAAGCAAACAATCCACAGCCGGCTGCATTAAATAATTAAGTTGCCGTACCTTGGCCACTTATTTTGCTGAGCTACGTGATAGCTGCAGTCAGGGGCATGGTGGCACGCAAGTGACACCTCTCTCACAGGCCTACTTCTCCTGGTAGTATGTGTCTGACAGCTGAAGAAACTGAACTGTGGCTCATTTGAAGGACAATGTAGACAAATTATTATCGAGGCTTCACCCCCCCCCCCCGTTTCCTATGCGCACGTACATTGTCAGTAGACCCCCCATACGCAAGCGTACGCATTTGGGTTAACCCCCCTCCATGCGTACGTACTGAGTGGATGGCCCCATTTCGAGCAGATACTGATGGACTGGCATGAATGAAAGACGCTCTCCCATTAAAGGCCAAAGTTGATGCTCTAGCGCCCGTCAGGTCAGCCGGGCAGCATCGCACATCACTCTTTCCTCTCAGCGGTGGATTTTGCAAAAAAATAAGTCGGGCGGCGAGGGGTGGCTGCGCAGACGAAGAATCGGCGAGGCTCTCACACTCGGCCGGCCGGCTCGGCAGCACGGTGTACGAGGCCGAGAAGCCGTCCTTGGCGATGGCGTTGTCGGAGTGGAAGACGAGCGTCATGGTGCCCGTAACAGCGACGACGGGGTCCGGGATCTTGCTGCCGCACAGGCGCACTATCAGGAGGCCCACTGCGACGAGAGAAGGAGACGTGGCACTTTTTTTTTGCGAGCTAGTGCAAATGAAACGACGTCGCGTTTAGAGCGCTCGGCTGCTTCACGTGTTCCACGTGACGATGGCAAGCCACTCCGTTGAGATATATCGTTTGTGGCCAGGTCGTTTCTGAAAAAGAGCTATGTAGCTCAGTGGGCCTTACCTGGTCAAATATAAAAAGTGCGTGTGTAAGCAGGGCCGGATTAAGGCACGGGGGGCTTTAGGGGGTGGCAGCCCAGGGGCCTCCGCCAGCTGGAGGGCCTCCAGAGATGAAGTGAAAAGTAATTTAACTTGTGAATGCTGAATTTTATTTGTTGTTAGCCTTGTAAAAATACATTGTACTTTTCTTTAACTTTGCTTTCCTTTTGACAATGTTACTTGGGTCTCACAGTACCTGTAGCCTAGGGGCCCACAAAATCTGAATCCGGCCCTGTGTTAAAGTATAAAGGTGCAGCTGCGTGATCGCTTGCTCACGCCGCAGCTGACGGAAGGGCCTTCATAAGAGGGGCGACATCGAGAGCCCCCCTCTAGAGGCTTATTTGGCTTACTCTTCCACGCCGGTCAGACGTCTGAGAAGAGGTGCGAGTACCAGCCACACACGGCCTGCTGATCAACGAACTGTGGTGAACCCATTCATAACCCCATCGTTTCACCCGCCACGCCAGGAGCTGGAATTGAACCGTTGACCTCCGGATTGCAAGCCGAGGGAGCTCGCCGTTACACCGTGGCAGCATCCCCAGACAGACCGGGCGTGCAAGTGTTTACAATATTAATTCGAAGCTTTCGTGACTGCAGGAATCCATATACCTACGTAACTTTACCGAAAGAACCAAAGAGTAAGTGTTTACAAGTTTGGCATTCAGACATAAAATTAATCGACAATCATTTTACAATCAGTTTCACAACTATTGATGATATTTATATAATTGTGCCACGCCCAACTGAAACAATTTGTAGGGGGGGGGGGTGGAATGATTAAATTCATTTCTGTTTTGAGTAGCTTGTCTATTTGCAATTTACATTCATGAAAATCTCAAACATGGCCCATTACATGCAACGATCTTCTATACATTGCTGGGGACGGGGGTAGTTACCTACGTAGCCCCATCTCCTGGGTGCCCCTCTGATGATTTACACTGCATTCGTATTTTGGGTGTTATTTACAAATCAGAGTGTTGAGCAAACTCTACAAAAACGTGTAGGACCACTTTTTCTGCAAGATCCACAGCTTTTATGGTTTACTATCACACGCGACAGCGTACACTGCAAATACACACGACACACATTGTCACATGCACCACGACAAAGACCCCCCCGTATCGCCTTAACAGACTGGGGCAAGTGCTGTTAGCGAGCACCTATGAAGACCGGCACAGTACCCGAAGGGGGTCGGGTGGCCAGCACCACGCCCGGCCGCCTTTGTCTCCCCAGTGGCGATTATTTTGACACACCGCACCAGGTACTCATTTGTGGCTGAGTCGACTTAGGGGAGGCCCAGGTACCGGTTCAGATGATCGTCACCGGTGTCGGCCGTGAGCGGGAATCGAACTCGGATCTCCGGGTTCGTAGCGCAGCGTAGCGTGCTAACCGCTGCACCACCGCTCCCCATAACCGCACACCACACCACACCTCACCACACACGGGCCCCCCGGCTTGACTGTGCACGTACCCGTGGGCAGCCCGTCCCACACCTCGACGTGGTCGTACTTGCAGGCCGAGCCCTCGCTGGCCGAGCCGTCGTCCGGGTCGGCCTCCAGGTGGAAGGTGCGGAAGGTGAGGAGGATGTAGGCGTGCGGTGGGGGCGGCGAGACGACGAACACGCACGCCGCGTTCGGCGGGTAGCCCAGGGGGTGCCCGGGGGACGCGATGCGGCCGCTCGGTGCCGTGAAGTTCCTCGAGCAGTCCACGCCTTGACAACCCACGCAAGAGTCGCGTGACGGTCACGCATGATGGGGCTAGGAGATGTTAACTACCTCGCCTGGTGTACAGGAGGCCGCGGCTTCGATACCAACCCTGACGCCTGCTGTAAATTTGCATTCTGTGTGTCTCTCTCCGTGGTCGCATGGATTTTTCCCTGGGGTCCTTTGGTTTTTCCCTCCACATTTAGTGTGAACATCGTGCGTTTAGCGTATTCGGCTGCTATACATTCCCACGTGATGTTAAGCCACTTTGTTGCCAGATCGCTTCTGAAAAAGAGATATGTAGCTCAGCGAGCCTTACCTGGTAACATAAAAAATATCCATTTATATTTACACGTAATTACATTTACTCTATCTAACCCCCCCAAAAAAACTGTATAAGGCTCCATGGTATATATATAATGTATATTTACGCGATCTAACCTGTATTTTGGATGATATTGGTCGCGAACGCCTCCGTGTTAAACTCACGTGAAAAAAGTTTTTCATTTAATGTTTCAAATAACGACGACGGTTGAGTTGTGAGCAGTCCGCGCCTTGACCCCCGCGACGGTCAAAGATGACGACGATGACGGCGACAATTGTTTTGACGTCAACAGAATTACTCGAAGGTACCGTGAATGAGAACTGAGATACAGGAATGCATCACCAAGTGGATTATTCTGATTGACCCGATTGTGAAATGAGAACGGAGCCCAGGGGAACCGCCATCGCCAGGTGCACCATGCCAATTACAATTCTATTGAAATGAGATTTCAACCCCAGGAATGCAATGCTAAGTGGATTACGCCAAAACTGTTAACTGGAAAAACATTGTTGTTATATAAGTCTTGCGAGGCTCCATGGTATATATATAAAACACAAAATAAAAAAAAATGTTGTCTCCAACTCTTATCAACTTTACCTCTCTTGGCCTATGCACAATGAAGAAGGCCCATTGCCCGAAACGTCGCCCATTATATAGTTTTCCTTTTAAGGCCGCGGTGTTACTGCCGCACCTGCTGAGATGTTTCGTTTTTGATCAAGTGCTCCTCCTCCACACCGTGGCGTCTCACAACACTTCTTCACAACACATTGGAGACGGGACTCTAAGTGGTAGCTGATCCAAACGATGATTATTCGTCTGCCTGTCGGGGGCGATGATCGCAATGTGCAATCCCAAATGAGTAATTGACACTCTTCCACGGTGGGCAAACGCCGTGCGTGATGTATAGCCCCAAACGTATTCTGCACCATCACTATCGAAATATACATATAAGCTCGCACACACTGCTCTACGCAATAGGATCCAGTGGCTGCGCTTTTATTCAACTGATAACGTCACATTTTTCACTGCTTCGAACATATTTTTTTTATATAAAGGTAAAGGCGCAGCCCTGTAAATGTGTTTGCTCGCACCACTGCTGGCACAAGTGCCCTCTGCCAGAAGGAGCTCTAGACAGCTCCTCCAGAGCAGCGCTCTTCATGGCAAGGCCCCGCGGGCCACTGGCGGCCTCTGGTGGCCTTTAGTGCGGCCCCTTGACCTGCGGCCCTCCGACAATGCACAACACGTGACAACACCCCCACTACCGTGCTGCTGTCAAACCCCAGTGGTTTCAAACGTGTGGCGACCCTCACACTCGTGATGCCTTATCGGCAAAAGTGCCCCCGACACCCCCTCCCACCCAACTCTGAAAATTAGTGAAGAACACTGCTCCAGAGGGTAGTTGGCCTACTTTCCCAGACACCTCGGAACAGGTGGCAGCCCACACAGTTGTACCGTCGGACATCGTCGTGCCTGACAGCACTCGGAAACAACCCTAGAACACGCTCGCGAGAGAGAGAGCTCTACAGCACAACCGCGAACTCCTACGCCGCAGTCGGATATCGACTGAGGTGTTTCACCGGGGGCCAGGTGAGGCTCACCCGGTTTGTAGAGCTCGTATCGGAGCGAGAAGCCAGCCCCCTGGGTCGTGTAGTCGGACACGAATTTGACGTGCAGCGTCGGGCCGCTGGACAGGATGGGCGCCGGAGCCACGGTGCCACAGAACTTTCCCGAGTCGTCGCCCGACTTCTCATCGCCATCGTCCCACACCTGCACGTAGTCGAATCTGTGGCACGCGCAAAAGGTCACTCAGCTGGGTTTCACTGCACAAGGTGATGTCGCGTGGCAAGGTAGGCATGATGGGAGGACGTATTGTGCCCCTTGTTTTTTTTATCACCTTTTGCTTGTATTATTACTACTGCACTAAAAGGCATTATCAGAGTGTTCATTGTCATCACCATGGTCCAAGTGTGATCTTAACCACCATCATTATCAATGCAATCACCATCATCACGCAATCACCAGCATCAAGCAATCACCATCATCACGCAATCACCATCATCACGCAATCACCATCATCACGCTCACCACCAGAATCGCTAAAAGCCGGAGCGCCGTCTATCCGGTTTAAGTGATACGGCATCTCCTTAGTTTGTTTTTTCGTGGTGAGGAATTTCAAAAGCATTTTTGTAAAAAAATCACACCATTGTGTATTTTTCTTTTCCCTGTTGGCTGCTCTCTATATAAAAAAAATACATGAAAACGAAACAAAACAATAAAAAACTACTATCTCGTCAATTCCTCCCCTGGCATCCACACCCTAGCCGTGTCCCTCCCACCACCACACTTTCCCTCCACTTTATTTTTGAACTCCTCGTGTGCCCCAACACACCCACGCGCACCCGCCCACGCACACACACACACACGTATAGAATAAAGGCAGGAATGTTTATAAAGTGTCAATGGCAAGACCGCGAGGATGTCTCGCAGGGGGGCACCGTTCTCTGTGTGAGCCTCTGATGGCGTTTCCCTCGCTGTGTTGCGGTACAACCCAAAGTTAAACACAGCTGTCTGGGCACGGCCCGATGGTGCCACGTAGATAAGGCTGTAAACTGTGTCGCCTTGACCCGTGACTTAATTCCAAGTACAATGACCAAAAGGAGCGTTGCAATTATTTCATCCTAACCAGCGACCACGACCTATACTAACGCAAAACAGAATCATCACGACCTGAAATTATTCCAAACCCACAATCATGGACCGTATTCGCTCGAAAGCAGAATGACCAAAACCCGCATCACCCGTCAACTACAGCAACCGTGAACTGCATTAACCCCGACTTGAGAGTCGCCTTTTGACGTGCACTAAACCTTAACCCCGAGTGACATTGACCCTGAATATTACCCGAACCCACATTCACCACGGCCCGTGTCGTCGTCGCGCGTCGCCGTACCGACAGCTGTTCTTCTCCATGTCGAAGTGGGGGTTGAAGTTAATGAGCAGCTTCTGCTCGGGGCTGGGAGCGCGTAGCTGCCAGGAGCACGTCTGGTGCGGGGGGTAATCTTCGGGATAGCCAGGCGAGGTCAGATACCCCGGCAAGCTCACCACCACAACCCCGCCGCAATCGCTGCCCCCCTCTGCACACGCGCACGAAGACAAAGATTCCCCCCACCCCCTCCGTAAAGCCTTCAATCAAACAAAAAAATATGTAACGCTTTTTCCACCCAGTCTTTTGGCTCTTTTCAGGAGGGTGCTGTCCAAGTGTTACACCGTCGGGGGAGATTTTGCTCGTCGATTTCAATTGAGTAATTTACGATGTCATTTGCCAATTTCGGCAAATTTGTACCGCGTGTTGCCGGCAGTTAATCGCCCTACTCTTGCGAATGGGGTCACGGGATCCTTTATGTGTGTGTGTGTATGTAAGTTGAACTTCTTTCGCACCGTACGTAGCCAACCGTGCTAATCGGAGGTGCCTGGGAAGGACAACAAACTAAACACAGAAAGCAGTTTTAGTTTCCACAGCACAGTATTAATGTTTTTTTTAATGGTAATCCGCAGTATTAACCAGGACGGCCGCTGGATGCAAACCGTGAACCTCGGCAACAAGCGATGAATGCGCGACCGCTGGGCCATGTCACCGCCAACAGAATGTTGGGGCAAGTGCTGTTAACGAGCAGCACCTATGAAGGCCGACACTGCACACGAGGGGGTGAGTGGCCAGCACCACGCCCGGCCACTCCACAGTGTTGATGTTTACAAGACGCACCAGGTACTCATTTGAGGCTGAGTCGACCTAGGGGAGGCCCAGGACCGGTTCAGATATCTGTCATTGGTGTTGGCCGTGAGTCGCCGAGTTCGTATCGCAGCAGGCTAACCGCACGGAAACAGGCAGACAAAGATCCCCCGTATAGCCTTGACAGACTGTTGGGGCAAGTGCTGTTAGAGAGCACCTATTAAGGTAGACACGGCATACGAGGGGGTGGGTGGCCAACGCCACTTTCGACCACCTTTGTCTCCCCAATGCTGATGTTTACGCACCGCAACAGGTACTCATTAAACGGCTGAGTCGACCTAGGGGAGGCCCGGAACGGTCCAGATATTCGCCACCAATGTTGGCTGTGAGCAAGAATCGAACTCAGGTCACCGGGTTCGTAGTGTCGTGCACTAACCACAACAATACCGCTCCCCACACCATGATACACATGATAACAATTATCATTTATACTTAGCGTCTTCATACGATAAGCATATATAGACGCCAACAGGAACAACTATTTGCATCAAATAACGCGGACGAAACATCGCATATCTTATAAACTGGTCACAGTAACCGAGCGCGCATCACAGTAAAACGTCAAATTGTGTTGGGTTAATATTGAGTAAAATATCGAAACGCACTGTGCGGCAGGATGTATGAAGCATCGTCTTATACAGCGGGACATATTTACACAACACAGACACAATCACACAGCATGCCCGAGTCGCCAAAAACAAAAACGACAAAAATCCCCCGTATAGCCTTGACAGACTGTTGGGGCAAGTGCTGTTAGCAAGCAGCACCTACGAAGGCCAGAACGGCACACGAGGGGGTGGGTGGCCAGCACCTCGCCCGGCCGCCTTTGTCACCCGAGTGGCGATGTTTTTACGCACCGCACCAGGTACTCATTTGAGGCTGAGTCGACCTAGGGGGTACCCATGATCGGCCCAGATAATCTGGTCTTGTCCGTGAGCGGAGATTTAACTCGGTTCGCCAGGTTTGTAGCGCAGTGCGCTAACCACTACACCACCGCTCCCCACAATCACAGGACACTCAATTCGCAGAAGAAAGAGGACGCTCATAACTCCGGTTTTAAACAGTGAGTGGGAGTCAATAGCACGGATAAAAATGCCCCGTGTAGCCTACATGCACCGTTGGTTCAAGTGCTCTTCGCGAGCACCTACAAAGCCTACACGGACTATCGGGGCAAGACAAAGATCGCCATGTAGACGACATGGACTTGTTGGGGCAAGCGATGTTGGTTAAGCATCTCAAGAAGGCTGGCATCTGGCATGGCACACCAGTTGATTGTTGTAGCTCCTCGGCAGAGGCACACCCGGCTGCCTTTATCTCCCTAATGCCGATTACACATTGCACTCGGGAACCATTTAAGGCGTAGCTGAGCAAGGAGAGACACGGGATAGGTGACTATACTTATTCACTATCGTTGTTGCTTTTGGATAGGAGTCACACACAAAGACAAAGACCCCCCGTATAGCCTTAACAGACTGTTGGGGCAAGAGATGTTAGCGAGCACCTACGAAGATCCGGCACAGCACACGAGACGATAAGTGGCCAGCACCACGGCGCGGCCACCTTTTATCTCCCAAGTGGCGATGTTTACTGCACCATACCAGGTACTCATTTGAGGCTGAGTCGACCTAGGGCAGGCCCAGGATCCATGTAGATAATCGTCACCGGTGTTGGTCCTGAGCGGGAATCGAACTCGGCTTGCTGGGTTTGTAGCGCAGCGCGGTAACCATTCCACTACCACTCCCCACGACCACACGCACAAGCATAACCATGCACACACACACACACGAACATGTGCACGTAAACACATGTACGCACACAGTCATACATACACACATGCACAAACAAAGACACACGTAGAAATACATGCACGGACACACTTGCTGCGATTGACATGGTTTGGCCTTTCTCCATTAACTTTCACCGAGATATCTCGATTAAAGAAATCGTAATTAAGTCACAATTGTAATCATTATAATAATAAAATAAATAGTGTAATATCATCACTTTCACCATTAATTTTCATGGATGTCTAATAATTGAGGAGAGTGTAATTTGCCGTTGCGGAGTTCTGTTAAATGAAGCAACTGCCAATAAAATTGACTGAGATCTGTTAAATGACTGCCGTTCACTTTTTGCGGGATACATTGATCCAAGTGAGCGATATACAATGTGCAGAGATCTGGTTTAAAAAAAAAAAGAAAGCTGCCACTGAATCACAGAGCACGTGTCGAAGCTCGAAAAGCCACTTTAACATTTTAAAATCTCAAAAGCTAAACGCTCAAAACAACCACGGGGCAATGACACGCGAGGTGGTGGCTCACGGGGCTCAGAACATCGGTACGGCACCCGATGCGATCATGGGTCGAAGCCAGGTGGTGTCTTTGCTTAAAGCGGGGTTCTCAAGTGCAGCGAGTGGAACGGTCCTCAGCCCAGTCGCTAAAGACTGCACGCAAGAACACACGCAACCCAATATTACATTTGGTTTCGTGCTATGTTTTTGTTGCGCTAAATTTCAGGCTCTGAAAATTACAAATATGCGTTCGACTGTCGCATGGCAAGCGTTCACGTTGCAGCGCATATGGGAAAGTGTCGAGCATAACAAAGCCACTTGAAGGATGTTTCGCGAAGCATCAATTCTGCCGGCCATTGTCTGACACAAGGGATGCGAAACTCGTATGACTTTTCCAAGTTGAGCGTTTGTCTCACGACATGCTGTGTAAATAGCACACGGTGAAATACGTTCGTGGTGTGGGGGGGGGGGAAACACTAAAATACAAACTCAGATATATTTCTTAAATACGTATAGGGTAGCTAGGAATATGAACAACTCGTATCAATAAGCTGAAACGTACGCAAGCTTTTTATTTGGCCAGTGAGATGTTCCAACATAAGCACGGAGATGGAAGTCATCATCGTCGGCAGTGTGAAATATCCCCAGCGTCGCTCTGGACTAAGGGGGAACAGAACCCTGGAGGGGTGTAGCGAGTGAGCTGTATACAATACTGCCCACCCCATTCCTGCACGCCCCTCCTCACTTCGATAGGATCCATATCCACTGCATCTCAACCACTCACCCACCCACTCACTCACCCACCCACTCATGCAAACACTTACTCACCCACCCACTCACTTACCTACCCACTCACTCACCTACTTTCCCACTCACTCACCTACTTTCCCACTCACTCACTCACCCACTCACTCACTCACACACTCACCCACCCACTTACTCACTGACTCATCCACTCACCCACCCACCGACTCACTCAGCCAACTACCCACTCACCTACTCACTTAGCCAACTACCCACTCACCCACCCACTCACCCACCCACACACTCACCCACCCACTGTCTCATCCACTCATCCACTCACCCACCCACTCACCCACTTACCCACCCACCCACTCACCCACTGTCTCATCCACTCACCCACACACTCACCCACCCACTCACCCACTGACTCATTCACTCACCCACTCACTCACCCACTCACCCACCCACACACTCTCCCACCCACCCATTCACCCACTGACTCATCCACTCATCCACTCACCCACTCACCCACCCACTCACCCACCCACTCACCCACTGTCTCATCCACTCACCCACCCACTCACCCACCCACTCACCCACTGTCTCATCCATTCATCCACTGACTCATCCACTCACCCACCTACCCACCCACCCACCGACTCACTCAGCCAACTACCCATCGACTCATGGCGGGGAAAGCAACGGTGGGGAAAGTTAAAACCACAACGACTTTAATCTCCTTGCTGTGCTTGAAAGTTATTGTGAAATAAGAGGCTGCTTGCTGTCATTTCGCGTTAAAATATTTACATTCTCTACATATCCAAAAGAGCCAAAGCCAAGTCGGAATTGCATTTCGTGTTGTTAAATTTATTTTCATGTTTCCCAATCCTATCCGCATCACGCCATGAGATGCAAGTTCGGAACTGTCGCAGAGCAGTGCATCACAACCCGCGTTACAAAACATCCCGCGGAAGGAAATATCATGGAACCACTTCTGAGATTTGTATACACACATCATAGGGCACTTTGCCATAATTCCCTGCGACAGAGACATTCAATAGCAGTCCACATTTACAGTTGAAACATCATCTTCTTAGAATTCTCAGAGCTCGAATGCTGTAATACAAAAATTTTAACTATTTTCATAACGCTTTTTTTTGTGCGCCCATTAGATACCAAACTGAACCCATCGACTCGCAAGACCTGTATACATTTTGTCATCGCGTACGGCCGAAACCGTCGCTCAATGCACCTAAACCCTGCGTGGTCCGGCCACCTCGAGACTGAACAGCAATTTGCCTCTCGCCGGGTTAGATCAAAACAAAAAGCACAATGACAAAGCGATTAATAACGAATCTGGCTCCGCGCGGTAACAGACCCGTTCTCTCCCGGGCTGCCAACTCTGCCCCGGTTTTATTGGAGGAAAGGCATCTGCGGTGGAAGTAGTTCAGAAGAAACCACCGCAGGCATGGAACTTCAATTGCTAAAACAGATCCTCCCCGAACTGCATTCGCTCTTGCCAACACAACGCACTCATACGTGTGTACGTACTATGTATGTTAAACTTTCGTTCGCACCGTACGTAGCCAACGGCGCTAATCGGAGGTGCGGTATGAGAATCGCACTCTGCTCATATTAGACGCCACACTGTGCTCGCTATACAACCACTTTGGCATACGAACAAAATCAGCTCTTGGTGATGTTAAAATAAGAATAGGTTAAGCAGGAGGCGTTCAGATGTTCAAGCACCAAATGTATACCTTTTGCAAGGTATCAAGTCTGCATTAACCACACGCACTCGTGGCAAAACGTGGTAACAAACATGCTCTGATAAGAATGCATGCGTTGTATTTAAAAACTGATTGGTCTACAGCAGACAGCCTTCTTTATGGTCTTGTCTCACTACCAGTGTTAGACCAGAGAATACCAAAAGCGGAACAGTACAAGGGCAATGCAAGTATCAGAACACTGATAGCTGGGAACGAGCAGTTATATCTATGGGACCTGTTGGATACTGGCAAAAAAGGTCCCATAGATAAATCCGCTATAGTCAGGGTTCAAGAGGCTAAGCAGGATCGATACTGGTTACGTACTTGGATGGGAGACTGGCTGGCTTAGAACGCCAGGGTGTTGTACCAAGTGGTTGTTCTAGCTTAGACTGCAAGGTGAGTAGGGGATGGTAATACAGCAATGGATTATTAAATCCATCTGTGCGGAGCTTCACATTGTTACCTCCTCGTATGCATTTGTAGCTCTCTGGTTTTCTGGCACATGCCGAATACCCGTTGAATGTTGGACCCTCTCTTGAAAAATATTCTTGAGACTCAGTGAAGCTTTCTCTAGTATATAAACAGCGATCTAACCCAAAAGACCTCTATTATGGATAAACAGCATGGTTCATATAATATGCAACCATGTGATATACGCAAGCTGTTTAACACGGAGGCTGAGTGGCGGTACAGCGGTTAGCGCACTGCGCTACAAACCCTGCAATCTGAGATTCCCAGGCATGGCTAACATCAGTGGCGAGCGATATCTGAAGCAGCCCATGGGGGTACCCCTTTAACCAGGCTTTAACACTGATCAGCATGGTGAAGTATAGTCGAACAACCCTAATGAATGACGCGGCTTGGGGAAGCCTTCATCCAGCAGTGGATTGACAAAGGGCTGTAAATTATTATTGTTAAGGAACCTTATTTCTGTATATCCTGATTTTTTTTGTGCACCGTTATACAAATACACAGCGAGTCCATAAAACGTGCCTTTGTGTAAGCCTTCTCTGATAACCCTACAGATATGTTAGACCTGGCTAAATCGATCAGTTTATTGAATCATGCTGAACGAATAACTCCCATCAAAGACCCGTGACAGCCAACCAACTGAAAGTTTACCAGAGTAGAGATAACATCGTTGAGAATCATTGTTCACGAAACAAGAGTGCACCGTCCATCAAACCTGTTGACCAGGGGGCCACTGAATGGCGTGGGGTGTAAACACGGCAGCAGCCTTCTCACGCGGTCCACTCCGTTAGGAGATAAACTTCGGCGAACGGGATCATCGACCGCGCAGCTTTGAACAACGAGAGCTGTCAAATAAAGCCCGGCGAAAGGCTAACGTTATCCGCACGTCTGTCAATTTAACATTATCTCCGAACAGGACTAAACGCTCGTCGTATTTCGTAGCACCGAATGCGGAGATTGGTGAATTCCTGAGATAAGACGAACCGGGCACTTACCAGCACTCACTGTTCTTGCGAGAAGCGCGCACAGAAGCACAGCGACCCAAGAGAGAGGTCTCATCGTAGCTGCTGCTGCTGATGATGATGATAGGGCACCTGGGAGCTAGCGGTGTGCGGAGTAGCAGAGAGGATTCCCCTCTAACACCCAAGGCGGCTGCGACTCTCTGCTGCTGCTGCTCTCTGCTCGCCGACTCCACAGACACTGCCTCTATCCGCCCGGCTGCGTTAGGGGCTCCTCAGTGCGCCCCCCCCCACCTACTCCACCCCCCACTCAACCAGCCACTCCACCCCCACCAGCACCGCTCCACCCCACAACCTCAACCCACTCTCGTGCTCAAATCCCAGACCCCCCCCCCACCCCGTCCGTCCCCAAGATCGGCTCCCTCCTCCCTTTTCATCAGCCGCTGTCCCTGCCCCTTCTCCCCTCCTCTTCCCCTCCCTGCCTACATCCTTGTTACTTTCTGAGCCACTTTGATCCCTCCTGATGTTTTTTCTCCCCCCATCGCTGTCTCAACGTCCTCCCATCTGCATCTCTCCCTCTACGCGTCTCCCTTTCGTCTACCTTTCAAACTCTCCCTCACTTTTCCACGCTCTCCATCTGTGTCCCCGTCTCCCACCCTCTCCCAATGTCTGCCCCTTCTTTCCTCTGCGTCCTCCACAGTCTCCCCGTCTCATCCCTTCCCTACTCCCCCCTAATAATCGCACTCGCTCTCTATCCCAATCTCTCACCCACTTCCAATCTCTGTGTCTCTCTATCGCTCTGTGCCTCTCCCGCCGTCTCCCTTTGCTCTTTCTTCATACTCCCCCCAATCTCACACTCTCCATTTCACTCTCCCATTCTCTACAAATCTGCCCCCCCTCTCCCCCCCCCCCCCTTTCTCTTTAACGCTCACACTGCGATTCTCCAACGCGCTCCCCTTTCCCCTCTCACCGCATATCCTACCGTCTCACCGCGTCTCCAGCCCTCTTCCCCTGTGTCTCCCACTCTCTCCCACGCTCTCCCCAGCCTCTCCCACCCTCGCGAAACGGACACGGGCAGCTGACGTAGGCGCTTCCTAAGCGTGGAGAGGATGTCACGGCAGGGACGGAAGCTGGGATCTTCACCGACACGAGTTACGTGCATCCATCACTTGCCGACTTCCCCGTCACAATTGCACAACTCGCATGGACTACGTAGCGCGTGCGTACACACATAAACATCACCACCATCATCGTCGTCGTCGTCATCACCCCTGATCTATCGAAACTTTGCTAAAAGCTCCTGCGATTCCACGATCCACGTCGCTCCTACTCATCTCGTCGCTCCAACTTTTCGTCTTCGTCGTCCTCTCGGGCGCCTTTCTCTTTGGCTGCCGTTCCGCCACCAGTCGCATCCGCGAGCCATCATCTCGTCTAGCGATGTCCCTGCCCAAGCCCACTTCACTTTCACGAACAGTCATCGTGATGATGTCTGCTGTAGGCTGCCTATTGTTCTTTAACCCATGCGTTATTTTCGTCCCTCTCTGTGTGTGCTGCAATCCCAGACATGCATCTCTCCACGCTTCGTCATAGCAGGCGGTGTTCACCGATTGTACACGAACGGTCTGAACTCTCGATACGACTAAGGGGCCGTCACGCTATTCTGGACGATTTTTGACCCCCCCCCCCTCGTCACACGGCGTCACAATAAGTCAGACCCCCCCCCCTCAAAGATGACGTCACAATGCTCTGCCCCCCCCCAAATAAAACATGCTCCAAATCACTTTAAACTATTGCCATTGTAGTGCGTATTTAATGTGCCGCTGCACTCTGATGTTGTATGAGACAACATGTCTTAAAACGTCTATTTAATTAAGTAAAACGTGTTGTCTATATTAATTTAAAGTTGCGCATTTTGATGTGACGTCACATTTATCAAACCCCCCCCCTCGTCACACATCGTCACATTTCTCAACCCCCACCCCACCCCCCCAGGTGCGTGACGTCATTTATGGACGACCCCTAACAAAGTAGGCTGCAAAGTTGAACTCAATACAAATACGCGGAAAAGAAAAGTAACGTCCATCAAGTTCGCTCAACAAAGGACCGGACAACGCAACACAAAACAAATACCTAGGATAGGTGTTGAACGATCGTCACGTTTGAGAATAACCAAATCAAAAGGTGAACGAAATAAATTTTGATAACGAAGAAGAAACAGGACCCGTTATGCCGAGGCACGTGCACGCACACGATCACAACAGCTGACACTCACTACAACGCTGGTGCCACGCTAAGGACACGTCGAGGTACAAAGACAAAGATCCCCCTTGTAGCCTGTAACAGACTGTTGGGGCAAGTGCTGTTAGTGAGCGTCTATGATGGCCGGAACGGTACACGAGGGGGTGGGTGGCCAGCGCCACGCACGACCGCCTTTGTCTCCCCAGTGGCGATTTTTACACACCGCACCAGTTACTCATTAAAGGCTGAGTCGACCTAGGGGGTACCCCGGACCGGTTCAGATAATCTGGTCTTGTCCGTGAGCGGGTATTGAACTCGGGTCGCCGGGTTCGGAGCGCGGCGCGCTAACCACAACACGACCGCTCCCCACAGCCCACACACCCACACACCGCAATGTTGCCAGCACAACAAGCCGTGTAAAGCAAAAACACATGCAAACATAAGAACCGTATTATCTACAAAGATGTGTTTATTATTATTATTGATTTAAAATTTCGTCTTGTTCTGTACATCATACTTGTTTTCGGTAGAGTGCGCATACAAACACCTTGGCGAATTGGCCGTCACAGCTTTTATTAAAGATGAGCAATGCATGTCATCTGTGGCGACACACACAATACTCACGAGGCTTATAATGTACATGTATAGCTGTGTATACAATCACACACAGCGACTCGATGGCATGTGGTGGGCTCAACGCGAACAACGCTTGTCCCAATGGGCAGCTTCGTCCCTTGCTACAGCGACGTGGAATTTCCACCAATGACCACCCAACAGTGACAAACCTTACAAATGGGGGGAAAAAGAAAATGAGCCGAGAAAACTCGGGATGCATTCCCACCACCGTCGTTTGCGACGTGAACATTATTTCTGTAAAAAAGCTGACGAGATCTATTAAAAAAAATATACTTCTCATTTTCTTAAAAGTTTAACAACGGAGGGTTTTTTTTTCTTCTTCTTCATTTCATCAAAAGCAACTCGCCTCTGTCCGTACTGTAGTTTTTTTTTAAATATAACGCAGTGTGGTGAGGTTAAGGAAACATTAAGCGGTGGAAGTATTCCCTTAAATAAATATGATTAAAACGTGTTCACTAATTGGTGGTTGTAGCCGCGTTATGGGTTTCGCAGTGTCTGATAGGAACAGTCTCGGTTCACTACACCGTGAGCCACAGCTACGCAATGTATTCTCTCACGTTTAACTGTGTTCAGATGCTGTGCGCAGCTCCAACTCTTTTGCATCGTATTGACGCAGACGGAAGCTTCAGCGTCTTGCCCTGATAGGAGCCAGAGGGCTTCTGTCGATTCGTGCATTCGATCAAGTTCATTTTCACCGCTTAAGAAATGTAATGTTGTATGGAGGTCAAGGTGCAGGCCGCTGCGATTGAAGGGCCACCCTCGAGAGGAAAACGTGAGTACCCCCCCCTCACCCGAGGGAATTTTCGCCTACTCTTACAAGCTGGCTAGACGTGTTGGAAGAGGTTGGAGTACCCACACTTTAATCCATCACACGTGACCTGCCGATCAACCTCCTGCGGTGTTGCCCGGTTATAACTGCCGGGCGGACAGAGGTTGCGAGGTTATGAAGAAACGTGGCCATTATTCTGACTGCCGCGCCAAGAGATCGAACCCGTCTAACTCTGGATTGCAACTCCAGTACGATCAGGCCAGCACCCCCTTAATGTTCCATACAAAATAATAATAATAATAATGCTACATTGGGGGAGGGGTGGCGCAGTGATGAGTGCATTGCACAGGGAACCCTGCAAAGCTTCGGTTTAATTTTTATAACAGCAGTGGTGAGCGATCGCCATACCGGTCCGGGTCACCCCCACTAACCCCACCACCCGCTTCGTTAACCCACACAGCCCAGTGTGGTAACGTATGGTCCAAACAACAGTCACGACTGACAGGGCCTTCATTCGGTGGTGGATCCATAAAAGGGCTACACATTGTAATAATTGCGTAATAACATTCATTTTCATAATTGGCGAAAAAACAAGTCTTTATGAAATTGCTATGGACACATAAAGTTGTGACAAATTGCACGTTACGTTAGCTTAGCACACCACCTATACATTAGCTGCGCCCCCTAAAAGTCATTTGGACGTTCTAAATTATATTCACAGAAATGAAGACTGACAGAACACTTAGTCACGTGCCATCACGATACTTTTGATTACCGAGCCTTTTTTTTTAAACAGTTACAAAAGTCTTTGTACAAATTTCCCCAGCCCCCCCCCCCCCCCCGGCCAAAAAAAATCTCATTAAAAAGGCACAAAAGCTTGTGCGCGACATCAACTCACGACAGCTTCGCCGACTGGAAAATCCAATGCTCTTTGACACGATATAAAAGTCCCCCCGAATGCCAACATTCACCGCTCTCCTCCACCGTCAGTCACGACGGCTCGAGCGTTGAGCTCTCCCTGTGAAAGGACAATTCCTCTCACGCGTCCCTTCGCGACGAACATTTGCGCCGCACCTAAAACGTGGTGGCTCTTCGCATGCCGTTGTGGCAGCGTGCGCGCGCGCGTAAAGACGCGTCGCTCGGGCATCCTTCGGAACAGATTCTCGCGCTCGCAGTTAGACACAACGTCGAAGCGTATTCGTGAGCGTCGCTTAACGCTTTACAATCGATAAGTATTGTATCTTCCAACCTCCACTTGCGTTTTTGGGAGGGGGGGAGGTCTCCAGGTACTCAGTTTCCTCCCCCCCCCCCCACCTGTATAAACACACTCGTTATGAATTGGCTAAAACAATAATAATTTTAAACTAAAAAGAAGGAACCCTCGTGAGTTCGACACTGAGTGTGGCTGTAAATCAAACGCCCAGAAAAAGAAAATTAAATTGGGGGGGGGGGGGGGGGGGTGGGGGGGGGAGCCGAAAGTTGAGTTCGATTCCTGGCAAGAGGCAACATCAAGAGGCAGGTGAAATTTCTAAACCGGTCCGGCCTTCCCCGCCCCTTCACCATACTTACGGGCACGGTGAAGTGTGGTCAAAACAACAACCATGGCCGACACTGCACGTTGTGGATTGAAAAAGGTGCGGATGGTATGCAAATTATATCTTAATGTCAAACGTCAGCTATCGGGGGTGAACAAAACTGGACGAACGAGAGAGGAAAAAAATGACCAAAATTCAAATGACATGATGAAACCTCGTTTCTACAGCGAATTATTGAATTCAATCGTAACCCTTGTCATTTGTGATGGTTAATCTAACTGTGAAGCTGGCGGGTTTTCCATGCCGAGTCCGTAATCCCAGTGCCATAGTTTCAAAACGACTGCGAGTGTTGCCCTTGAGTCAGACACCACGTGGGCATCGGTGTGGAGGTTCCTGCAAAAGTAACACGCGGTTTGGGGCTACGTTGTTGAGCTTATCCATTTGTGGCCAGGTTGCTTCTGCAAAAATAAGTGCGTACCTCAGCGGGATTTTTGCCTGTTAGGATGGGGATGGTTTAGTTTTGGTTTGCATGTGTTTGGGTGATTTTTTTTAGCTTTCCTGTACGTTGCACTCCTATAATGTTTGTGTACTGTTTGTTGTTGTAACGTTCTTTCCCGCCCCGACTGGACGTCTGTGCAAAAGAGCTTTATAGCTCATCGGATTCCTTCAGTATAAAATAAATATTTTTATTCTGAAATACAGAATTAATGTTCGTCTTGCACGCAGGTCACTCCGATTTTCAAAGCCACGATTGAATCGAAATTTTGTTGGGAGCTTTTATGTTTCTCCCAAATTTTTACAAAACGGTGGGATTCGTTTTGTAAACCGGTACGCGGTAAACAGGGTTTAATAATAGGAAGCTTAAGTTGGTAGGGTTGGCAAATGTGCCATTTCTGCGTTCACTTTGGGCACGCAACAACGCATTTGATTCAATCAATTAAAGTCGCGTGCATCTGAAGTCGCGTGCGTGAAGTTTGATCTCGTTTGTCGATTCGTACAAAATGTAAATTGGGTCGCATGAACGCCCGCAGCCACCAGAGGCGCCGTTTTCATCACGATGATAAAAATAACAAAAATCAGAATTCGTGAATCGAACCACGACAATTCATCGAATCGTAAAGAACTGCATGGCGAGTTCTAACGGTTGACCGTGATAACCAGACGTTGGTGTCAGGTGATGTGAGAACAATTTAAGTTTGGGGGGGGATTGCATTAATCCGTGGTGGTCCGTGTCATGAACATGATCAAGCAATAATAATGGTCACAATTATTTTGAAAGGAAAGCCTCACTTAAGTTTCAAGGACCTGTTTTTTTTTAAAGGGTCCTTCTTGCATTGGGATGTTTGGCCAATTCCGTGAACGAGTGTTTGGTTTCACGTTGGAGGAAAGCGGAGAAATCCGGAGAAAACCCACCACGCATACGAGGGGACGGGGTGACACTCAACACTGCTAACTCGTGGCTACCACACAGCCCCACGCCTACAACACCTGGCCACAAACCCCGGTGGTCACCCATAAAAAAAAATCCAAGCAGGCTCAAGACTGCTTGGCTTGTAATTGAGAAAGCAGGGCATGTGGCTGGCACATCCGTTCACAAAAAGATGAAGGGTGGGGGGGGGGCAGTTGCCTGCCCAGCCGTCTATGTTCCCATGCCCACGTGTACAACACGTGACAGCCGGCACTGTTGACCCCCAAACGAGACTCAATCATTGCGATGAACACGTGACCGTGTACGAAGTGGGTGCAAACGCCGAGCGCGCGCCGTGGAATATTTTAGGCCACGCGTTGGGGTTTTAAGGCAGTGGTTCTTAACCTAGGGTGCCAGATGCCCTTTCTGGGGGTGCGACACATGGCCAGATTTGTTTTTAGAAGGTAAATCATCGAAACACAAATTAAGCACGGGCACGTAAGGACGGCTACTTTATTTATTAACGTGATAGATTTTTTTTCTTCTTAAAGATTTAGAACCAAAGGGGTGCAAGGCTACAGTAAAAGTTAAGAACCACTGGTTTAAGGGAACCACTTTTTTGGCAAAACGAAAGTTCCTCTTTGCAGTAGGCAATATTAATCACAAGCATGATTCTTGCTCATCACAATGCGCACTCCACGGCTTCTGCATTCCCTGTGCAATATCGACGTGTCATGTGAACCGGATGCACGTGGACGCAATGACTAGTAATTTCTACTGGGCAGGAAGCGGTGGAACGTGAGAACTGTAATTAATAGACAATATATTATTAGAACCTTGGTACAGAGATGTTTTGGGGGGGGGGGGTGGGGTTTAGTTCCAAGAATCAAACACGCGTCGTAATGTACACTATGAGTAGAACAATATCCTATGAATTGTCACACAGTGTTTGTGACTCTCCCAATAATGTATTCCTTTTGTTCATTGCGGTGAATGGTAGCGCATCTAGTGACTGGAGCGGTGAAGTAAACATCTTAAACTTCATACGACTGTGTGTACGACTCGAAAAGTACAGATTGTTACACACGCGTCTTCCTTCGATGCACCTGCCAGGAGCTAAATAATCGATAGTAATCGATACATCATCACACCCCTAATTCACACACTGTGGAAAACGTAACATTGCGAGACAGAGCTAAAGCAGAATATGAATCCGGGTGGACTGAGAGCTGGTAATTTGCATTATTAATACGAACACATTGACGGAACGATGGAAGCCGAGACAAACGGTGTCGCTCTGCAGTAACACTGGGTTTAACATGTTAATCATTATCGCCATCGTCGTAGTAATTGCACCGTGGGTGTGGTAACGGCTGAGCAGCAAATAAGAGCGATTAGGATTCACCCACATTCACGGTGCTGGATGTCAGCCAACCGCAGCTTGGACAACATTCGTTAAACGCAATTAACGGACAGTAATGAATTATCAGCGGGGGGGGGGGCCCAATTAAGCTTCCCGTGTGTTGGAAACTGCACAATAGGAAGCTCGCGACCTCATTCACTGCCGTGCTGTGGTTCGTGAGCACTGCCTTCGGTGACATCAGCTCTTGTGTTCCTATTCCCTTGCACACGCCACGCAAGGCACGTTCCCATATTCCGCCAATCGCCACTGCGAGCACGCGATTTACATTCCACCACTCGTTATCATCATCATCATCAACTTTCCCACAATGTACGAGGCACGCAAAATATGAAAACCAAGGAATTTGATTGCGTTTGTAATGTTGGAACTTCTTTCGCGCAGACAACTCTTCGGGAGAGAGTCCGTTGCAACGATTCGCATTTATGAAGTAGGGGAACGTGCAAATTCGTTCCGTGTTGTTTCGATTTTTTTTGACGGTGCATCGCAACACCTTTCGCCGAGAGACGCTGCGGACGTGCGTACGGACAAATGTGCCGACGAGACGCTCGCCAGCCACGCTCACGAACGTGCCACGAATGTTAGGGGTGGGGGGGGAGCAGAGAACGAAACGAGATGAGACCAGACGCGCAGAAGCCCTCCCCGTATCGTAATGGAACACGGCTTCGTCTGTCACCTCACGGGCCAGCTGGTACACCGACGTCAAACTTAATAAAGTATTAAAGCTTTCGTGACTGCATAAAATTACTCATTGGTGTTTTTTCGGTAAAGTCACGTCTTTCCTCCCTCCTTACCTCTTGGCGGACTTGTATATGTATTTCAACTGACCGTGTACCTCGTATTTTTCATTCTATCTATGCTGGTATGTGCAATCCAAAGGTTGAACACGAAATTTAACACTCTTCTGAAATTCGTGGTCCGCCAGGAAGTGTCTAACTGTGTTATTGGCCTGACTGGAAGTGCTTCAACATAATGTTTTTTCAGGTTTGTTGAATTCTCGTCTCTCATCTTTTCGTCGTATTTACCTCCGTGATTTGTTCTTGACACCTGATGAAGATCGCTTGCGTTGTGATCGAAACGTCGTGATTGTTTTTTGTTTTAATATAATTTTATTGTATTTCTACATACGTGACTTTACCGAAAAAAAAACAATGAGCCACGTTAAACGTATTTAAGCTCGGCGGAAACGAACTGTGGATTTGACCGAGAGCAGTAAGCTGAAAGAAATCGACTCGGTGTTGTTATTTTGACACGTGGATATTTTTTCTGACGGAATTCGTACGGCAAAAAAAAAATTGTGGCCACATCGTTTGTATATAGTTTATATATATCGTTCTTCGATTTTTTTTCTTACTCCCCGTCTCTCGGTCGCTCATCGAGCCCAAGTTTTGACAGTGGCATCCAGTTCACGTACAAATGTGTAGAACCTTTGCAAGGTGCGGACTACACGCAATAATTTCAGGCTCGCGTTGCGTTGCGTGACATTCTTTGCCCACCGACCAAAGAACGGTTTACGAAAGCCCTACAAGTACCAGAATACGTATTCTTTGGGTCTTTGGGTAAAGTCACGTATAGAAAGGTTCAAAGGAAATAACAAACAAAAACTACGACGTTTCGATCGCAACACAAACGGGCCGTCATCAGGAACGTGCCACGAATGATGACGACCGCTCGTGTTGCGATCGAAACGTCGTAGTTTTTTCCGTAATTTTTTTGTGTTCTTTTCTTTGAACCTATCTACGTGACTTTACCGAAAGACCCAAAGGATATGATTTCCTGCAGTCAAGATTTACCCAATAGCTTGCTAATAACGTTCCAGCTTCAACGAATCGACTCCCACCGCTGCAGAAGTCGTCGCCGCTACCAAAGATCTCGATCAAAGGTCGCGACCCAAGTCGCCCTTCGATCAGTGCGATGATTTGCTCATCCTCCTGTGGCTGCTACCCCTCTAGGCTGGCACCCCCCCCCCTCCCCACACACAGTCATCCGTGCTGTCAGCTGCCCCTGTCGAGTTCAAGTCGAGACCTCACGACACTGCGTCGCCTCCCCTGCCTGTCGGACTGCATCACCCCTCGACAGTGATTAAATGACACGCGCGCGGCCTCCTTGAGGTGCGGGCCACATTGAGTTGGTTAAACTATTGGACATGTTGACGATTAGCACGGTTTTGGCTACGTACGATGCGAGAGAGAAGTTGGATATATACACACGCGCACGCACGCACAAACGTAAAATGATGCCCATTTTGGAGATTTTTGGTTTCGGGGAGAAGTTACACACACACACAAAAAACCGCCGCAGAAAGTGGTAGTAAAGAGAGCCGGGTATGGAAACAAGTAATGGGAAATCCAGTCTCGGATTGCATAACTCTCGCCCCCTATGGCTTTTCCAGTCGGAGCAATTCACCGCATCCACTCCAGAGGAGAAGCGTTTTCTCCCGAGGAAATTTCCACTTCGCCCAATGTGTTCACACCCTCGTCAAACCCGAAATGCGCAACGGTTTACACGGAACACAACATTAAACGCGTATCATTGGCCCGGCAAGACAACAGTCCTTTTAAATTGTTGCAGTTCCGCTTTTTCTCTTCTCCTTTCTTTAAAGAGGAAAAAAAAACGTGTTTACACCATCTTCGGGAAAGGAAAAAAAGGGCTAGGGATTTTAAGCGACAGACACGCAACCTAAAAATATGCAGAGACTTCAAAGTATACGCTGCCACGAAGTCTGTTTCTCATCCACAGGTGCCCGCCTATCTACATTTGCTGAAATCGGAGTTTAACGCGCGTGCTTTCATAGATGGATGATTTAAATCTCGGGAGAACAAGGGCAGTTTGTGGTAAATTAAAATTCCAGAGGCTGTGTGCTAAGGTTAAATCGGCATTGTGGTTTTCCTTTGAGATGTTGAGAAGTCATTACCTGCACTGTACAGAACGAGTGGGACGATGCATCGATGCATGTACAGATTCTTCAACTAATGATTTAGATTAGTCACGTCACCCTCTGCAGCCACTAGAGGCCGCTACTATTCACGGCAATGTAACAAAAACAAATTAAGAATCAAATGCAGACTCTTGACTGCAACATTTTAAGTGAATTACTGGGCAGGTTTAATGTTTACACCACCCATGATATATTGCACGCATAAGCAGCTATCCACTCGAATAATGAAGGATCATAAATTCAGTTAGGGTAGTCAAATAATAAAAACCGCATGCCTCTGAAAATTTAAGCCGTGCCAGAAACATCTATTCAGACGGATCCCAATGGACCGTCATTGTGAAGTTAACATACTTCGAGATCAAGCGTTATTAATTTATTGAGAGCACATGAGGCATCTGTTACACTTTAACGTCTGTGTTCTACAGACGTTTAAATTAAAAACATTACCGGAACGTACGTGATCACCCGTTAAAGGCGATTACATTTTCTACCTTCGGAACGAATAAGGAATGGGACAGGTAGTGGACCATGGAATGAAAAAAAGGTTTTTGATTTGAATTTAGAAGTCTTTAAGGTGCTTTAATAAGACACCACCGATGGGAGACTAAGACGTGAGAACTACCGAGGGTCACACAAACGATGCCTTGGGATGGTGACGCGGCCAACCGCGCCCGCGTCAGTATTCACGATGACACGGGTTCTCCGAAATGTATCGAAAGTGTTGACAAGCACTTAGACGCGCGTAACAAATCATCCCACCACCAGCGATTCCATGAATTCAGGGGTCCCCACGAATGCATTTCGGAAAATATTATTCGTTTTCGCTCGATCTTCATATTTGCCGTCTTATCGGCACAGCTTCCAATTTTGTTCTGATTGTTTGCAGAGTGTTGCTCACTTCATTCGCATGAACTGAAGGTAAAGGAGCAGCCCCTGAAATGTCTTGCTCGCATCACCGCTGGTGGAATGGCCTCCTATTGAAGCTCTCTCACTCTCTCGAGGATACTTTGGCCTACTCTTCCAATGCTGGGCAGATGGCTTGGAAGAGGTTGGACTTCCTAAATCGTACCCCACCACGAGGAACACTCCCGGTCGACTGTAGTGTACCCGTACAGCGAGAGGGACGTTTTTTTAAATTAACACTTGCACCATCGTTTGAACTGCTGCAGTGGAGGGTTCAAATTGAACCGGTGACCTCTGCAGTGCAGAATCAGAATGTGCATTTATACTGGAGGAATCCGATGAGCTATAAATCTCTGTTTCACAGATGTCCAGTCATGCAAGTCTGATGTACAAACACCATTACTCCACAGCAGCACCCCCAAGTCGAAATGTAACAGCATAGAATTTGAAGTTCAAAATCCAGCAGTCAGTTTTCACATGCACAATTCGATGCATGTATCGTAAGCATGAGAAAATATGTTTTATTATTATTGCTGAATCATTAAATGTTGGAAAGGCTCAGAAAAACTAGACACGTAATTTTTTTTTATTAAAGCAATATGATTGGTTGATCGAACCCATATGATCACAAAAACACAGTTCAGATTGGCTAAAACGTTCCTGCGTGAGGCCTTCACAGTCCTTCGTTTCTCAACAAGTGGCTCAGGGGCACAGAACACCTTGAAAACATGTCCCACTTTGCTCAACACCATTACCAGTTACATTACACAGTTTAACACCACAAAATGCAGTGTTTTACAGAACATACATAAAAATGGCCCTGCAGATGCACAATATATATAAAAAAAACACATTAGCCGTCTTGCCGCTAGAAAACGTGGGGGGAGAATTTAAATAAAATAGCATCCAACTATAAGAGGCCATGCTGTCGCCTGCCACTCCTACTCCAGTGTAATCCGCGTGCCTGTTTACGCATATCCCACGACCGCCAGCGTCCGTTGCTTCACGTTTGTCCGCAGCGCACCCGGCTAGCTCGCCGCCTCCACGCGCGCGCGCCACAACGCAACGCACGAAACGCGCCCGTGGCTTCAGACGCGGTTCGGCCGGGCGGCGGCCGGGCCCGCGAGCCTCTGCATCTCGGCCGCGTAGTTCGGCGCGTCGGCCGGCGTGCCGCCGCCGCCGCCAAGCGGGGGCGGCACGTCCCTGCGCAGGGGGCTGTGCGCCCGCCGCCCGGTACAAGGGAACTCGAACACCGCCGCCCCCCCCTCCTCCTCTTCCAGGCTGTGGCACGAGCTGGGGTGGGCCGGCCGCCCAGCGTGGCCGTTCCACGCCGACGCGTCGTCCGCGCCCCGGAAGGCCCAGCCCACGCTGCCGGGAGGCCCCGATTGGCTCCGCGGAGGAGACTTCTTCGCGAGCCTGAAGCGTGGAGGAGGTGGAGAAAAAAAGCGTCGGGAGAGGGTAGGAAAAGTTGGCGACGGCATCGGGGGCAAAATGGATCTTGGGTCTCAACCTTGACGGGAGGGGTGGCGGGGGAAGGGTTGTGGGTGGCGTGTCTGCGAGCGAGCGCTTTGCTGGATCGTGGCATGTGTCACTGTGTGCGGCACACACCCACATTTTATGGGGCTGGGAGTTGGCCTGCAGGTGGCAGTGCAGGAAGCAGGTTGCTGACCTCAACTGGACATTCCGATTTGTTTCGCGAGTGCTCTTCCCTCGTGCGTGCACACGCGAACGAAGGAATTGGTCAAAATGTGATAAACGGGATCCTCTTGAAGACGAGTATTGAGGTTATCTTGGTAAGACAAGAATACGCGTTTGTCTTCGGAATAATTGTATTGGCACTACGGAAGCCAGCGGAGCAGTCAAGTTCTAATGCCTCTGCAATATTTGCAAAGTGTCCTTTTGCACTGGATTGGTCTTCACATTTTTGGGCAACTCTTTCATAAAATATTTGCCAGCTTTCAAGACGGTAAGTCCCAAATAGCAACACAACTTTGTATACTCCAGACTTGTACACAATGGACCGTACCTACAAGAGTCATCGTGCACCCTTTCCCATTACGTACGGATCAACAGAGCATAACCGATTTCACCTATCAAGTTGAAAAGCGTTAAAAGATACATGCCTTTATTTTGGCCGTATTATCACGTCGTCGGCTGGATCGCCGCTCCAGCATTAATTTTCCAATACGCTTTCTCCAAGGAAAACAAAAACCCTTCCCCGGGTTCCTTTATTTTTTTATTGTATATAATTTTTTTTTACTTGAGTTCACCATTCCTAACCCGATGATTAGTGTCCGAAATTTGTCTAATGACGCCCGGGGGAGCTTCAGCAAGCAGGATGCAAAACCAGGAGGGGCAATTCCGAGTTTTTCCACACGCGGGCGGCTTCCAAGCTGCCGGGGCCGTGGAGCAGCAGGAGACCTCACGGGACGCCGGGCGAGGTGCCCCCCCCCCCCCCCCGCTTTTTAGTTTTTGTTTTTTTACTTTTACCCCCATAATTTATTATATTTAACTAAAGAAATCGTCAGAAATGTACGCGGCAGCTGCAAGCGGCAAGGCAAACAAGGGCGATGGTCCCTCGCCATGCGTTTAGATCATTTAGATGATTTGGCTGCTGTTATATTCGACATGATGATGAGCCACATCGTTGAGCTATCATTTATGGCCAGGTTGCTTTTGAAAAAGAAAACAGCTCAGTGGGACCTTACCTGGTAAAGTTTAATGGTAAAGTTTCTATTTTTTCTTAGCTTTCTGATACTTTGCACTCAGATTGTGTTTTTGAAATATTTGTTGTTAGAACTTTCAGACCTGCCCCCACTGGACATCTGTGAAAAAGAGCTTAACATCTCATCAGATCCCTCCAGTATATATAAATATTCTGTTTCATTCCCCCCACGGCACGTTTCGTTGCGTCAGCGACGCCATAAACCACGGTCGCGTGTTTTCACAGCGTACCATAATCGCCGTCGGGTGAATTATCGCCGTCGACCGAAGGGGTTACACAGTTCCCGATGTTCATAAGCACCCCAAGCTCAACGTGGTGGCCACTATCTGCACGTCTTGATCATGCGCGGTGTAACAATAGCCCTTTTTTTTACCCAGGAAAGTACTACTTTGTTACGATATGTTTTTTCAGCAGTGTCCCACGTCGACAGAGCGGCCAATTCGTAATTAAGTATATTAATAATTGGAAGGAATGCACAGCACCTGGAGAAAACCCTAACTCATACAAATGAATAGAACTCAAACTCTCAGAAGTAGGTGATGACCTAATTGCTGTCCTGACATCTATGGGCCATTTTGTGACACGGATGTTTACGTTTGATCAAGTAGAAATGGTTTACGGCCAAAAATTTAGGGGTATGGAGCAGTTAACGTAATATTTCATAAATATATAGAAAAATAAAGGTTCATTTTAAGTAAGATGAAAAATCTGGATACTTTGGCAAGTTAGGAAAAATAATTAATACGCATGGATCATGTGATACTTTCCATCATGCTTTTGTCTTTTAAAATATTTAATATGCAGTATGGGCGGCAACAGGCAAACTCCATTTGCATAGTATCAAAAATGCATTTGTCTATTCCTATTTTCTCTGGTTTGTATTTGAAAGTTTTAGGCAAATCTTTCATCAGTTTACCCGGTTCCAATAGGATAAGTTCCTAATAGCAACACAACCTCATGCTGCAGTTACATTCATATTGAATCATCTTTCAGAGAGTTACCATACACCTTCCCCCCCCTCCCCATTTCACCCCTGCCCCCCACCCCCCCTACCCCCACCGTTATAGATGGACAGAACTAATGTGCACAAATGCTTTCAACCTGAGGTAATGGTTTAAAAATACGAGAATATGTGCAGATGTCAAAAGTCTCCGGGGCGGCCTAGCCATAAGCACATTCCCGCCGCTCGTCGCAGACGTTGACAGTTCGAATCCAGCGGCTGCCGAACCGATTAATGTTGCGGAAGCAGTCACCGAAGAGTTGCGTGCTGTCCGCTTCACACGTGGACGTTGGCGAACCCTCCGGCGTCATTTGCGAGAGGAGGCCATTGTGTGCCGGCATCGTGGTCCAAATAATAAATAAATAAATAGATAGATAAATCCGCAAACTACTCCACTGGAATCTACGGAGTAATCATCGCCTCAGTTTAACACGTCGTAGGCTTTCACCGTTATTCATAATAAAGTTGTTTTTGTGGGTTAGAGCGCTTAAATATAAACGTGTCGTTAACCCGCCACCACTCGTCAACGGGCAATTGGTAAGGTTCGGGATGTAAACAAAACGTGCCAGTTAGTTTCTACTTCAGCACACCGCTGTGTCTGAGAGTAAACCCACGATATTTATAATTTCGAGTACACGTTTACTGGCGATCACAACCAGCTTCATCAGGCGATTTGCCAGAATTGTGAAGAAATCTTCCCCGTTTCCGGTCACCTCCCCCCTCCCCCCCCCACCCCCTTGGCAGCGATAAGACTCGGCGAGAGGCTCATACGGGGCAAACAAAGCCGCAATTCCTCACCGCGGCAGGGAGTTGTACCGCCGCCGCGTGGGCGACAGCAGCAGCCCCTCGCGCTCCTCCTGCCGCCTGTGCTGCTGCTGCTGCTGCATCTCGACGGACACCGAGTGGCGGCCGCTCCGGTGCTCCGCGGGCCCTGGAACCTGGGTGGGCACACACACACACGCGCGGGCGTCGGCCACGCGTCGCCGCGGGTCGCAGGGTAGGGTGTAAACTAGGAGGGCTCGGTACCAACGGGACAGAAACGCGTGGCCGGCGTTAACGCGACCTCGGCGATGGGGGAACCCTTCCCTTACTGAGGGCCGAATAGAAATTTCAGATGTCCTAGGAGGGGACACACATGAACACAGTGGTTGATACATGGGTTAGGGGCCCAGACCAAATATTTAACTTGTTGGTACCACCTTGAGATGACCAAACTTGAGTTGTACCAACATCTTAGAATCACCAACAAAAGTGAACGATACAATGACCTTATTTAATAAGTTTGTTATCATGCGAACCACTCTTATTAGCCATCCACAAAAACTGGTAACACTAAATACTTGCCACCTCTATTAGTACAGAATTCAGCTCCGCGATATGAACTATGTTCGCTGTGAACTCGGCAAACTCGAGTTCAATTCCCTACCATAGCTTCTAACATCTACAGTGAGTGATATCTGAATACTCCTGGCCCCTGCCCACTTTGGAATGACACAGCATGGGAAGACCTTCATCCAGCAGTGGATTGACAAAGGGCTGTGAATTATTACCCTATATAATAATAAAACATCAACGGCCCTCATAGTAATTGCCCCGAGCATCAGAAAGTTGAAACGAAGGATGCAGATTGCAAAAAAAAGTGGGTTTTTTTCCCCTCTTTAAATTATTAAAAACGAGAGAGGGAGCGAAGGGGGGTAAAGGGGCATGAGGAGGCGATGGCAGACAGCGGCGAGAGGGCAGACGCGTGAACTCCTCACTGAGAAAGGGGAGTCTCTGTCAAATTGCAAAACTCCAACGGGCCCAGGGGGCATGCACAGCAACTGAGCTTGGAAGCAGAGGCAGCCACCCTCGTGATTTATACAAAAAACACAAGGCAGGTGGGGTGGACGGCTCAGAAGTCAGAGGCCTGGGGCTCACGCCACTCAGATCCTGGGGTTGGAATCCAGGTTTCAGCCTCCTGTGAATAAACCAGATTCTCAAGTGTAGACAGTTGATGATCTCGGGCCGCTCACCGATTGCTGTACACAAAACAAACATCTCTTTAAATTGACTTCTGCACATAATATGACTAAATACCAGCTCGGATAATTAAACAAAATATCGCTTTGACTGTCACGCGATGAATGTTACTCTCCGTCGCAGGGCGGGTGGCGAAGTGTTGCGCCCGACTGTGTGGTCTAGAAGTCATGTGAAGGGATCTCCGAGGTAGCTCTGTAATATCAACTTCCGTGGGCCATTCTGTCACGTTGCGTTGCGCGAGTTCTTCAAGACACCGACAGCACCATCGGGATAACACTGAGGGGCAATAGATGCTAATGAGAAACAAATTAAAAAGAATGCCATGACCTGGACCCAGCAAGCATCCCCCCAGACAAGGAAATACAGAGAAGGGCCAGTTTCCGTTTTTTTTTTGTTGCTAAACTGAAACTCAAGTCGGTGTGCAAAGTGCTTGCACGTGCCCCTAAAATATCAACTTCGGGGTAAAAAAAAGTGTTTTACCAGGTTCCCTCTGCACTGCACTTTGCTGGCTTTTAACAAAAACCAGAGCTGCCAAAAGCCAGCCTTCACTTCGCAAAATTGCCTCTCGACACGAAGCACTCCTTCGTAGGTGTATTTATACTTAATTACGTTGCTTTTTCTTTTTTAGATCTCATCCATGCACTGGATTTTAAATAGAGACCCCTCGCTGTGCAAGTAAAGGGGGTCCCCCCCCCCCTCCCGGATAATCTGCCTGGCAGGTCTGTGGGGGGTGCAGCAGGGGCCATGCCTGGTTGGCCGTGCTAATTGAGTTAATCATGCCAATCTACTACGCAGCTCAAGTGGGGGGGGGGGGGGCATGTGGGATATACAGGCAGGGAAGGGGGGGGAACAGGGGGCAGTGTGCTGTGTAGGGCTGTGTAGGGCTGTGTAGCGCTATGTAGTGCTGTGTAGGGCTGTGTAGGGCTGTGTAGTGCTGTGTAGCGCTATGTAGCGCTGTGTAGGGCTGTGTAGGGCTGTGTAGCGCTGTGTAGGGCTGTGTAGCGCTGTGTAGGGCTGTGTAGCGCTATGTAGCGCTGTGTAGGGCTGTGTAGCGCTGTGTAGGGCTGCGTAGGGGTGTGTAGTGCTGTGTAGCGCTGTGTAGGGCTGTGTAGCGCTATGTAGCGCTGTGTAGGGCTGTGTAGCGCTGTGTAGGGCTGCGTAGGGGTGTGTAGTGCTGTGTAGCGCTGTGTAGGGCTGTGTAGGGCTGTGTAGGGCTGTGTAGCGCTGTGTAGGGCTGTGTAGCGCTGTGTAGGGCTGTGTAGCGCTGTGTAGGGCTGTGTAGCGCTATGTAGCGCTGTGTAGGGCTGCGTAGGGGTGTGTAGCGCTGTGTAGCGCTGTGTAGGGCTGCGTAGCGCTGTATAGGGCTGTATAGGGCTGTGTAGTGCTGTTTGGGCTGTGTAGGGCTGTGTAGTGCTGTGTAGCGTTGTGTAGGGCTGTGTAGGGCTGTGTAGGGCTGTGTAGCGCTGTGTAGGGCTGTGTAGCGTTGTGTAGGGCTGTGTAGCGCTGTATAGGGCTGTATAGGGCTGTGTAGTGCTGTTTGGGCTGTGTAGGGCTGTGTAGTGCTGTGTAGGGCTGTGTAGCGCTGTGTAGGGCTGTGTAGCGCTATGTAGCGCTGTGTAGGGCTGTGTAGCGCTGTGTAGGGCTGCGTAGGGGTGTGTAGTGCTGTGTAGCGCTGTGTAGGGCTGTGTAGCGCTATGTAGCGCTGTGTAGGGCTGTGTAGCGCTGTGTAGGGCTGCGTAGGGGTGTGTAGTGCTGTGTAGCGCTGTGTAGGGCTGTGTAGGGCTGTGTAGGGCTGTGTAGCGCTGTGTAGGGCTGTGTAGCGCTGTGTAGGGCTGTGTAGCGCTGTGTAGGGCTGTGTAGCGCTATGTAGCGCTGTGTAGGGCTGCGTAGGGCTGTGTAGGGCTGCGTAGCGCTGTATAGGGCTGTATAGGGCTGTGTAGTGCTGTTTGGGCTGTGTAGGGCTGTGTAGTGCTGTGTAGCGTTGTGTAGGGCTGTGTAGGGCTGTGTAGGGCTGTGTAGCGCTGTGTAGGGCTGTGTAGCGTTGTGTAGGGCTGTGTAGCGCTGTATAGGGCTGTATAGGGCTGTGTAGTGCTGTTTGGGCTGTGTAGGGCTGTGTAGTGCTGTGTAGCACTGTGTAGGGCTGTGTAGGGCTGTGTAGCGATGTGTAGGGCTGTGTAGGGCTGTGTAGGGCTGTGTAGCGATGTGTAGGGCTGTGTAGGGCTGTGTAGCGCTGTGTAGGGCTGTGTCGGGCTGTGTAGTGCTGTGTAGCGCGCGCACAGCAACGTCGCACCGCCCTGCTTTGACTTTACTCGGAGATACGGACGGGTGTAACCACCAACCGTGTATGAACATCAACAGGCCGATATGCACACCTCCTTCACGAACGGAACGTTTAAAGGCATGAGCCACCGTGCACTCGTGGACATGCAACCCAAACTGTGGACCAGGGAGTAAACCACTCTGGTCTGCACCCCTTCAACGGAGGAGGAAAAGCTAAATTACACGAACCCTCTCCTGAAGCCCCCTCGTGGCTCACAGACCTCGACACTGGTTGACATTTCGCTCCTGAACATAATATTGCCATCTACTAGAATATAACTTTAATCCGGGATGGATCATGGCAGATGATGAAGGATGATGAATAATTCAGTGGTGGCCATCCTGGTGGTGTAATGCAGGAAGCGGGCCGTGTTAAGGCAGCGGGGGTGGTGAAGGGACTCTATGCCCGTAGGCACGCAGAACTTCTTTTCGCACCGCACGTAGCCAGCCGTGCCAAATCGGAGGTGCCGGGTGGGGGGGGGTGGGGACGACTGTGTGGGATTTACCGGCCCGGTCATCCCGTCGGCCGAGCCGGCGTCCGTCGTCCGTGCCTCGTCGGCGCGCAGCTTCTGGAACTCGTGCCGCAGCTGAGCGACGCGCTCCTCGCTGCTCGAGGGTGGACGAGAGCCGCCGCCGCCGCCGCTGCCGCTGGTGATGGTTGGCAGGGGAGGCGAGAGAGGGCCACGCTGACATTTCTGTGTAGCGAGCTGCAATGCGTGCCATTTATAAAAACAAAATCGCGCGTAGATTCGCATTGTACTTAATTACGTACGGGTTCCCCTTGCTTTATGCGATTTCACATATATACCCAAAATTCGCTATAGCATGCGGTTTAAATTGACTCAAAAGTGGTTATGCGGTCGATCGTGGGACAACATTGTACTTTATGCGAAACTCGCTTTGTGGATCTTTTTTGTTGGAACAGATCTACCGCGTAAAGCGAGAGAAACCTGTATTGTGTATTTACATTGAGAATGTATGCTTTGATAAATCATCCGGCCCTTTATCAGTCCACCCTGTCAGTCAAGGGGGTTGTTTGACCAAACCTCAACCTCGTCGGTCAGTGCAGGTTAGTGAAGTGGGTGCGCACCCAGGACCAGTTCAGATATCACTCGCCACTTACAATTTTTTTATCCCCCGCAACTGAAAATCAGTTCCTCGAAAGCGCTTTTGACCGCGCGGCAGAACGCGGCGCACGCATGCATGGCACAACTAAAGGGCACGTTCGGGGAGAGGAGCGAACGTCGCCGACCAAAACGCGGCGGAAGAAGAAGAAGAAGAAAAAAAAAACAACACACTGCCGCCCGCTCGTTCCCCGCTTGAAACAAAAACCGGTGTCAAAAGCGGCAATCGAGTAGCCCGTATTTGTTGTCGTTGTGAAGCGAGCCGGTGTTTTTCAAGGGTCGGTTCGCGTGCACCCGCCCGCCCACAAGTCGCCATTGTTGCAGGCCAGCCCTGCCGCCACCCGCGCCTGCACGAAATACAGGAAGCTAATCCTGCCCTGTTTGTTTATTCAATGCACGTGTCCTTTCACCTTCGCTTATAAATTGCCCGCTAAAAATTTACAACTTGTTGCTGGAAGTCCGCGTAGGTCGTCCAAGAGTAAAAAAAAAAAACGTGTCTCTGGAACGTCTCTCCCTCTCTCTACGAAAATCTCAACAAAAAAATTCCTGCGGAGCCAAGCGTAACAAAAAACCCGCGTGACTTGTAGTCAAGACGAGCCTGGTGCTTGCCAACGATAAGAGTCACAAAGCAAAGAGGGAAATGAGCAATCAGAGCAACCCCAGTGACAGACGAGCACCAGGCACTCCTCGTTTCCCGGCATCCACGCCGAGCCAGTGGTAGAAAACTTCAGGTGCCTATGGCACGGACGCATCCTAATCAAAGGATAACTGCCAATGGCATCCTCTGCAAAAGTTGGACAGCCTCACTGGGCGATTGCTCATTTTACCGAACCATCAGAGGTCAAAAATTATGATGACGTTGTGGTGGTGTCTGAGTCAACCACGATCTGCTGCCAAAATGAGCCATCCCTCAAGTGCAATAGAACGTATAATACACTCGTTGAAACAGTTCAGCCAGACGCATGCAATAAGAATAATTAAGATGAATGATGAGTCGTGACAGGGAGGGTAGTAGTGAAAACATAATGAAGAGGTAATGAATGAATAGGTAAGGAAGAGGTGATGACTGAGAGGCAGCCAAATGAAGGAAGAAACGAAGGAAAAACGAAAGCCAATAAAGAAACAATTGAAGGAAGAAGCCCAAGAGTGCATCCAGTGTGGAGATGCATCAATGAAATCAGCTCGTTCGTGAGTGATGATGACGGCGTCTTGGATGCCTTCATCCAGCAGTATATTGACCACAGCTGCTGACGAAGATGACGACGACGACGATGATGAGCGATTGGCAACGCGGCAACGACAAACTAGAACTTCCGCATCGTCCACGCATACCCGGCAGATCGCGGCGCCGACAGCCTCCGCGTCTTGTCCACCTTCGCGTACAGCGCGTCGATGTCCGCGTCCACCACGACACCCGGGGAATTCTGGGTTGCGGCCACCGGGGCGGCGGCGGTGGCGGCCGGGGCCGAGGAGGCGACGCGTTCACCTGCCGCCGCCCCGCGGTCCTCCGCCACGAGGAAGCGCGACACCCTGGCGTACGCGGGGTCCAGGTCGTCGTCCTCCATCTCCGGCAGCGCGGCGCCGCCGGCGCCGGGAGGGGACGGCAGCGGCTCGGATGCGACGGAGGCGGCGGCGGCGGCGTTGCCGCGGGAGGAGGGCGGGGAAGAGGGGCGGTGGCGGGACTCGGGGCCGCTCCGGCTCGCCGCGCCGAGGCTGTCGCGCTCGCGCTGCAGCTTGAGCTCGCGGTCGCGCGCCTGCTGCTCCCGCAACTCGCGATGCTTCGCCTGGATCCTGCGCCCAACGGACGGACGGTGCGCGCACCGTGCGTGACGGGGTTCAAGGATTGCGCGCAGATGAGAGCCACGATCCGAATTATGCACAAAGACGTTGCGATTGGAACGATTCCCTTACCCCCCCCCCCATCCCTGCCCCCCTCGCCCACTTGCTCCCCCCCTCCCCCAAGCCATATCCTGCCCCCACACAATTACCCATCAAATCTCCCTCAAAATTCGATTAACTCTCACGATTTGAGGTCCTAATTTTGTTCAGCAATCAATTTCCTGTGGTGAATGTAGCAACACACGAATAACATTTTTTTTTTTTAAACAAGCATAAACATCAAAACTTGCCGAACAGACACGCACCTGCCGGGCGAGGAGGTCGTCTTTGTCAGGAGTCAGGACAGTAAGACGGTTGCTTAAAAATGGGACCTTTTTTTTGTTCATACTTTGATACTGGTAAAAAGGTCCCATTTTGTAGCTGCTCAACCCAAGCTATAAATGCTCTGATAGTGCATTGTCTTTGGCATTCTCTGGTCTGATACTGGTGAGACTCGACCCTAAAGAAGGCTGTCTCTGGTGTAGGCAAATCAGTTTTTTTTTTAAAATGCATATATTATCAGGGCATGTTTGTTTGCATGTTCACCACAAGTTCTGTGTGTGACTAATGCGAACTTGATTCCTTGCAAAAGGTTTCAATTTGTTTTTTTTCAATATCTTAACACCTCTTTTATTACCAGAAAGGTTAAAACCAACTCGTATTTTTTCATAAGAAGGTTGCTGATAGGCTATCAGACCGCAGACAGGAAGGGAGCAAAGGGCAGTTTGATCTTTGACCTTGGCCTCAGAATGAGAGGGGGCCGCATCTGGATTTTTACTCTGGGTCTCATGAACCGTTTTGGCAGGCCGGACAGGCCATCTGTGATCCAGAAGCGTTCTTCTCCTCTCATACGCATTTGTGTTTTCTCCGGGCACTCTGGTTTCCTCCCACATGAAACACAAAGGCTTACCTGGACGTAATCCTAGCTGGCGCACGGTCACATAAAACGCTCTCCCCTCCCCCCTCCCCCCAGGAGAGTTCCCCACTGTTTCCTTGCTGCTTAAAAGGCACAGGGCCACACGCCCGGTCACCAAAGGCCTTGGACTCGGGAGTCATTTAATCCTGGCAGCTACGATACTCTCGGCGTCCCAGAGGAAGCGCAGATAGAGAGCAGTGGAAAGGATGGAGATGGAAAGAGAGGGAGCATCAAGGATGAAGAGAGAGTGAAAGAGGAAGAAGGAGGAGGGATGGAGGAAGAGTGGAAGAGAGTGGATAGGGATGGAGAGGAATTGGAGGGATGGAGAGAGCGAGACAAAGTCGGGGGATAGAGACAGAGTGAGAGGAAGTGGGAAAGAGTAGGTAGGATGGAGAGGGTGGGACAGGGAGGAAGTATAGGATGGAAAGGGAGACAGATTGAGAGGGAAAGATGGTGAGGGAGATTAAAGGGAATCAGAGGGATGGAGGGGAAGTGAGAGAGTGGGCGAGGGAACATGCGAGCGACGTGGGCCCCACCTCTCCTGCTCCCTCCTCATCATGCTGATCTCCTCGTCGGTGAGGATGCTGTCATCTCTCCTCGATCCCTTCCTCTCCACCTTCACCGCTTTCTCTTCCTTTTTGCTCTTCCCAAACCTGCGATACCATCAAGCACAGATGTAACTTGCACAACACGCGAGCCAAGCGACGCAAAGAAGGCATGCATATGCATGGCATTCTGTAACGATTTCCAAACTGTGTTTTTAATTAGCGGCACGGAAGCCGACGTGTGGCTGTCTGGGCAAACAAACAAAAGTTTGCTCATTTTTAAATCGTTCATTTTGTTCTCGGTTGAGTTTACAAATTATGGGCAACCCTTGGACAGTCGGGACGGACAGAGCTCAAGTAGAAAAACTAGCAACAGTACACGGCACGATGCAAAAAAATGGGACAAGAAAAATAATCAACCCGGGGGAATCCAACGGTGACCCCCGAATCTGTGTGGGGCGGGTGAATCGTGACACGGCTGCCAAGTACCTGAACATAACTCCCAGTCCCTTCATAATGCCCTCCTTCTTCTCCTTGTCCCTGTCCTTGCCGCGCTCCCTCTCCTTCTCCGGCTTGCTCTTCTTCTCCTTTCCTGCCGTGCCGCGGCCGTTGTGCCGTCCCCGGGGGGATCCCGGTTGCGAGAGCGACTGGAGGCGGTTGGTGAGGGCCTTAGGCGGGCGCCAGCGAGGGCTGTCCACCGTCTCCTCCTCCACTGCACGGCACGAGCACAGACAGGCGGGAGCCGCTGTTATCAGTCTTGCAGTAGAGCCCGTCAGCGTCAGGTGGTGACGGCTCTCGGGAAATTCCACCAACGGCAAAGGGAATAATTCCCCTCGGGCAGCGGTGATTGGGGCTCGCGATTGTCGGTCTGAATTGGGACGAGGGGGTTTCATCTCGGTAAGGTGTGTCTGGGTCGTCTATCGTGACCTTATTTTACTTCACTTGGTTTTTGTTTATATATTCGAACCAAAAAACTGACGAGCGATAAATATTTTTCATGTACGTATGTTTCTGTGCGTACCGCGTACACACTGTAAGCCGCGCGGGCTCCGCATCTGCCGCAGCATCATCATCCAGACTTTGTTTGCTGCTGTTTGAGGCCACATTCTTTTGCAGTAATCCCTGCAGTTTTGGATAAACATATACTGTACATCTTTTTTTAAGTGCTACCCTTTTATAAATCCACTGCAGAATGAGATGTTTCACCATGCCATGGTGGTCATTGGGGTTGTTTGACCATATTTCTCCATGCGAGTCAGTGGACATCTGTGAAGAAGAGCTTTTTAGTTAATCGGATTCCTCCAGCATAAATAAACATTCTGATTCTGAGTTCAGACATCATTCCCCAATGGCGTTAAGCGAGCAGTGCGCTAACCACCACAAGCGGGCTCTATTAACACGACTAAATCTAGCAGCATCTCTCTCCCGGTAAAAAAAAACTAACACTATCCATTGACACATTACAGAAACTGTTATCAAAGCTTTTGCTAATTACCATCACAAAGCAATCGGACGAATGTCAACCGAAGCCAAAAACAACGTTCGAAGAACTCCAAACATTTGACATTCAAAGAACTCCAAACATTCGTATTCAGAGATGGCAACCTAAACAGGCATCGCGCGCGTCCAAATCAATTTTGCGCAAACCGAATTTGTGACATGACCCCGGGTGGGGGATTTTATTTTTTTAAATCCGCTCCTGCCCGCGACCCAAATCAAATCCTTAGCGTTCATATGCTTTCACAGCTGCGTCTAAACAGGCAGGAAGTTTAAAATGTTAACGTGAAACAGAAGGCCCCGGGGGAACGGGCCCAGTTTAAACGCGGGGGCCCCCTGTCACGAGCTGTTTACGCTGCATCCCCCCGAGTCACCGTGATCACAAGCCAACACTCTTCCTGCACACAGCAGCAGCAGCAGCAGCAAGTCAAGTCTTCCTTCGGTTTCATGTTATGTGTTGTTGTTGTTGTCGTTTAAATATCACCGACAACGACACGCTCTCCCCCCCCCCCCCCCCCCTTGACGCGACACGTTCAGTCAAAAAATACAAAACGTCGCGCGGGGCAAATGCGGACGCGTCGTGGCATCGTACGGGTCAAGGGGGGAGACAAAAAGCACTGCTAAGGAACAACAAGAGTGCCGAGCAGGATCACCTGGCACCTGGAAACCAAGAGGACCGAAATGAAGGGGTACACCCGACTCCCTCAGCCCAGATGTTAACTACCTCGCCTGTATACAGGAGGTCATGGGGTCGATCCCTGATGCCTACTGTATATTGAAGTTTGCGTGTCTCTCTCTTCCCGTGGTCGTGTGGATTTTTCTCCGGGTCCTCCGGTTTTTCCCTCCAAATTTAAAATAAACACGAGGATTTGGCTGCTAAAAATTTCCACACGATAAGCCACTTCGTCATTTCTGAATAAGAGCTATGCAGCTCAGCGGGCCTTACCTGGTAAAATAAAACATTGTTTCGTTTCGTTTTCAGTGTGCAAAACGTGTGGAGATACGCACTTTGTCCTCCAGACAGTCACAATTTAATCATTTTCGGCATCTGGAACACTCAGAAAGCCTCTCTCAATACTGGCGGCCCGAGGCCACCACCCCAAGCTCATTTTATTTACGGTATACTTGTTGCAAGGGTTAATTGGCAAGTTGAACATTGCGAGTTGTTATTTTTTTGTATTCGTCAGTTTGTAAGTTTGTGTTTTGCCATGTTGGCTAATTATTTGAGCCACTCAAATAATTGCCGACGCGACTCTTACACGTGTCGGGGTCGCTGCCCTCTCCCTCCCCGCGCCCGTGCCGGCTGGAGCCTGCACTGCGCGACTCGGTGACCCACGACTCTGCGTCGCTCGCGCCCATCCCCGCACCGCCGCCGCCCTCCTCGTACGACTTGTCGATGGCGGCCCGGAAGCTGGCGTTGCAAGCTCGCCCGCGGCCGAGGCCGGAGCGTGGGCGTCCCGGCGAGAAGACGCCGTGGCCGCTGCTGTCGCCGCCACCGTCGCCTCCATCATAGTCGTCGTCGTCGTCGTCGTCGTCGTCGTCGTCGTAGTAGAAGTCGCCGTCGTGATGGAGCTCGCCGCCGTCGTTGGCTCCCGACGCCGCGGCCACCGCGGCCTGAAGGCTCTCGAGCGAGCTGGACATGACCAGGCCGAGGGAAGGGCCTACACTCCTCGTGTTCCAGCCTTAAGGGGTAACGATATACGAGTTATTTATATTTTTTTGTTACGTTTTTGATTGGCTACTTTTATTTTCCTAACGGTTTTCATTCCAACTGCGCTATCGGGAGCATGTGGTGCGCTATCGGCACCATGTGGTGAGACGACACATCCTCTCGGATCTCTCGTGGCGCATTAGCCCATGTGGAAGGAGCTTTCACAGAACTGCTTCTGAGATCCATTCAGGTAACAGCCTAATTAATAATTCCCAGTACTGAATATTTTTCAGCACTTTGGAATTAACCAAATTAAGTGAAATACCATATTTAATATGACCTTTACTTGCAGTGATTGATGACTGGATTTGCAACAATCACCTTACTACACTTGAGAACCTGGTCTAATTTTGGGTGTCTGCTGGAATTCAGTGCTCAATCCCGAGTTACCCAGTCACTTCTTTTGATAATAAACCATTCACTTGTCTTGAATAATCCACATAGCAATTAGTTCAGTGTTGATTTCAACTTATTGGCAGTGATCGTCATTAACGTAATATTTGTGCTACAATCGGCACCGTGTTGTTTTTGTGTGGAACTTCTTGGGTCCAAAGCAAAGCGGCGCGTTGTTATCGGAGAACAGCGCCTCCCTTCCAATAACCACGAGATTGCTCCTGCCAAACGTTAATCTCTCAAAAAAAGTTACTTCAAAAATCGCAAGAAATTACACAACTGTAGCTCTTGCAGCTGGGCCGAGCCAAATGAGATTAGAAAAACTAATTTGATGATGGGTATTTATGAGCGCGGTTACTGGCGATGGGCATGAGATCATCAACTCTCCAACTCCTGAGAACCGCTGCTCTGACAAAGCCATTATGTGCCCCCCTGAGGAAGCCACGCACCCCCCTTTATTATTTCTAGATTTGAAGCTTTCGTGACTGCAAGGATCCATACTTTTTGGTTCTATTCGGGAAAGTCATGTAGGTAAAAAATTAAAACAACACCTGATGAAGGCCGCTTGTGTTGTGGCCGAAACGTTGTGATTTTTGTTGCTTTAATTTTTTACCTACGTGACTTTACCGAATAGAACCAAAGAGTATGGCCCCTTTAGCATGTTTAACTTACGCCACATGCATGCGGAAATCAGTTACAACCACAACGGTTAAACAACAAAAATAATTAAGGACTATATTAAAATTAATACAAAAATCTCCCAAATATTGAATCGGTGCTGATTATGAGCCAACCCCTGGAACCATTCCCACACAGGGCAATCAAGATATTACGCTCAACAAATAACAGACGTTTATTCTGTTGCCCGTCTCTCTCTGTTGCCCGACGTTTGTTTGGTGAACGTTAAAACTCAGCTCCGCTGGAGCCTGGGGCATTCAACAAAAAAAAAAACCCTCTTCTAAAAACCTTAAATGCACACACATGGACAGCAGCGGGATCTAATAGGCGTCAGACACCCACCCGTCACCACGCAACTGTCTTAGCCGCTGGCCTGCACGGGTACCACCTGGGGTGGCAGGTGCAACCCTCGATTTTCTACGGGAAATTTTAGGTCGAGATCACAAATTATTATGATAGCAAGATCCTTGTGGTAGCTTTGTGAGATAACGAAAAACTCAATGTTTTTAAACGGAACCATATTATATTTTTTATAGATCATTCAGGAATGTTAAAACATTTAATATGAAACATCTACAAAAAATGAATGAGGTGTCTTTTAAATATATGGAACCATCTTCTTTGGGTCTTTGGGTAAAGTCATGTAGAACAAAAAAATTTACCAAAAAAAACGACGTTTCGATCCTGATGACGATTGCTTGTGTTGCAATCGAAACGTCGTAGTTTTTGTTTGTTTGTTAATTTTATTGTTCTACATGACTTTACCGAAAGACCCCAAGAATATTAATTTCTGCAGTCACGAAAGCTTTAAGTCATATGGAACCAATCGATTATGTTTTCTGGCCATGGTGGATTCTGCCCATTGCGGACATTGCTCATGGTGGATATTGGTCGCATTTGCCACCCCAGGTGGTACCACAAAACCCACCATTGGCTCACGGCCTACGAGGGGGGCAGGGGGCGGGGGGCACATGGCCTCTCGTCACTCTTCCCGGCAGGTCACGAGCGCCGCTAGGGGGTCCCCCCTCTCGTTTTTCCGTTGTTTCATTTCAAGGCCTCGTTTGATTGCGGGAGCGAGCCGAGGGCAGAGGCCACACGAACCAGGGGAATAAAAGAACCCCTCTGGGCTCAGAGACACAGAAGGCGAGACGGCACTGGTGGTGACAAAGTGCTCCCCCCCCCCCCCCCCCGCCCCGCCCCACCAACAAGCCCTTACCCCCCACACGCGCTTTGAAGCAACAGACAGCGCCAAATAAAATGACAACTCCGGGCGGGCCAAATTAACGGTCGCCGATGCCGGCTGGTTAAAAGGCCGCTTGACCTTCACGAGGGTCGCGTGGCGACGCCGAGCCAGTGCGCGGCTGGCTTGGGAATTATCGCCGCGCGGCGGGGCTCTTGGAGCGCGAGCGTGGAGCGAGGTTGCGCGCTCGATCCGCTTTACCTGCCCTCTGCTGCGACGCGCGGCCGCGGTCGTTTTCGTCGGCGACTGCGAAAAGAAACGGGGTGCGGTTTTAGACAGCATGCTCAACTCCCGTGTTCCATTACACACGGAACATGTGTATATACGCGCACACACGTGTGCGTGTGTGTGCGTGTGTGTGTACATATGTATGTTTCGTGCGTGGCATTCATCCTCGGAGATAACGGAGCAACGTTTAGTTCGCGAATTGACTTTGAACACAGGCGACCACTGCGCTCTTAGCAGAAACAGAGATTGAGTTGTTGTTGTTGTTGGTTCTGTGTGATGGCGATCGATCCAACGAAGGCCGGCATGGCAAACGAGAGAGTGGTGTGGCCAGCACCTGCACCCAACCTGCCTTTGTCTCTCCCGTGCTGCTGTGATCTGCACCATCCCATGAAATGCTCACTTTCAGGCCAATTCAAGCGAGCGAATCCCCCATCTGGTATGGATGCCAATCTCCCCTGATGTTATGCATCATGGCAATACGGGGCTACACACACATAAAGACAAATCTTCCCCATATAGCCTTGAACAGTCTGTTGGGGCAAGTGCTGTGAGGGAGCACCCATTGAGGCTGCATTGGGACACAAGGGAGGTGGGTGACCAAGCACCATGCCTGGCCATATATGTCGCCCCAGTGCTGATGGTGACACACTGATGGTTACTCTCTTCAGGCTGAGTCGACCTCGGGGAGGCCCAGCACCAATTCAAATATTCATCACTGTCATTGGTCGCAAGTGAGAATCGAACTCGGTTCGCCGGGTTCGTAACGCAGTGCGCCAACTGCTGAACCACCTCTCTCCATAATGCTACACACTTACAAAGACAAAGGTCCCCCAGGTAGCCCACACGAACTGTTGGGGCAAGTGGTGTTCGCGAGCAGCAGCACCTATGAGGGGCAGCACCACGCCCAGCCACCGTTGTCTCCTTAGCGGTGAAGTTTTTACACACCGCACCACGTACCCATTTGAGGTTAAGTCGACCTAGGAGAGGCCCAGGACCAGTTCAGATAATCGTCACTGATGTTGGCCGTGAGCGGGAATCGAACTCGGGTCGCCTAGCGCAGCGCGCTAACTACTACACTACCGCTCCCCACGTACACACGCACACACGCACACACGTACACACGTACACACGTACACACATACGTGCACTCACTGATGTCCATGCTGCGCGACTTCCTGTGCCTGATGCCATCAGCGGGGCCGTCGTCCCCAAGACCTCTCCCGTGGCCCTGGACGCTCGGCCACCCCGGCTCATCCTCAGAATCGTGGCACCAGCCCACGCTGCGGGCACATCGTCACCATCGTCATCCTCAACGAGTGATTTCGCCAACCCTGCCTCCAATATTCTGGATTACGAACTGGCACCACTGCACTTGGATAACTCTCATGGTGGTGGTGATGATGATGATGATGGCCATGATAGTCACGATGACCATGACAATGATGATGGCATTGATGATGATACCAAGATAATGATGACAATGAAGAGATGACGGCACTGATTATGGTGACGACTACAGGGAAGGGGGAATAATGGTGGATCACGCCTACCTCGTGACGGCAGGAGGCCACTGCGTGCCCCGTGGCCCCGATCCGCCGTCCGTCCAGGAGCTGTGGTTGAGGAGCGGCGTTCGCCGTGGCGGGAGAGGGGGTGGGGGGCTGTCCGCTAATTCTCGGTCCCTGGGTAACGTCCCCCACCCTCCTGTCCCCCACCCCCGCCCCCAACACAGAGCAACGCTTTAATTGACGTCATTCGTGCTCGAGCAATCTTTTCGATTCGTCACGAGACGCAGTTGCTGCACGTCGTTTTGTTTTGCTCTCGTTGTTAACGCCGCGAAGCGGGGCTCCATCCTGCTCTCTCGAGTTCTCACCTGGTTCATTGAAATAACCTTGAAACATGATTCTATATTAAACATTGACGGTAGGTACGGTCAATTCAACCAATTCTTTCGATCGATCGATCTCAACGTCAGGTTCTCGTTTTGCCCACTCAACGAAGTTCAACTGTATTCTTGGTTCTTTCGGTAAAGGCACGTAGAAGGGAAACAATGAAATAATAAAAATATAAAACAATAAAATGATCACGACGTTTCGACTGCAACACAAGCAATCATCATCAGGTGTGAAAACCACAGCAAGAAAATTTGAAAAGTTCAACCGGTTTCTCGGCATCTTTACAGCTCTTGTTACGGTCGTCATGAACGACATCGTGAACATTGCCATCGGCATGCCATCTTCACAATCCATCCTTCTGTCATCATCGGAGTCATCATTGTGACTGTGATCATAAGTGACGGGTATCCAAGTTGAACTTACTTTGCACCGTATGTAGCCAACCGTGCTAATCAGAGGTACATCATCGTTACCGTGAATGTCGTCAACATTGTGGATAGCACGCGTAACAAAAACCACACTAATGGTGCACGATCATCATCATCATCATCCGTATTGTGACCACAACGTCAACATCACTGCTCTTCGCTGTTCATACGGCCTCTTCCGGTTGCTGTCCCGTGTACGGATACTCCAGGCCCCGTCCAAATCATTCCCCGAGCAGGGCTCTCCACCGTGTCTTAGGATGGCCAACCGGTCTATTGTCCGACAGACTTTGTGTGTAAGGAATCCCAGCCAGCCCATTGTGCTCCATGATTAACAAATCGCCCCCTCAGTTTAACACGTAGGCCTTGGCGACCAATATTATCCGTAATATAAGTTTGTTTTGGAGTTAGATTATGTAAATATAAATGTGTCGTGAAATCCACCACCACCCGACAAAGCCAGTTGGTAAGGTTTGTCACGTGAACAAAACGTGCCAATTCGTTACTAGTTCAGCACACCGGTGCATTGGAGAGCAAACCCACAACATTTACAATTCGAGTATTACGTTTGGCTGGTAATTATCCCCCCCCCCCCCCCCGCAAGAAGACTATACAGTAAAACCTTGGATTGTGAGTAACTTGGTCTGCGAGTGTTTTGCAAGACGAGCAATTTTTTTAAATAAATACCAGATGTACTTATACATTATCATCATTATTCTTGCGGGCTGCCCATTTAATTGTTTTCTCTATGATCACACTGCTTACGAGCTGTTGCCTGGTTTATTGTCGAACGAATGGGTTTGTACACGTGTCTGCGCGCCGTTATTGTCATCTCAACATGCAGTGAGTTATGTACAAGGCACTAGCGGTGGTGCAGCCATTAGCAAACTGCGCTCTGAACACAGCGGCCTTTGCGCAGGACGTACAGAAAACCAACGGCCGGTTTCAACACGCACGCGACTGACAGATAAAAGTCATACAAACGCCCTCTTACCGAGAATGCCATTCTTCAGCCCTGATTGGTGGGCTCCGGTCGTGTGATAAAGGAGGGAGTTGTAGTCCGAGTGAGTCTGATCCACGTGTCCCGGTGAAACTGCCTTGAAGGAGCCCTGAGGGACGATCGGCTGAGGAGGGCAAACAGAGGGAAGAAACAAGCACGAGCGAATATCCACATTTCCATTATCAGACCGTAGCCTGTCCCCACACCAATACCCCTTTTCCACTGGCACGTCTGAGCCAAGCCAGCATGGGACCCTCATGGTATGTATGTGGAGGGGGGGGGGGGGGGAAGGTTCCGCTGGCTATTTGCTTTGCCGAGGCCGAATCAAACTGTGATACGCAGGTCTCACAAGGCATCTAAATCTGGCTTGGCATCATCAGTTAGTCCACTGACACAGTGGACTGCGTCAAACAAACACAAATGTCTCCCCTGTATAGCCTTAACAGACTGTTGGGGCAGGTGCTGTTAGCAAGCATCCATGAAGGCCGGCACGGCACAAGAGGGGGCCGGGTGGCCACCACCACACCCGGCCCGACGCCTTTGTTTCTCCAATGGCGATGGTTATAATCCCGCAACAGGTACCCATTTGAGGCCGAGTCAACTCAGGGGGAGGCCATGGACCGGTGCGGATAATCGCCACGTCGCAAGCGACGTCGAGGTGCATCTACACAGACGTGTAGATGCACCTGCTTAGCATGCCCACCCCCCCCCCCCCCCCTAGTGTGACTCGGTTGTGCAGTGCATGGAAGAAGGGGAGAGAGAGGAGAAGGGGGGGGGGGGGGGGGGGAAACGGAAAGATGTCACGCCTCCCCTCAGGTTCTACCCGACGGCGCACCTGGCTGAAGCGGACGGCGCGGCGAGCCACCACGATCTGGATCATTCCCCGCACGTTCCCGTCGGTGGACATGGAGCGGCGCAGGACCTCCATGGCCTCGGAGTTGGTGCGGCCCAGCAGCGACTGCCCGTTCACCGCCACCAGCTGATCGTTCACGCGCAGCCGCCCGTCCTGTGGGGGTCAGCGAGAACAGCCGCGTGACCGTTATCGTGATTGAGGTTTTAAAAAAAAAAATGCAAACATCCTCGTCGACGTTGGATAATGATGACGGCGATGACGACGGCGATGACGACGGCGGTGACGACGGCGACGACGACTACAAATCTTCCTGTACGAGGTAAAGGTGCAGTCCTGGAATCATCACCATCGTTGAAAGCAAAATGACAATTCAAATCAACACTGTCATCATTATCCCATCACAACCGCTATTTTTACCTGTCATTATCATCAAACGTAAGTAAACATGCACAATCATGATCATCAAAGGCAAAATCACAATCAGCATCATCATCATCATCATAACCCAATAAAAAATTATTGTTTTGTCCTTCCCCACGCCTCCTATTAGTTGGTTGGCTACGTATGGTGCGAAAGAAGTTCAACATACACACGTTTTCTGTCATCATCATCACAAGAGAACCAGCAGTCTAAATCAGCAGTCATCCTTACCACCGTCATCTTCATCATCACAGCTAACCAAAATAAGTAATATTTAAAAATACTTTTTTTTATAAACACGATTTAATAAAATGTACCGTACGAGTAATGTAAGAACTCCACGACTCCAGGAAGTGGCTCCGAGGCTTGCCACAACGTAAGGGGACCGTGGTGATTTACAGCCAACGTCAGTTGAGCGTGGACAATTAGACCCGTAAAAAAGATTGTTTAAAAATATGTTTTTTAATGATAGAATATAGTATTGTCATCAGTATGACATACCTATACCAAGTTTGCAGTCGATAGCACATTGGGAAGTGGGTAAAAAATGAGTTACAAGATTTTTTGAGGATACAACAACAGACGGAGTGAGTTAAATAAAAGCGTGAAATAAAAAAAACACATTTAGACAATCGTCATCAACTGCTCCCCCCTGACTGCCTCTTCGTCCGCAGCACCGCCAAAATTCGGCACCTTGGAGGCGGCTCCGCCAAAGATGATGGACTTGACGAAGATGCCGAGGTCGGTGTCGTCCTCCCGCGAGCCCTTCACGCTGATGCCGAGCCCCGCGGAGCCCGAGTCATTGAGGGGGATCTCGTAGGTGAACATTCTTCTCGGCGTTTCGGGGGGGGGCACGGTGGCCGACCCCGTGCCCGCCGCGGGGCCCTCCACCTCGTCGCCGTCGCCGCCCGCCTTCTGCTGAGCGATCGACACAGCGCGCCACGTGATGTTCGGTAGCAGTCGCGCGGCGGTGGCAGAGTCACAGTGAAGAGATGTTAACTAGCTGGTATATAGGAGGTCATGGGTTTGATCCCGATCCTGATGCCTGCTGTATATTTGGAGTTTACGTGTCTCTCTCTCACTATCATAGCCGTGGCTTGGAGATATTAACTACCTCGCCTAGTATACAGGAGGTCGTGGGTTCGATCCCGACCCTGATGCCGGTATATTTGGAGTTTGCACGTTGCGTGGATTTTTCTCTGGGTCCTCCGGTTTTCCCCACACACATTTAGAAAGATGCGTTCAGAGTATTTGGCTGCTATACATTTCCATATGATGATAAGCCACTTCGTTGAGCTATCATTTGTGGCCATAACGCTTCTGAAAAAAAAGCTATATAGCTTAGTGGGCCTTACCTGATATATAAAAATGGTTAAAAGTTTAAATAGTAGTTTATATCGTCCAGCTATTGATTACAGTGGCTTGGTGGTTTGAACTAAGAGGAAAAACCAAGGACAGCATGATGCACCGGCAAAATTGTAAAATATATTTAGGGGTAAAAATAATATAAAAACATGGAAGAGTAGGCCAAATATCCTCTAAAATGGCTCTCCAGAGTTCCCTCAGGTGGGGGCACATGGGTACACACCCCGTGTGGCAGCACTTCCCGTAAAATTGAGACGTAATGATGGGATAAAAGCGAGATGTGAAGTATGTTTATTACACCTGGAACGGTTCTACAAGACCATTATATGTAGCCTATAATGTACATCAGGTGCTCCTCTGGCCTGTGGGCCCTGGTGCAGTTGCACTGTCTGTACACACTTGATAACTACACCACTAACAAAAACCCCCCTTGACTCACATGGAGACCCATAAGTTCGCATGGAGACCAGTGAGATTGCATGGATTGCAGGGGCCCTGGTGCAAGACATTAAATGAGCCGCCCCCGCTGTCCTATTTCTGAACACACATCGTAGCCCAAACGTCCCAAGCGTGGGCCAGATTGCCAAGGTGACTCAACCGCCAGAGCCGACCGTGTAGCGCCGCTCCCTGCTACGTGCTAGGCGCAGGCCTGAGTGCGCGGGGGCGGCTTCTCTCTCACTCTCTGGGGTCTCTCGGTTCTGGCCCCTGTCCTGTGCTGCCCCCCATCTCATTCTCCCCTCACACCCTGGTCGTCCTCACAGCTGCTAACTTCTCCACCTCCAAGCTCTGGCAACAAGAGCAGTGGGATGGGGGAGTGATGGCCCAACTGGAAAGGCACGGCGACCCGTGACGTCATTTCAGGCGGCCCATATTCACACGATCGTGATGTGCGATGTACTCGGACGAACTGACATTTTCATCAATGCCCGGATGGTGATGGTGTAAGTGATTGTGTGTACTCGGGGAACTATTTATACTATTTATCCATGACTGCATCTTAGCTGCACTAATCAAGTACTACTGGCATCAACACTGTGTTTCTAATCATAGCGCCACGCTCAGTCACCTGTTGTCTGCCAAGTAGTTCTAAACACGCGGTCAATGCACAGAGGTCGCAGTCGTGCGGTAAAGCTGAGCCCTACTCATTTTTCTCATGATTATTATTATTCTTGTTGTTGTTGCGTAACGGTGAGGTGCGTGTTGACGTGCTCGCAAGCCGACAATATTTGCCCCCCCCCCCCACTCTCACGAGCTCGTCTATGCGGTCACCCGGCGTTGTGCCGTCACTTGCACAGCTGCAGGACACGTGTCCTCAGCCACCAACTTGGTTCCCACGTTGTTAATATCGGCTTAATATGGGACAATTTAATACGGTATTTATTATAAAGAGACACTTGTGCTATTCCGTCAACCCACGCAAGACCCAGCACAGCGAGGGGTCCATCAAACCCTATGACTGGCAGGACATGGGAGAGAAGCCTTGGTGGTTTAGTGGATTGACAAAGGGATGGTCACGATAATTATTGTATCCGTGACAGATTTAATATTGGAGCAAAAATCTGTTTGTCGTCAGCCGCTATTCAGTGGCACGTGTAAAACAGCAGGCCTTCATCCAGCTGTGGAGAGATTAATGCAAATAGTGATGATGACAAAATGTCAGATCCTACAGTTAAAGAGCCCATCAAAACACCATGGTTAAGTGAGGTCAAAGTGCCTCCCCCTCATTGAATTGGCTTCGTTAAGATGGTCTTATTTTATTTTTGCCAGGCGTGTATCAACACGTCATTAGGTTCTGTTCGGTGCTGCCTTCTTCCACAGACAAAAGCCATGCATATCTCTCAGTCAGCCAGGTCCATCAAAACTGTGCAGTACACTGTAATAAAGTTCACAATAAATACCGGTACCAGATCTCGGTACAAATCAACTTCTGCCGCCCAAAACACAGATGCCAATTCCCAGACTGTCGAGGTCAAACCCGGACATATGGCAACTCCAATTCCACGTGTGTAGTGGCAGATCCTAGAGATAAGCAGCCATCTCAGAAACAACTCGCAGCGTCTCCCTACTCAGGACGAGCACGTGGCGGTAACTCATCTCCGTCACCTGGAGGTTGAAATTCCACGTCACTCTCGCAGGGCCCAGAATCTATTCCACACGTCGACTATTATAACAGACTGCAGACAAAAGCCGTCTCCCCCAATCTGGACACGGATAATTATCCGGAACACACAAAACGAGCGTCGCGTTAATGGCATCGCTACGCGGGGGCAAAAACTCTCAAAGCACTCGGAAGGGCTCAACGAAAACAACGAGCGCGGCGCTAGCGGACGTGCTCGGCGGTCAGCCTTAAAACAGAAAAAAAAGGAGTGCATTTAATTAATTAAATCATAGAAGTAGGTGCGGCCGAGCCTATTAATAGGCATAAAGAGATAGAGTTATCATCGGTCAACGGGGGGGCTGGGCTACGGGGCAGCAGCATCTCCGTGGCGCCAGCACCGGACAGTCGCCGATTTCCTTCCCACGCTGCGACTGCTGCAGTGGTGGGCCACTTGCATCCCAAGACGGGGACAAGGACGATGATGATAACCTCTCCTCTTCCTCCTGCTCCTCCTCCCCACTACCAGCCCCCGCAATGCATCTTTCTGATATGACCAGAGGAGATTAGGCAGTTCATGAGTTACATCTCTGCGGGTGCGTGTGTGTGTGTGTTGTGGGGAGCGGTAGTGTAGCGGTTAGCGCTACGCTGCGCTACGAACCCGGCGACCCGATTTGGATTCTTGCTCACGGCCAACACCGGTGACGATTATCTGAAACGGTCCTGGGCCTCCACTAGGTCGACTCGGCCTCAAATAAGTACCTGGTGCGGTGTGTAAACATCGCCACTGGGGAGACAAAGGCGGCCGGGCGTGGTGCTGGCCACCCCACCCCCTCGTGTGCCGTGCCGGCCTTCCGTAGGTGCTCGCTAACAGCACTTGCCCCAACAGTCTGTTCAGGCTATACGGGGAATCTTTGTCTTTTTGTGTAGATCGGTGGTGCAGTGGTTGGTGCGCAGCGCTACAAATCCAGTGACCCCAGTTAAATTTCCGCTCATGGCCAACACTAGTCACAATCATCTAAACTGGTCCTGGGCCTCTCCAAGGTCAACTCGGCCTAAAATTAGTACCTGGTATGTGTAAACATCGCCACTAAGGAGACAAAGGCAGCCGGACGTGGGGGATCTTTGTCTTTGTTGTGCTATATATGTGATAAATGGCAGGTCTTAATTTCAGCTGGAAAAATTGTGAACGCTGCTCAGGGAATTATTTTGGCATGCCACATCCATGTCGCCTTGTTTTGTTCTCAGAGTGACGCAGTGGCGTGCAGAAATAACTCCAGGTCATCGTTATTACCGGGTACTCCCATTTGTATGCATGTATGTTTCGTACCGTACAAAGTCAAAGGTGCTCATATGAGGTATGGGAGATTATAGGAATATAGAGGACAATCATTTCGGGCCTTGGTAACATCATCGCACAGTCAGCCGCGTCACACTGGGCGTGCCTTGTTAGGGGTTTCCAGCCCTCAGGAGGCTGGATGTGGGGCGGCTGCCATTTTTCAAGAGGCCTAAGTTATCGATGACAAATAACAATTTCTTGTCACTTGATCGATTTAATTGTTCCATCTCTAACATACACATTGGTGAAGCTCAGTTTGGAGGTGTTCACATGCATCGGCAGTCCTGAGCCACCGGTGCAAATTCCTCATTCCCACGGTAGGGGATGAGCCTCTCCTGTTCGACAGCTGCCATTGACCTCCCCCACACCAGGTGCTGCAGCTTTGCCAAGTGCTGCTCTGGTTTTGCCATTACCTACACTCCAGTAAAATCGTACGTTGACCTGCGACCTTTATCGGACGTTGACGTGTCCTCCGTTGCAACATAACACGAGTGACGTACGGAGTCAAGAATGGCAACGCAGCGCGAAGCTACTCTTGAGGTTGAGGGAGGGAACGTAAACTGTTTGTAAACAAGAACATGGGAACCAAAACAAAACAGACGAGGCATTCCGCGCCACTGTAAACACTGTGGCTAAATGGGCTCTAATGCTACGTTCAGGATTGAAAACACAACGTGGGTCATAATTTGCAAATCCTTCACAGTGGATTTGTCTAAAGGGCTCAACTGGAATTTCGCGACAGAGTTTTGAGAACCACTGCGGGAAGAAAAGGGGTGGGGGCAGTGGGGGGCGGGGGGGGGAGTTTGCTCTCTCACTCTTTTAAAATAAAATCGGAGCGGTCACAGTGACAAGGAGTTGTCAGGGCGTCTGTGCGCCTGGTGAATCCCGGAGTGACCGAGGGCGGCAGGAAGCGTTTAATTTTACCGGCACGTCCTCTCCGATGCCGCGAGATAGCGCAAAGTGCTAGCGGCCATCTTGTTTTGACTTGTATCGAGCGCTTTCATAGCAACACGGCTTAAATAGACCTTTTCTCTATTTGAGTAAATCCTTTTTTTAAAGCTAATAATAAAGCCATATACGGCCCCACAGCAATGCAGTATTCCCTCGTTATCCACAAACTTGCTCTCCGCGATTTTGGCTATCCGCGAATCGCATCTAGAACTCTATGTGACTGCATTGAGAGAGAGAGAGAGAAATAAAGTGATGAGAGAGAAAAGTGGTGAGATGTATTATTTACGTATTTATTTTAGGTAACTCGTAGGCCAATGTCATTAACCGAAAAATTTGTTATTCACGAGATTTGCGTAAGGTATACCTCGTGGATAACGAGGGAATGCTGTACACTACTGGAGGAAGGCGTCCATGCGCCGCGATTGTTATGGTGGTTGTCTGAGCGTTCTTCATCCTGGTGGTTAGTGCGGGAAGTTGAAAGGAGTGGGAAGCCGAACATCGGTTCAGATGTCACTCACCGCTGGCTTTAGCTGTGGCTGGGATTAAAACTCAGGGTAAGAGATCCAAAGCACAACGTGCTAACCACTGTGCCACCACTCCACCCCAATCGTCTATTTAGGAGAAATTAATTTTACGCAAAATGCCCTTAACTTCTCAAACTTGAATCAATCATTATAATTGCATGGGTAGGATTAGCTTATAATGCTATTTAACACATTCTTATTTTTTAAATCACTCAGCTTTTTCAAACATCTCACAGCAGTGACTCACATACACTCGTAGTGCATTGAGTTTTAATCTGTACTGACTGAACCGAGAGTTATTGCCACGTGTGACTTTCCTATTGACTTTTTAATAAATCCAGCATTGAGAATTCCTTCGTTTTGACGATGAGGACACATTTTCCACATGGTCATAAACTTACGGCCTTGACAATAATACAAATTACGGTGAACTTCTCCGTGCCTAATGTGACACGTCGACAGCTCCTACGGGATATAAAAAAAAAACTTTACTCTCCAGTCACCCTCCTCCGCACCGACCTTAACCCAACTATTCCCCCCCCCCCAACCTCCCATTGCTTCACAGAATCTTAACACTGGACTGTACTCATATGTAATGCGTGTCTGCCGCGTGCCTAGCGAATTCCGAAGTGACTATGCACGCCTCTAATCCGGCACCGTGGCGGCGAGAGTTGGTGGATCGCATGCACAGATGTTGTGAAACTTCCTTCCCGTACGCGTCGAGGTACTAGGAGGCGGTAAATAGCAAAGTGTGGACTAATATTAACTGTCCCTTCTGTATCGGACCGTGTGTTGCCCCCTCACACGCGTGGGTTGTTTCTCAGGATGCTCACGGATTGTTGTTGTAACTTTCTGAACCCCCCTCCCCTCCGTGCCCCTACCGGACATCTGTGAATTTTTTTTTAAAAGAGCTTCATTGCTCATCGGCTTCCTCCAGTGTAAATAAAGATTCTGATTGCTTTCTCCCACATGTATAGACGCTCGATCATTGGCTGAAAAAAATAATTATATGTAGAGGACTGTAGAGCTTGGGAAATTATTGGTGGTGCCGGCTCACCGCCTGGATGCTTGCCTTCTGACTGTGGTTCCTCAGCGATAAAACTAAACATTATTATTACTGTTCAGCCCTTTGTCAATGCCAGGATGACCAAAGGCCTGCACATGCTGTGCCGGTCATGGGTTATTTTTGTACCATGCATCATGACACTGCTTGTAATTACACTCGCCATAAATCTAAATTATAGGGCATTGCAAGACACCTTGTGCCACAAGACAAATGGAAGGAGGAGGGTGCAAGTGGGTGAGACAGCAAGTGGATTATATTGCTGAGAACGTGATAAATGAGTGAAGGGAGCTGCTACTTGGTAAGCAAAATAATTTAAACCCTCCCCTGCTACGTACCCCTGCATACAATGCGTGTATATTTTTATACGAGCCTATTGGCCTTTTCACTTAAGCAAGCAATGTCTGGACTGGTTTTAACATTCTTGGTATCATGAGCAGATTGTGTTTATTCTGAGTATAAGTGAATATATGGAGTGTGAAAGCATCAACAATTTGGCGAGTTAGTCAGTGAGTGTTTATTCTTGAATAACCGAGTGAGCGAGCAAATGGGTAGCCGAGCGAGCGAATGCACGAGTTCGTGAGCGAGTGTTAGCAATGGCACGAGTGAGTTAGCGGGTGTGTTCAGGAGTGAGCAACTACTTCAGTGACTGTGTTCAGTCAGTGCACGAGCGCATTAGTGAGTGGGCGAGTGCGTGCGTCAGCGAGTGAGAGTAAGCGAGCGAGCCGGCGAGCAAGCCGCCACGTACGATGGGCCGCGGCAGGAAAGTGTCCTCTTGCCGTCGCAAGGACAGGGTCACGGCGCCACCGAGTCGCGTGGCCCTGAGCAAGGAAACCACCTCCTCCTGACTCTTTCCTGCAACCTCCTGCCCGTTAACCTACGCACCCAGGTGGGGCGGGGGAGCGCGGGGGGGGGGGGGGTGGAGGGGGGCAGATGGGGGGGTGCAGGGGGGGCGGTAAGGGGGGGGGGGGCGTGAGTCCAGCACAAGCGGGAAGCGGCGGGGGAAGGAAAAAAAAGACAACAAAAATAGGAGGGAGCTCGTATATCGCGCCAGGCATCCTTTCACTGAACACAAACAATGGCACGGGTGACCTCAGGAGGTCAAGTGTCACAGAGACACGGTTTCTGCGTGTTTTGTGTTTTTGGGGACATGGAGAGAGAGGGAGACGAATCGCGTGGTCTCTCGCGCTGGCGTCTCGCGAACGAGGTCTGCGTTTACACCGCACCCTTTCGATGCCGGGCGCTTCTACCGAGCCGCGAGTTCTCGCTCCGGAGAGACCAAAACGTCTACGGTTAAAAATACCAAACCTGACGACAAACGTTCAACAATGCAAATCGAGCGCAAACGGCGGCAATGACAATAGGCAGGCTACAGTAGGAAGCACGGATCACTGCAATTGTTTGTTCCACTGAACTTTATCATTTACTTACAATTTTTTTTTATATATGTACTGTAAAGACTGGATCATAACACACTTGGTGAAGCAAGAAGGGTTCCCGATTAGGAGTTCGGATCCTGGCAAGGGTCAACTCAGCCCCTTAGTCATCATAAACATCATTATTATTATCATCAATCACCATCCTCTCCTCTCTGGGGTGAGTAAATTGCATATCATCCCCCCCCCCCCCCCCCCCACTGAGGCTACACCACTTGGTGGGAAGTCACCATTGGTTGATCTATGGCAAGAATTGTCCCTGGCATAGGAACGTGGACTTTCCACCACCCTCAGAACTCAGGCAGAGGGTATCATAGACAGATGTAAGTGTATGGGAGAAGAGCCGTGGGGAGCTGAGGAGCAATGATCAGCACACCGTGCTAAACACCCTGCTACCTCAGTACGATTCCTGGCAAACAGCTCACATCGCCTGGTGAGTAATATCCAGACCAGTCTTTGGAACCACAACCCCCCCCACCCCAACATGCACCAGGCTGCACTGACCAAAGTGGTGAAGTATGGTCAAGCAACCCCCATGACCGACATGGCGTGAGGAAGCGTTCATCCAGCGGTGAAGTTGTAAAGGGGCTGTAAATTATTGTTACGTTATTATTTTCATTTCCATGCACTTGTGCAACATTACTGTAATTTTGCTGCTGTGTATAGTTAAATTATTAACTGAATTGAAAGATGAATGGCAAGATGTACAACAAATGCTTTTTTTTTTAATGAGCTTTAACAATTTAATTCATTAAACCATATTTTATCCGAGCACGGCAATACACATGCAAGCAAGCCGAGAGGATTATCAAAGCCCACTTGTCATTCGGCGTCTGGGTCATGTTTAGATTCTCAATTACCGTAAACGAGCGTAATGTCTCCCTCTGGGCTTTAACGATTGAGATTCCGCTGTCGTTAAGCCTGGGAAATCTGCGCATACCGTGCGTGGTTGACCAAAAAGGTTACTTTTTATTTTTAAATGTTTGGTTTCAATTGTGAACAACAGCCATATCAGACAGTACATCTAATCGGCATGGCCACTGGTTCACTGCAATTCAAAGACTCAGTCCGACAAGGTGTGCGGTGAAGTTAGATGATGATGCCCATGTGCTGGGAATTTGAAGGCCTGAAGAAGAGAATTGGTGATTTTGCTGACCAGGTGACAGCAGAGGGAAGCTTCTGTCCAGTGAGCTTCTGTCCAGGGAGCATGTCCTGGCAACTGGGGGGGCATAATCGGGTGGTACGCCATCCTTCATATGGGGGTGTAAGCATGGCCTGAAGGTCTTTGAGGCAGTGGTTTGTATGGGTTTTGACATTGTCTCCAGTCCCACGACCACAGACCATACTTAATACCGTCATCCACCATAACTGAATATCACATCATCACAATCAGCCTAGGATCACCCCGCTGCGATATCTCACAGTCCTGCAAATAGACAATTCAACGAGCGCTTGCGCACAATCTCATTTCATAGCTCCCCATCTCCTTGGTGCATGTGGACAGTTAAATAAATGCACAGAACTCCTCTTATCTGCAATGATAAAGATCACCGTACAGGCTGTTGGGGCGAGTGCTGTTAGAGAGCATCTGTTAAGGCCGCGATTGCTTTTTGTTTTCTAGTTTGTTGTCCGCTCCCCCGCACCTCCGATTAGCATGGTTGGCTATGTACGGTGCGGAAGAAGTTCAACATACGTACAAATGAGGGGGTGATGTGACCAACACCATGCCCGGCCACCGAAATTGCTTCTCCAGTGTGTATGTTTTATAAGCACCGCATTAAGTTTTCTAATTCAAGGCTGAGTTGACCTAGGGGAGTCTGAAAATTGGTTCATATATCACTCGCCAACGAAGTTGGCTGTGGTCGAGAACCAAACGTCGATCATCGGGTTCAATAGGCAGTGCACGTACCAGCCACTGCATCACCGCTCCCCACACACACAAAGATCTCCCATGTAGCCTGAGACGTTTTAGGGCAAGCTCTGTTAGCGAGCACCAAATTTAAGTCAGCACAACGCACGAGGTTATGATGCACACCCCCGATTAGCACGGTTGGCTACGTACGGCGCGAAAGAAGTTCAGCATGCATGCATACATCCGTGCAGCCAGCACCATGCCTGGCCACAAACTCTAGCCCACACACAGGTGGCCACACCGACCTCCAGCAGCTGATCGCCCGGCTTCATCCGCCCGTCCGCCACGGCGGCTCCTCGAGGGAGGACGCTCTTCACGTAGAGGGGGTTGTGCTCACCGATCGGGCCTTCCTTTGTGGCGATGGTGAAGCCTAGCCCTTCAGGCCCTGGGAACACCACGACATTCATTGCCACAAACGACACTCAGGAGCTTCGCACGAACCGGACAATTTCAGCAAAGCCATCGGTAACGGCAGAAAGATTAAAGGACCCTGCTTATGAAATTTTGGGGATTTTGGATGTGCATTTATTTTTTTCTTGCCACTTTAACTGTGCGTGTTGCTAAATATTTACTTGTATTTAACCATTCGCATTTAAATGCCTTATAAAAAAGAGTTATACGAGATACAGTTATATCAAAGTTGCACCAGGAATATTGTTGTGATACAACCTAAATCAATTTGAATGGGTCGAGTGTTAGCACAGTCGTTAGCACACTGCGCTATGCACCCCGGAACTTGAGTGTGATTCCTGGCCACAACTAACATCAGTGGTGGGTGATATCTGAACCAGTCCTGGGCACCCCCCCCCCCCCATCACCAAGCCACACAGATCAGCATGGTGACGTATAGTAAAATAAAACACCATGTCCAAAAGCGCATGATGAGCCCTTCATTCGGCAATGGATTGACAAGAGGCTGTAAGTTCAAGTGGAAATTATCAACATGAATATCACAAATATTCTTTGAAAGTCATGTGTTATCTCAAATTTAAGTGGAAAGCTATGAACGTTCAACAGGATTCACTATTTATGGAAAAAAAAACACGTAACTAGGGGCAAGGGCTTTATACATTTTAAGCCGAAAGGACTAAGTTTGTTGAACAACAACTGCATAAGACAAGGTAAGTGTTATCACGACAAGCAGAGCCTAAATCGGTAGCAGCACTAAGGCCTACACAATAGGCTGAAGGCCGAGTTCCCGATCGCTGCGTAACACTTACCCACGGTTGAAAAATCCCAGATTGTGTCACGGAAAACCAAACGTTGGGCATAATTGAGTAAAAAAAACATATATACAATGAGCAAAATAATAACAACAATAATTCATGCATTTTCTAAAACCTCTCAACTGAAAGCCACTTTCTGTTAGAGTGCATAATTCAGGAGGTTATTTGGTAACCCACAAACACACTTTGGCAAAGAAGGCAGCTGTTGGACACATCGTTAAGTTACAACGACAACAAAAAACCCGCAATGGCACAGCTGCACGACAAGTCACGCACTCAATTACACAGAGACGGATTGAAACAACAATCATGACATTTTGGCCAACAATTTTTACTTGATTAAAGGAATTTAGAAGTGGTGGGGGTGGGGGAGGTTCAAGCAATGGGGGAGGTTGCTCAAACTCCCCCTCCTCCCTCCAACCCCACCCAACGCTACAAGGCTTGCTTCAAGTGCAATGGGGACTGACCCTTCTTGAGCCGGATGGACGCTTTTTTGCTGAGCTTGCGCGAGAGGCAGCCGAGGGCGGTGGGCGTCGACAGCTTGCGCAGGCCGGACACGACGCCGCCGGGCGAAGCGTGGCCCTTGGGGGACCCTGGGGGCTCGCCCCCTCCCCGCATCTCGGTGGCCCCCGCCTTTGCCCCACCTCCGCCGCCCGACACTCTGCAATTCCAAGCAAGGTAGGCCGGGTGGTAATAATTAAAAATGTTACTTTTCATTTTACGTCGCGTCGTTCTAAAACCGAGGTTAAAATTTTTTTTTTTTCACCAGGTAAGGCCCCACTGAGCTATGTGGCTCTTTTTCAGAAGCGAACCGGCCATCAAATTATGAAAGCTTAACGAAGTGGCTTACGGTGTGGAAATTTGTCACAGCCAAATACTCTAAAGGCGTGTTTCTAAATGTGGAGGGAAAAACCGGAGGACCCGGAGAAAAAATCCACGTGACCGCTGGGAGAGAGACATGCAAACTCCAAATATACAGGCGTCAGAGTTGGAATCGAACCCACGAACCTCCTGTACCCTAGGCGAGCTAGTTAACGTCTCACGACTCCCGTCCTTCTCTTCCTCCTCATTCACTCCCCATCTTATTCTGCTCCCTCTCTCTCCTTTCCTTCTCTTAACTCGTCACACTGCAGACCCCGGCCAGAGGACATCTGTACCCCCTCGCGTGCGCGCTGCTGCTTGTGGAAGCTTACAACTCCGCTTCCGTTCACTGTTGCGTTGATGTTGAAAATATAAATATATAGTGTGCTGTCCGGTTTAAAAAGGAAACAAGAGGGTCCTCGATGGTCTTTGCAGACCATGCGTCAGCTGTGCAAGCAGCATCAAAGGGCAGAGCAAGGGGGAGTGAAGACAGATCAGGGTAGAAGGAGCGCAGGACAGACCGGAAATCGGAGATGGCATTGACGCAGCAAGAGCAGAAGCAGACGAGCGCCCCAACAAGTCGTGAGGGCCCAAGGGTCTTGAATAAGAAACTGTATGAAACGTCTTTACTTTGATGCCGATTCACGTCTATGCAGCATTGCGATTCCTCTCCTGCAATGAAGTTGTCACTGCTCCGATATCCTTCATTGCTGAATTAAATTCAATTTGTATTTTCCACCTTTCTATAAGGTGGAAACCCCGGTATGGTTTGGGGCAGCGAGCCCGTTCCCCATATTTCTACCCCCATGCTTTTCGTCACCGATTCGGCTTTCGTTGAAGGTGTGTGTACGTGCGCCACAACGCGATGTATCGGGCCCCACACATTGCCTCGGTAAAAATAGAATGTCATTTGACTTTACTACTTTTGTAATTTTGGGGACCCCGAGGTGACTTGCGAATGAATCGATGCTGGTTCCGTTGAATTCTAACATGGTGAAGCAAATCAACTTAAACTCCAAGCAGACGGCCTTTTGCGGCAATAAAACAAAAAGTCGTGATGGTGTGCATCTCTTACCCAAAGTCAAAGCGAGAATCCATGGGAGAGAAGCAAGATGGTGGGCTCATAGATCCAAGGCCGCCGTTCGGGGTGTCCGAATCTGGGTCAATCAACTCCAGGGCTCTTTGGTAGCTCTCCAATTGCTGTGCAGGCACCACGTGAATGACCATCACCCCGACTCGCATCGCCTGCATGAAGATCTGCTGTGACCTGTATCGTCAGAGAAAGAATGATCGTCAAGGAGCAATCAGCCATCATCCTGATCAGCGTTATCATCATCAGCAGCACCATTATTGTGGTGCTCATCATCGTAGCCATCAACATCACTGTCACATCGAAGAGCTGAACGCAAATTACGTCCACAAAACGCCGAGCTGCAAATAAAACTTGATTGACGTCTTTACGGGGCAAAGCAGTAGCACCGTGGTTTGCACATTACGCTCTGAATCCGGTGGCCCGAGTTCGAATGCCGGCCATGGATAATATCGTTGGCGAGTGATATCTGAACCGGTCCTGGGTGCCCCACACCCACCTTCGCTGCTGAGCATGGTCAAGCTTGGTCAAACAAACCCCATAACCAACATGGCATGGGGAGTCCTTCATTCAGCAGTGGAGTGCCTAACAGCAGTAAAATAACATTTTCCTTCTTCCTGACATTTTCCCCACTCGTGTGAGGTTAGCCTTCCCGGTTCTCATTCTCTGCTCATCCCTGGGCCATCACCTCCACGTCCCATTCCACAGTGCTCCATATATGCAGGTTTACCATTTGAAACCACCTCTTTTCGGCCGTTTTGGGGAATTTGGGAGGAACGACTGTGGATAAACGTACTGGTCGAACGTCTTGTCAAGGAGGTTGTTCCCATTGATGATGACAATGCAGTCGCCCTTTTCAAACCAGCAGTGGTGCGCCGCTCTCCCCTGCTCATCCACCCCCCTCACGAGCAGCCCCAGGCTCCTGGGGGTCAGGGGTCAGAAGTGGCGATGACAGACGGAGAGAGAAAAAAATCCGAGTTCGTGACAAAAAAATGTCGATTACTGCGCTCACGATACATTGTCCATTGAATGATGTGTGTGTGCAAGACACGATACATTGTCCATTGAATGATGTGTGTGTGCAAGAGTGGTTTAAATTGTATTTGTGCATGTTGTATGTAATGGGCTTTTATGCGACCCCGTCAGCCACTAGAGGTGTGATATTCAACACAAGAAAAGTTGACTGAGCCGAACCGTGCCTCCACCCAGTAACAATTCATCGAATTCATGATGCTGTCTCTTTATTCCGAGAGTAACATAAAAACAGTGTTTATTATCTTCAAAAATAAAAACTAAGTTAAACGTCCATTTTCATTCTTGTGTTAGTCAACAAAAAAAGCCTTGAGATTGGGACTCAGGGGTATGTGTGGGAGACTGTCACGGCCAAACTTAAACAAAACATTATGTTCTTAGTTTTTTCGGTAAAGTCACGTTGAAGAGAAACAACAAAATAACAAAATATATATATATAAAACAATAAAAATTCTCACGACGTTTCGACCATAACTCAAACGGTCATCATCAGGTGTGATGATGACCGTTTGAGTTATGGTCATCATCAGGTGTGAGTTACGGTCATCATCAGGTGTGATGATGACCGTTTGAGTTATGGTCGAAACGTCGTGAGAATTTTTATTGTTTTAAATATATATTTTGTTATTTTGTTGTTTCTCTTCAACGTGACTTTACCGAAAAAACTAAGAATATGAATTACTGCAGTCACGAAAGCTTTAAATCAAAATTTAAAACATTATGTATTTACATTACACGAAGATTCTAGGAAGGTGACGTCCTCTCACCTCCGTAATTTGGTCCCAAAGTGAACGATGTGTATGCCCAGAGGTCCTCCTTCGCTCGGAACGTGAATCACTTTGCAAAAGTCACTTTAGGTTGATCGGAGAGGGGTGGAGAAAGGGTGAAAGATTTTCAGAAATAGAAAAAAAAACAACTGCACGAGGCTAGATATCACAGCAGCAAGATTTAGAAGTAATGATAACATTGTAATAATGCCCATTTTCAGGCCAGTGCTCTGCTGAACCTGTGCCGCACAGGGACAGCTGCCAATGGAGTCCCCTGGGCTACACTGCAGCAGGGCAATTGACTGGACGAGATGACATTTGATGCAAGGCTTTCCGAGTTGCTGAGGAATTTAAGTGCACCTCCGATTAGCACGGTTGGCTACGTACGGTCCTTTTAAGAATGTCAATACATACACGTGGCCTTTCGTGATCTAACCCAAAAAACAATATTACGGATGATATTGCTCGCGAAACGCGATCTAACCCAGAAAAACAATATTATGGATGATATTGCTCGCGAAACGTGATCTAACCCAGAAAAACAATATTACGGATGATATTGCTCGCGAAACGTGATCTAACCCAGAAAAACAATATTACGGATGATATTGCTCGCGAAACGTGATCTAACCCAGAAAAACAATATTACGGATGATATTGCTCGCGAAACGCGATCTAACCAAGAAAAACAATATTACGGATGATATTGCTCGCGAAATGCGATCTAACACAGAAAAACAATATTATGGATGATATTGCTCGCGAAACGCGATCTAACCCAGAAAACCTATATTATGGACACATACGTACGTACAACTGATCTATTCCTGCAAAACCTAATAATGGGGGGGGGGGGGGGGAGGAGCGGCAGTACAGCGGTTAGTGCACTGTGCTCTAAACCCAGTGACCCGAGTTCGATTCCCACCCATGGCTAACATCAGTGGTGAGCAATGAATCAGTTCTGGACATCCTCTTGGCCAACCCACACTGACCGGGATGGTTAAGCGTGGTGAAATAACCCTCATGACTGACAAGGTATGGGGAGGCTTTCACCCTTCAGCGGACCTATAAAGAGCTATAAACTATAATTAACTTTAAGAGAATAAACTATGACACTTTGGGAGCCGATTGAGACAAAGTGTCTGCATCAAGGCAGTCTTGGGCCAAAACAAAAGCAACCATAAATTCTTAATTATGCAATTGTATATCACAAAAAACAGATCAAATATTGAATCAAAACATTTCAGAGCAAGACAAACACAACAGCGTAGACATCAAAGAGACTGAAATTAAGATTAAGTTAAATAAAAATCCAAGGAAAATTAAATAATTAGACTGACAGTGCAAATGTATATGTCTGGATCGTTGCTGGGATGCGTTTGCCCAATGTTGGGATTGTGTACATTTTCCTTCGGAGACTTTGCGTGTTCATGTTTTGCGTTGTGCACCTTAGACAAGAAGACCAGTCCACCAAATCGTTCTTCCGCAGAGATGACTTGACAATATTGTTCCCATTCTCTTCATAGTCCTGCGATAAACACACATACACAGTAAAAATCATAATAATCATTATCATCATCATCGTCGTAATATTTTTTTAAGGTAAGCCTCAGATTCTCCAGACTCAGGAGACGTGCCCTGCATTGGGATATTTGGTCAATTCCTTACGAGTGTTTTTTTGTTGTTGAAAACAGAATGCCCAGAGGAACGATACCACGGGATAACACGAACCTCAGACACGTATCCTGCCGGATACCTCTACTCGCTTCACATTGGAGGAAACCGACGTCCGATTAGCACAGTTGGCTACGTACGGCGCGAAAGCAGATCAACGTACATACATTCAAGTTGTTGCCTGGTGCACTCGGGGAAAAAAAAACTCACCACTCAAAAGCTCCACGCAGGCAGATACAAGATCCATTGTTGAACTGCCATCTCTTCATCACCTTCCAGCCCTAGCGTACCATGTCTGGTATTTCCAGGAAGTCTCCTGTCCCAGCCCTAGCCGAGTTAAAACTGCTTAGCGTGAGAGATCAAATGGGTATTGATCGGGTGTATTGAGGCCGATTTGGTCGTCGACTAATTAACTCGTAGCAGCTTCTGGATGAGCACTGACACGGTTATTCACAATGTGTGCTGTTTTTTTCAGCCACTGCATTGGAAGATAGTGCAACAATCCCTAAATTAACCGTTCGGTTGCATTTAAATTCAATGAGCCAGCTGCAATGCCCTTTGCAAGGTCATCATGCCAGCCGTGACACTGTGCAGCGATTGTTATTATCGCTTTACTTCCTTCTTAAAACTCGATTAGTCTTGGAAACACTCGAGAAAGGCCATAATTACTCACCTGGGAACACATTCCAGGTTAAAGGTGCCACGCAGTTCAAAGGGCAAAATGCGCAAAGATCCAAAGGGCCTCACTCTGCCACATGACCTTCATTCACCCACGTGCACTCCTGGGCCGGATAAATCGCATTAACCGAAACGGCACATTGCGTTCGCTCAGGGTGAAGACCTCCACGTAATTAAATTACTCTTCTGAGCACTTTACGAACAAAGCCTGAAAGCATTGAGGGGGTGAGCTCTGTCTGACTGTGTGTCTGTCTGTAAAGGTGACCCAACACGTACCAAACAGTGTCATAAAGTTCTGCTATTATGGACATAGCTGATTGAAAGCTGGCCTGGATGTATCAAATATGGCATAAACCAGTGCTAAAAGGACAATGTGCAAAAATGCAAAAGTATTTTGCCTTGACAGCTGCTACCATTGGCTTACATACAACTAATTATATAAAAAAGCACAGTGCAGAATTCATTTGTATGCATGTTTCTTACTTATTTTCTGAGCAAGCACATGTGAACATTCTTTGACGGAATGAAAACAATCAGCTGCTGGAAGAAGGCCTCCCCACGCTGTGCGGGTCGTGGGGGTTATATGACTTAACTATTTACAACTATTATTTTATATTTCCAGGTAAGGCCCACTGAGCTTGTTCAGACACGACCTGGCCACAAATGATAGTGGCTTATCACGTGGAAATTTATAGCAGCCAAATACTCTAAACGCAAGTTTCTAAAGGTGGAGGGAAAAAAACGGAGAACCCGGAGAAAAATCCACACGACCATGGGGAGAGAGAGAGAGAGACGTGCAAACTCCAAATATACAGCAGGCGTCAGGGTCGGGATCGAACCCACGACCTCCTGCATAGCAGGCGAGGGAGTTGACATCCCCTAGCCACCGTGATGATGATGATGAGAGAGAGAGAGAGAGACGTGCAAACTCCAAATATACAGCAGGCGTCAGGGTCGGGATCGAACCCACGAACTCCTGCATAGCAGGTGAGGGAGTTGACATCCCCTAGCCACCGTGATGATGATGATGATGAGAGAGAGAGAGATGTGCAAACTCCAAATATACAGGAGGGGTCAGGGGCGGGATCGTACCCACGAACTCCTGCATACCATAAGTATTTGGTTATTTCGGTAAAGTCACGTAGGTAGAAAACTAATATTAAAAAAGCATAACAGATGATAATTATTACATACTCTTTGGTTCTATTGGGTAAAGTCACGTAGGTAAAAAATAAAATAACAAAAATCACGACGTTTCGGCCACAACACAAGCGACCTTCATCAGGTGAAGGGACGAGACTGTCTGGAGGACAGTGCTGGAGTGAAAAAAGCCACGCTCAGATCACGACCTTTAAGCTGTGTGAGAAGAAACAAAGCGCCTTGACAAAGGAATTAGCATACAATTTAGCATTGAAATGGCTGAGTGATTAGCTTGTGACTGGTCACAGAAATGGCTATGTTAAAGTTAAAGCATACACATCCGCAAAGGCACCCCTTGACAAAGGAATTAGCATAGAATTTAGCATTGAAATAGCTAAGTTAAAGTATACACATCTGCAGAGGCACCCCTTGACAAAGGAATTAGCATAGAATTTAGCATTGAAATAGCTGAGTGATTAGCTTGTAACTGGTCACAGAAATAGCTATGTTAAAGTCAGAGCATATACATTCACCGAGGCACCTAGTACAAATCAAACAGGAGAATTTAGCGAAACACAACCACGCTCAGACCGCGGACCTTTAAACTGTGTGCGAGCAAACAAGGTGTCCTGACAAAGAAATTAGCATAGAAATTAGCATTTGATTGGCCGATTTTAGAAAAGAGGTGGTGTACGTGCCGGTGGACTTGCCGTTTGGCGCGGGGGGGGGGGGGGGGGTGGAAGGGGGAGTTTACCTATTGATGGTGTGAAAAGGGAATTTATAAGAGCTGCGAAAGTTTGGGGTACCACTACTTGAAAATATATACTGTACCATTGAAATTAGTTTAATGTTTAGTTCGATTTAGAACATCTTTCAAATGGTTGCTTAATTTGAAACCATCTTCTCGTTGAAATTGTGTCTGTGTTTGTAGATCTGAATTGCCTCATGAACAAATCTCTGATAAAAACCCGTGGGTTTGCAAAGAACCTTGGTATCGGAGAAAATTATATCGTGATCACCCACAGCGTTGTAACAGTGATCAGCCACGGCAGATGAATTCGTTTTGCCGTGTTTCAAATCTGATTTGTGCTCGCGAATTCGGTCAGAGACATGTCGCTTTGTCTCCCTGATATAGCAATCACCGCAGGTACAACTCAATTTGTAAACCCCGGGGTACTGTAAGTCAGGAATGACATCCGTCACGGATGGGATCAGATCACGAATTTTGTGTACTGTATTGAACCGGACCTGGATCTTGTGTTTGTTTAGAATTTTGGAAATCTTTTTAGTAACGCCTGCTATATATGGTAGTGTGATGGTTTTGACCGGAGTATCAAGTGGTTGTTTCTGTATGGAGGGAGAAACAGCTTGGCGGATGGTACGGTCAGAGTAACCATTCCTTTTGAGGGCCAGGTGTACATGTTTTAATTCACTGGTCAGGTGGTGTTGGTCCGAAATGCAATGAGCCCGGTGATTGCTATATCGAGGAGACAAAGCGACATGTCTCTGACCGAATTCGCGAGCACAAATCAGATTTGAAACACGGCAAAACGAATTCTTCTGCCGTGGCTGATCACTGTTACAACGCTGTGGGTGATCACGATATAATTTTCTCCGATACCAAGGTTCTTTGCAAACCCACGGGTTTTTATCAGATATTTGTTCACGAGGCAATTCAGATCTATAAACACAGACACAATTTCAACCGAGAAGATGGTTTCAAATTAAGCAACCATTGGAAAGATGTTCTAAATCGAACTAAACATTAAACTAATTTCAATGGTACAGTATATTTTTTCAAGTAGTGGTACCTCAAACTTTCGCAGCTCTTATAAATTCCCATTTCACACCATCAATAGGTAAACTCCCCCTTCCACCCCCCCGCGCCAAACGGCAAGTCCACCGGCACGTACACCACCTCTTTTCTAAAATCGGCCAATCAAATGCTAATTTTTATGCTAATTTCTTTGTCAGGACACCTTGTTTGCTCGCACACAGCTTAAAGGTCCGCGGTCTGAGCGTGGTTGTGTTTCGCTAAATTCTCCTGTTTGATTTGTACTAGGTGCCTCGGTGAATGTATATGCTCTGACTTTAACATAGCTATTTCTGTGACCAGTTACAAGCTAATCACTCAGCTATTTCAATGCTAAATTCTATGCTAATTCCTTTGTCAAGGGGTGCCTCTGCGGATGTGAATACTTTACCTTAGCTATTTCAATGCTAAATTCTATGCTAATTCCTTTGTCAAGGGGTGCCTTTGCAGATGTGTATGCTTTAACTTTAACATAGCCATTTCTGTGACCAGTCACAAGCTAATCACTCAGCCATTTCAATGCTAAATTATATGCTAATTCCTTTGTCAAGGCGCTTTGTTTCTTCTCACACAGCTTAAAGGTCGTGATCTGAGCGTGGCTTTTTTCACTCCAGCGCTGTCCTCCAGACAGTCTCGTCCCTTCACCTGATGAAGGCCGCTTGTATTGTGGCCGAAACGTCGTGATTTTTGTTATTTTATTTTTTACCTACGTGACTTTACCCAATAGAACCAAAGAGTATGGATTCTTGCAGTCACGAAAGCTTTAAATCTAGAATAGATAATTATTACGTTATATAAAAACTAATATTTCACAGTTAGCCATTCCTGCTGCTCTCTATTGCTTGAATCATACAATTTATCTATAAATAATTGACCACACATAAGCCCCTTCTGATTGGCTGCAGTGGTATATAAATCGAGACTGGAGAAACGTGAGAAGCGGTTGCGGTAGATCTGCAGATGATGAGATGACAGAGTTCCCGAGTTGGATCCCTAAACGTGGCTGTGTCACAAGCAGTGCGTTACAAGCTCCAGACCACTCCTGGGAACCACTCTCATCACGCAATGCTCGCCACACCAATTGCTGCTCACAGATCATTGTTAATCGTAAGATATCTTTACGCAACATAATATTGAGTGGTAATAATAAAATCCATAATATAATACTCCCGCGAAGGTTGTCGCTGGTTGTGTTGTGCAGCCCTGCGATGCGTGCTTGGATTGTACCGCACGTTGTTTACCGCACGTTGTTTACCGCACGTTGTTTACCGCACGTTGTTTACCGCACGTTGTTTACCGCACGTTGTTTACCGCACGTTGTTTACCGCACGTTGTTTACCGCACGATGTCCGGCATCTTGCTCCACGCACTGAGAGCTACTTCAGGACATTTCGTTGGAGAAACAATGACCAGGTTCCTGAAGAAGCCCCCCAGCGCACGGGAGCAAAACGTCGGACATCAGGCCAAACAGCAGGCAGTAAATTTGAGAGCAATGATGAAATAATAATAAATCCTTTATATACAACCAAGTGGGCGTTCATTGAGACCAAAAGTCAATTTTTCAAGGGACACCTGGCTCCGTTCCTGGAGTAATGGAGAACATTTTACATTGATTACAAACACAAATTCCTTGTGCCCCGACTTCAAACCATAAGGCTATCAGTGCAATCACCACACCTTTGCTTCATTAAAACTTTCCGATGAAATGTTGTCCATAAAATAGTATAAGCCCTTTTTGTCAAAGTAATTTTTCACTAAATGTCTTGATATATCACGCATTAAAACAGTACATTTTTTGCGTATTACATTTAATCTAAAAGTCATATGGACAACGGCAATGTAAACAAAAGCGATCGCCTGAAAAAACATGGGGACCCATGGCACCGGAAGGCGATTTGTTATCTTTAGCCCGTGTTCCACGGGACTGGAGGTGCGCAGTCTGCCACTGCCCATCAAGTGCCGTGTTTACTTAAACCGTTTCGTGCTGCCCAGCAGCAGCAGAAGTGGCAGCAGCAGCAGTGGCAGCAGCGGCGGCAGCAACAGCAGCAGCGGCAGCAGCAGAGTTGGTGGTAGCAATGGCAGCAGTGGCTGCAGCAGCAGTGGCTACTGCGGTTTAAATCCGAGCGGCGAGCAGAAGATGAAAGCTAGCGTTTCATCAGGCGGTGACGAGGCGCAGCGGTGGCGCATCGGGAGATTGTTGCGGAGGGTCGTGGTTCCAGCCGGCGGCCGCCCTGGTTCATACTGCGGGTGGGTTAACCATGAATACTCTGCGCCAACTGCTTCACACAGTGGACATTAAAGATCCCGTTGACTTTCTTCGGAAAGCAGCAGGCCATGCGTGCCAACGTCAACAGTCCAAATTTCCAAAATTTGACAAAAAATAACTTAATTTTGTATAACCACACAAGAACACCACTCCCTACTGGCAGACGATACCCCATCTGTGAGACATATCCCCCTCAAATAGCATCTGTGCTATAAAGAACGGTGTGAATCGCAAATGTACAACACGTAATCGCATTGATTTTTTTACTTCTATTAGTCGCAAGGGTCCTGGACAGGGCTGTTACGGATTAAAGCAGTTGTTCAGAAGCCACAATTTTTTTTTTTATCAGAGGAGGTGGGTACGCGACGTTAGTGTTCCTCCTTCAAGCCTGTGCCACACCGCGGCATGGACACAGTTTTAAAAAAACCTGGATAGGTTACATTCAATCGATATGGACGAGTTCAAGTGGCATGTGCTACGATCCCAAAACTGGCGAAGTGGGGGATGTTGGTGGATCATAAGGAGATGGTGCTACCATGTACATGAGACACCTAATAGCAGCCTTGTGACTGCAGTTTATTCTAATAAAATCGTCACTCAAGTGAGAGCGAAATGGTGATTGCTTCCAAAAGTCAAATTTAAAGTTTGCCTGCAGGAGGTAGTGGAACAAGCAGGTTGCTGACAGGCAATATGTCTGACATTTATGTGCCATCCGCGTGTATATGCGTGTCCCCGTTTTTTCCAGGCATTCCTTTTTCTATAAAAAAAGGCAATTAGTAGCATTATGCTTAAAACAAAGTGTTGCGCATATCTGGCTGGGTCGTGCTAAAGCAATGCATCAATCCAGAAGCTATACCATAGAAGCGAGTGTTGGAAATCATATCTAGGGAGGAGGTCAGCTCACCATCCCTCTGGGGCTCTTAAAGAAAGTACCACTTTGTTGGAAACCAAAAGTGATCACATTACATATATGTGTGTATGTATGTCTACACCTTTGGGAATGTTGTTTTTGCAACATTAGCCCCAAAGCCGCCAAAACAAAGGCCAACCGCCGCCCAATCCACCGCTTGCCCAAGCGACGACGAGACAACGGCTGCCCGTGCAACCACAAGCGCGGAGTTTCGTTCACGAGCACAGGGACGGCAACGGCTTCACGTCGACCTTTGCGAGCGTGACCCCAGCGCTCGGCCCGCGCCGGCCGCTGTATTCAAATGCACGGCAGTCGCACGGCACGTCAGGGGGGGGGGGGGGGGGGGGGGGGGCCCTTCCGAAACCCGACCAGGCCCGGTTCGTGCACTAGGGGCGTTGGGGCGCCGGCCCCACCAACGTACATTTTTCAACGTAAATTGCCGAATAAAGATACCATTTTAAGTTGTTCATTTTAAAAACCGCTGCAATAACACAATCTGATTTGTGCCTCGGGGAGGTCTCGGGGCGGCTGTGAAGGCGTCCGAGTGAGAGATATCCCTTCGTTCACTGCGATTAGCTCCGCATTGTAGCCACGCCGTTTGAGACCCATTCAGGGAGGTGAAAAAGGCGCCCATGGCTGCGATGAGATGATGTCACAACGCGAGGTTGCACTGTGCAAATACAACAGGTCATGGCCTCCACGCTCTAGGCTTTTGGCAGTGTCAAAGGGGTTGTGTAGTGTGGACTTGAGGCTCATGGGGACAGCATTTTAGTGCTTTGCTTTTTTGTATTGTTTATAAATGCCTATCGTTGGTATATGACTTTCACAGGAAGGCTAATAACAAGGTTTTTCGACGAGGTTTTTATTAATTAGAATACCATATTTTCAGAGGTTAATCACAAAACCCCCGCCGCCTAAGTGGAACTGTCACGAGCCGCCACCGAACCCGACACCCGTCAACGACTCGTCGTACCCGAGCGTCGCAGCTGGGAGTCCCGCGATCCTGGCCCGCGGGGAACGCGGGGCCCATCCCGGGGGCGGCGCCGGGGGGCGGCGGGGTCGCCCTCCCGTCGAAGAGGGGGGCGCAACGTGTGGGGGGCTCCCCCGGAGGCCGGTGGGGGTCCCCGTCCCCGCTGTGATGAATTCTCGCGGCTGCTCCTGCAATCGCCGCACACGCGAAACACAAAGTTGCCCCACGCACTTCGTGTAACCTTTTGTTTAGACTGCTTGGCATCAGTGGCCGCTGTGGAGGCCGGCACGCCGTTCAAAGAAGATGGTGGGCCCAGCGCCATGCCCAGCCGCCTTTGTCTCCCCAGCGCTGACGTTTACGTACAGCGCCCAAGCACTCCTTTAAGGCAGTCGACCTACGGGGAAGTCCAGGATTGGTTCGGATATCACCTGACGGTAGCTGCGGTCAGTTGCTAGGTTCAGTGTCCACCACCACGCACTGATTGGCATGGTGAAGTACGGTTGAATAACCTCCACAACCAACATGGCATAGGGAGCCCGTCATCCTGCAATGGATTGAAAGAGAGCTGCAATGTACGATGCAATGTATTAAGTGTATAGGCTGCATTGTACATTTCATTTTGGGTCATGTTTTCAAAAAGGGACCTTCTATTTGAATTAGAAATGTATGTTTTTTAACATAATAATACATTTCTCAAATGTATTTTGTGAAACATCATTTAGTGTGCAGTTTCAAAGTGAGGGATGACTGCTTTTGTTTTATTTATTAAATTATTTAACACACGTGTTACATTTTTGTTGGCTGCGATCCTCAACAGCGGTTTTACGCCAAAGTTAAAATAAGGCATCAAAGTCTAAAGTTTTATATTTCAATAAACAGCGATTACCAAATTCTTCGGCTCGTTAATTTTGTACGTTTTAGTCGTTTGAAACCACCGTCAAAGACAAACATGAGATTTGGAGAAAAAAACTCAAAAGCTTCATCCAAGCTCACTGCCTGACACGAAAGCAAGTTGCATTTTCAGCATTTTAAAACACTCCAGGGAGACGCTTACATTTTGAACAGAAATGTTCGAAAGGCAGAAAACGGTCACGGCTCTTTTTTTATATATACATAAAGGGACTCCTTGAAACACGATGAGAGCGGTCAGGTCTGCTGCCTCAATTATCACCCCTCAGAGGTCACCCGTTGCGCCCAAGGGACAATTACAGCAATCACACGCAAAGCTGAGTCACGGTCGCCTGCGAGCGTCCTCGTTGCAGAACGCCGCATTATTAATTCGGCGTCCGCCAAGTGACTCGTCGTTATCGTGGGTGGAATGGTTTACCCACCACCACCACCGCCGCCGCCGCCCGTCCAACCCCCACCCACCCCCCACAGTGATCCCATAACTATTATAATTCAGATGTATGTAACAGCACAAAGGAGTTTACACTTGATATGTAAACTCCTTTGTCAAGGCGCCCTGCTCCTCCCACCCAGCTTAAAAGACGCTGCGAATCTTAGCAGCGGTCATTGAAGTGCCGTCATCCCGACAGTTCTGTTCCTTCACCTGAAGAAGGCCACTTGTGTTGTGGCCGAAACGTCGTGATTTTTGTTGTTTTATTTTTTACCTACGTGACTTTACCTAATAGAACCAAAGAGTAAGCACTTGTGCAGCTCTATGTCGATCCACTGCTGGATGAAGGTCCTCTCTGCACCATATGGCTTGGACATCTGTGAAAAAGAGCTTCATAGCTCATCGGATTCCTCCAGTATAAATACATATTCTAATTCTGGGAGGGGAGGTTTATTTGACCACTGCTTTGCTGCGCCGGTTATTGCGGACTGGTGAAGGCTCGGGGCATAAACGTGGAACCATGGAAGGACAGTGAAACAATGGATTTTAATGCTGCAGAGAAACGTAGTTCCGAAGCAGCCATTAGCAACCTGCTGTGCATGCCGGTCGCCCATCCAATAACTGCCCAGGTTCAACTCTGCTTAGCTTCCAAGATCGGACAAGAACGGGTGCAGTCTGGGCGACTTGATTACAGGAAAGATGGGTGTATATCAAGGATGTAAATTCATTAACATGATTACACGGCAAGCATATAAACACGAGCCGTCACCGTGCAGGCCTACGATTCAAAGTGTGGCTTGGTTCTCTGTTAAACACGGTGGTGAATCGTCCTGCAATTCGTAGCTGCTGGGGTGGTATAAACAAACTAAGTGAAACATATTGGATTGTGAGAACATCGATTCTAGCACACGTGATCGATTAATTTATCGTTAGCTTCGGAATCAATCGATTCTTTGTTTTAACTCTGCTGATTAACGTAAAAAGAATTGCCTTGTGACACATTCATCTGTTTGTATTGTTCTTCGGCCCAAGCCAAGCTCAAGATACCGAGCCCATGGTGTTGTGCCAGGCCAGGAATCAAGCTCAGGTGACTGGGGGGCGGGGGGGGGAATCACAGCACGGTGCCTCTAACCCACTCCACCACCACTCCCCGCGACACTCCAAATACACACACAAACACACCCCCAATTAACAGCACGTGCGTTTCTCTCTATTGGGAACCACATAAGAAATGCAATCCCATTCTATCAGCTGAAAAAGTGAATAACAAAACACAGCGCTGGGCAGGACCGTGGCGATGTGTGTGTGTGCGTGTGCCTGCGTGTGTTTTTCCACAGCGGTGAAAAGAAAACGGTGACATTACGACCACTGGCCAGGACGAGCCGAGCCGCCGCCGCCGCGTTGTTGTCTGACACAACAACGCGGCGCTAGCCCCTGGACAGTTGACACAGAGCTAAATGTTATCCCTCTCTCGGTGTTTGTGGAAAGATTACAGATTACGTTGCGTTGGTCTCTGGTCTTTCAAGCTCTGAAGTTTGCAAAACCCTACGACTGAGGTTACCGTATTTTGATTTCATCTTTGGAACGCATTTTATTCATCCAGGAGAGCCCCAATGAGTCTAAGGACTGATTTTTTTTTCTTTCAGGAGGGTCCTACTGCATTGGGATGTTTAAACCAATTAGATGAAGTGAGGTTCTTAGCTTTGTGAAATCAGACGCTGGAGTACTTGAACAAAATAGACGCATATTGATGGGGTAATGCTCAAAGCTCTGCAAAGATAGATACAAGGATCCTACACTGTGCTGCTATACTCTGGTCACCTTCCAGCCTAAGCCTAGAAGAGCTGACGATGTGACCCCTGCAGCCACTAGAGGCATCACCATTCAGCAAAACATTGGGGGGGGGGGGGGGAAATACATTTCCTGAATTCAAGGTGACCGGGTAGCTCAAAGGTGAGAGCGCTGAGCCGGCACCAACGATACCCTGTGATCATACTCAGGGCCAGCCTACTGCGATTAAAATGCATTCCCACATGTGGCGGAGTTCATTGGTGTCAGCCCGGTCACCAATGAACTGCATAAAACAAACTCTAATCAACATTAAAATCTGTCTTACGCATAATGTGGCAAAATGTAGGGGGCAGTGACTGGAAAAACTTTTAGCTCCTATCTTATTTAGGAAAAATGTAAAAGCAGTGAATCGATTAAAAAAACCCCATTTCTCGCATATTTCACAGACAATATTGCTTAAATTTGATTTAAAGCTTTCGTGACTGCAGTGATTCATATTCTTGGTTCTTTCGGTAAAGTCACATTAAAGGGAAACAATAAAATAATATATATAAAACAATAAAATTCTCACGACGTTTCGACTGCAACACAAGAAGTCATCATCAGGTGTGAACACCAACGGCAAGAACATTTGAAAGAAGTGGCGGTTTGTATTTATTTATTTATTGTTAAACGTTAGCACCACGGATAGCGATTTGACAGTTTGTTTAGATGGACGAGTCCGAACATAGATGGACTCGTCCATCTAAACAAACTGTCCGAACATAGATGGACTCGTCCATCTAAACAAACTGTCAAATCACTATCCGTGGTGCTAACGTTTAAAAATAAATAAATACAACCCGCCACTTCTTTCAAATGTTCTTGCCGTTGGTTTTCACACCTGATGATGACTACTTGTGTTGCAGTCGAAACGTCGTGAGAATTTTATTGTTTTATATATTTTATTATTTTATTGTTTCCCTTCAACGTGGCTTTACCGAAAGAACCAAGAATAATATTGCTTAACTTATGACCGACAATGGCAACACATTTTTCTGACTCGTCCGTAACAAAAATTACGGACGATTGGCAACCTTGCTCATTCACCCCCATCGGGCGCAGATGGAGGAGGAAGGCGACTTCCGACGGTCCGTTTACGTCTCCCGCCGGATTTCACATCCATCACGCGCCAACCTCATTTGCGAACGAGACCACCTCCGCCACTGCCGCCGCACTCTTCCGAGCTAAGCCGTCCTCGGGAAAAGCTCGAAGATTTTTCAAAAAGCGGCAAACGGAAGGAAGCTCCAAAGAACGCCGGCCACACGCCCCCGACGAGTGGCGGGCCAAACGGAGACACGGCGAAGGAAGGCCGGCGGTGGATCGTGCGCGGCAGGCGCACACGTCCGTGATCTCCCCCCCCCCCACCTCAAAAAATACGCTAATACAAACAACATCCTGCGTGCAGGTCACACGCAGAGCCCGGGGGGAGGGGGGGTGTAGAGATTGTCAAGTGAAAAAGTCACGTGGTTTTCTACTCGAATGAGCATTGAAGCAGTGCGGTGGTCATCTCATGTTTTCAGCCCCGGGGGCCAGTGGTGGAAATTCCTCATTCCTATGGCAGGGACGAGTTTGGCTAGAGGACAACCACTGCTGACTTCATCAACCACGTAGAGATTATGGGGCGAGCCAGCCAGCCCCACAGCCAGGATGTGAACTCACTGGGCCACCTGGTTTGGGGGGGGGGGGGGAGGGGTTCAGCGCTCACATTTTGATTTCCAGCAGCTGCTAAATTTTTCCATGCGTCTTAACTGACCCATATTAAGCTTCACATAGAAAAAAAGACCCATTGTCTCAATGGGACCTCATCTGCTCATGTATAAATACTTCTGTCTGAATGGTATTTACTGTCATCATCAAAATCATCCGCCATCATCTATCCACTGCTGGATTAAGGCTTCCCCAAGCATTCGCCATCCCTCTCGTGGTTCTTTGACGCACCACAATCTATTTGGTCCATCACCTGTACAAGCAAGAGCTGATCCATTGATCAATCTCTATAGTGGACGTCCTCTTGGGGGTCCTTCCCTCCTTTGCCTGTATTGCAACTAACGACCAAAGCACCATGAATGCGCCCGATCTTGTGAGATCCTGGAAGCCAAAGCAGACTTGAGCCTCCTTCATACTTGGACGAGAGTACCGCCTGAGAATATGAAAAAGTGTTGTAGGCTTGGGAATAGAAGACAGCCAGAGGACGGGAGTAAAGCAGTGGATTTTGGAATCTCTCTGCGGTGGAGCTTTGATTGTGATTTCAAATGATTGGTGGGTTTTCTCCGGACACTCTGGTGTTTCTCTGAGCCAAAACACCCATTCGTAGAAATTGGCCAAACATCCCGATGTGGCAGGACTCTTCCTCGAAAAACTAATCTTGAGGCTGAGTAAGGCTCTCGAGTAAATAAATTGAATCATTAGCTCCACATAATTGTGTTGCAACGTAGTGGCCTCCAGTAAGAGGTCATTGTATTGTTTGAGTTGTACTGATACTGTCACCATGCTAAAGAGAAGACTGTTCCTTGCCATAGCAATGAGGAATTTCCATCAGAGCCTTAGAAGCAACAGTCGAGACGAGCACCAGATTTTGGGGCGTAGTTTTTCACTTCAGTTGTCGTGGAGTGGCTGTGACACCGGCGCGGCTAAATTGGCCACCCCAACCAAATGCAATTGTGGGAAATGTAATTTTACAAAATTGTGCTTCAAATCAGATCTCACAACCAGCTGCTGTTCCCGAGCGAATCCAGGGCCCCCCTCTCTCCTCAACGGGTGACACCATCCCCGTGTGGCTACAGGGCCAGAGAGGCCATGCGATGGGAGAATCTACACTGGGTTTAAGTCTCGGACAAGTCGAGGATGATGGCGATGGTGCCGATGATACTGCCACTGTGCTGCTGCTGATTATGACGGTGCTGATTATACTGTTGCTGCTGCTTATGATGATGGTCACTCTTCCTACTGTTGATAAAGCTGATGATGAAGATTGTGTTAACGTGATAATGACAATGATGATAAAGGTGGTGACCATGATAATGACGGCATATATGCTGCTGTTTATGACATCAAACACTGATTATATTGCTACTGCTACTCATGACAATGATGATGATAGTGCTGTGACTGGTCATTATAATTTCAATGATCATATGATGATGATGTTATCAGTGATGGCGACAACAATGCTTGCTGAGGCTGATTATGATGCTGCTGCACCTGCTTAATAATAATGGCAACATGATGCTAATGATGATGACGATGGTAACAACAATGCTCCTTGATGCTGATAATGATGCTGCTGCTGTTGCTTCTGCTTGATGATCATAATGACAACGCCGATGCTGCTGCTGACCGCTGGGCAGGGTGCTCGCCGTCGCGTTGCCCTGACCCAGGTCGGGTCGGTACGGGTGGAAGGCGGACGCCGCCCACGCATCGGATGGGGGGGTCAGTGGGGACGTGGTCTCCACGAAGCTCCGCCTCTGGGGTGCCGGGCTCTCATCAGACGCTCCCATCCCAGGCTCCTCGTACACCGCGATCAGCTGACACAGCAGAAAAAAAAACAGGAGGGGGGGGGGCAGGGGGGGTTGGGGTACAAAATTACATCTCCGCCAATGTCTTTGGCGACTCACAGCCTCCTCTCTCACCACCAAGGACCAGGAGCGTCATTGGCAGGCGTCGTTTCTCCATGGAACTTGGTCATCGACCCCCGCTGCACAGTCGCAGCGGCGTTCCATCTCCGCCGTCTTCTTAAGGGACACTTAGGAGGCCGCACTTCTCTCACTTGGCTTTTAAGCGCCCCCGAGCTCAGCTCCGCGCCATAGTCGCGGTTATTTATGTCCGTGAAAAATATTGTGCGCATTGTAAATTGCGTTATGTTTTTTTATCAAGGCCACAGGGTTCATGCAACAACAACAACAACAACAAAAAAGCACTTCCTGCAGTTTATGGGAAAGCCGGGTCAAAAGGGCAATGCATTATTGTGACGGCTGCACTTGTAAATCTTAGCTTATGGTTTGTTAAGACTGAATACCTCCCATGAAATGGTAAGCGGCAATGAGCAATGGTGTAATGTGCATCTGGCATTCACAAATAAATTACCGTAGTTTACTAAACTTTCAAGCAAGTCCATTTAACGGAACGCATGCCTTATATATTTCTACGTCTATGACCAAGTAACCCAGAATGGCTCGTGCTTGGACAGTGCTTGGATGTGTGATCGCCAGGCACAATCAGTGTCATACGCTGCAGGGCTACATTTTAGGCTTAACAGGGCGGTGCAGAAAAAGCCAACGTTGTGCTCTACTCCTATGCTCCCGCGTCTAAGCTGCCCACCACCTTCGCCAACCCACGCCGACTAGCGTGGTGAAGTACGACAAAATGACCCCTTATGACCCAACTCGGTGTGCGGGAGCAGGGCCACATCCAGCAGTGGACTGATCAAATTGCCACACATGTAAATAAAACGTCACTAGCCGTCAAGGTAAGGCCCACAGAAGCCACCTGGCCATAAATCGTGGCCCAACGAATTGGCTTATCATCTAGAAATGGAAAGCAGCCAAATACTCGAAACGAACGTTGAATCTAAACTTGGAAGCGAAAAACCGGAGGACCCGGAGAAAAATACACACGACAACGGGGAGAACATGTAAACTCCAAATATAGAGTAGGCGTCAGGGTTATGATCGAACCCACGACCTCCTGCATACAGGTGAGGTAGTTAACATCCCACCACCACGGCACCCCCAAAACCAACTCTTTAGTGATCTTGATGCTGCTGCGTTGGCAGTGGTGCAAAAAGATAATTAAGAAAAAAAAAACTCAGCACATTCGTCAATAACACTGCTGCTTGAAAATAAAAACATGTACAACAGGCGACGTTTCAGAAAATGGCCCTTCTTCATGGGGCAAAGAAAGGCTGCTCCTGACTGATATCGTGCGGTCTGTGCTGCCACCTTGTGGTGAAACACTGCAAGTGACCACTGCAATGCAAACGTAGAGCTTCCTGGAAGCGCCAATGTTCCCCATCACACGAGCACTGGGTGACACCTGCTGGTACCACCGCACGCACACAGTCCAGGTCTGTAGAATGTTCTTATGTTTTGCGTACGGCTGCTCATGTAGATGCACAGCAACAGCTACAATTTCACATTCTGGTGGTCAAGCCAGACAATCGCGTCGGGAGCAGCGGGAGTTTATCGCTGTGATGTCTCCTTCATATTTGTGTCAAGAGGATCGCGTCGTTTGGGGCCGTCCATAAATGACGTCACGCGATTTTTGACCCCCCCCCCCCCCAGTCACACGGCGTCACAAAAAGTCAGACCACCCCACCCCCCTCAAACTATTGTCATTGTAGTGCATATTTAATGTGGCGCTGCACTCTGATGTTGTAGAACACATTTATTATAAAGTCTATTTAATTAAGTAGAACGTGTTGTCTATATTTATTTAAAGTTGCGCATTTTGATGTGACGTCATATTTCTCCACCCCCCCCCCCCCATCGTCACGCATCGTCACAAATGTCTGACCCCCCCCCTCCCCCCCTAGGTGCGTGACGTCATTTATGGACGGCCCCTTATACGTTGTACGGTCTCTGTTCTGGTTGACCACAGTCGCACACACTACTGGAGAATTTTTTATTATTTTAACATTATCCGCATCTGCCATGCTTTGTGTTGATGCGGTGCATCTACAATGATTTGCCACCATTGTACCTCAATTAATTGTCACGATTCTGCATTGTGATTCGATGTTAAAAATCGATTCCTCTCCTCCTCCAAAAGTTTAGAACTCCCTCCCCATCCTGCCATCCGTGCTTTTCACTCCCGGCCCAAATTAAGAGTCCAAGGCTCAAGAGCGTCCGATTCTTTCTGCCTATGAAGGGGAATCAATTGTTGTTTTTATGCAGGAGTACACGGACGACGAAGCGCAAGGAGCAACTTTATTGAAGGCACAATGACTATATATAGACCCGAACTTGGTTATTAATTTTGTAGCTCGTCCCTTCACTCAAACGTCCCTGCTCCTCGTGCTCTTCCCTTTAATCCTCTTCGAGCCCCCTCTCTCTCGAACTTTCCTGTCCTCGTTTTTTTCTCCTTCAGCCCAATCCTCATGCTTCTTCCCTAACGGATCCTCTATTTTCGTTCAAACCCCTTTTTCCTCCAATGTCTTTAAAAGCCTACCTCCCCGGCCAATCCCTGTGGAGGTCTCTTTTGGTTAGTTAGATACCTTGGTTATTTTCTAACTAGCCATTAGGTTGCACATTGGCTTGGGGTCATTTTCGGTCATGACACAAGCACAAATATAATTACTCTTTGGTTCTATTCGGTAAAGTCACGTAGGTAAAACAAATTAAAATAAATTGAAATAAAATAAAAGAAACAATTAAAACGACGTTTCGGAGGCAAAGCAAGCTTCCGTCTTCAGGTGGGACCAGTCACAGCAACCTGTATTTAAGCTCGAGGTTTCCAGAACCTCACCACTTGGTGCAGCGACTTTGCTGTGACTGGTCCCACCTGAAGACGGAAGCTTGCTTCGCCTCCGAAACGTCGTGTTTTAATTGTTTATTTTATTTCAATTTATTTTAATTTGTTTTACCTACGTGACTTTACCGAATAGAACCAAAGAGTATGAATCCTTGCAGTCACGAAAGCTTCAAATCTAGAACAAATATAATTGACAAAAAAGACTAACCACTGCTATATAAGAGGTATTTTCTTTTTAAAATACCGTACACAGGAAAGCCTCACTGAATCTCAACACTTTTTGACGAGGTGTGGATTTGACCAAATGTATGAATACGTTTGCCGAGCAAAGCTCTGCAAAGATGGATTCAAGAATCCAGAGCAGTACCTGCCATCATCGCCTGGTCGCCCCATGGCGCGATCACATAGCAGGTTGCGCCGTTCGGGAGGTCTTTCATACAATCGCTCTCCAAGGGCCCACTGCCTGAAGCATTTGCCGAGATGACGCCGTTTGAAGTTATGTTTAAAGGTCACGTGATACCACGTAACAAAGTGGGCCACTGCGAGAAGGTTGCCGTCTCTCAACCGCAGCAGAACCTGTCCGCATCTCCCTTCGAATGGGGAAATTGAAGGCGAGCCACAAGTGGCGCGATTGTGGCCATGCAACCCAAAACTACGGACCATATAGTAGCCCACTGTAATCGGCGCACATTCAGCGGAGTAGGAAAAGCAAAAGCCGCACAAACTCTCTCCCTGAAGCCCTCTTGTCGGAGCGAGAAAACCTCAATATTGGTATTTAGCTCGCAAACACATTGCCGTATGCAGGAATAGAACACAGCAACCGCGGCGCTGTGCATACCTTCCTATTATAATACCTTCCTATTATAATACCTTCCTATTATAATACCTTCCTATTATAATACCTTCCTATTATAATACCTTCCTATTATAATACCTTCCTATTATAATACCTTCCTATTATAATACCTTCCTATTATAATACCTTCCTATTATAATACCTTCCTATTATAATACCTTCCTATTATAATACCTTCCAATTATAATACCTTCCAATTATAATACATTTATATTATAGTACCTTTCTATTATAGTACCTTTCTATTATAGTACCTTTCTATTATAGTACCTTTCTATTATAGTACCTTTCTATTATAATACCTTTCTATTATAATACCTTCCTATTATAATACCTTCCTATTATAAGACCTTCCTATTATAATACCTTTATATTATAATACCTTTCTATTATAATACCTTTCTATTATAATACCGTTCTATTATACTACCTTTCTATTATAATACCTTTCTATTATAATACCTTTCTATTATAATACCTTTCTATCATAAGACCGAGTTACGACTAAGACGGTGGATTTCTTTTTATGTTTTTACCCGCACGTCTAATGTAGCCATCGTGAAAATTATAACCATTTCTGACACGCCTCATAGCCTGGGCAGGCAAGAAAAAAGGGTCTGCCACAGGCCAAAATGCCGGACGTTCAAACTGGCCATTGTCTCCGTGGGGATGAGGCGTGCAGCAGGGTGTTGGTTTTGGCACGACGAGGGGGTGGTTGGGGAGACGAGAAACGGTTGTAGGAGACACCCAGGTGTTTGGGTGGCGCCAAGGGAAGAAGGCGCTGGCCTCCGGTTGGGTGCAGGGGAAGGGGTGTGGGGCTCCTCATTAATTCAGGATTCAAATATGTGAAGTAACATTTTTTTTCGTCATCATCAGACGTGGTGTTTGTGTAGTTTCATTTGATATCCATTTGTGTTTGCTGGGATCTGATTGATATGGGGCATCATCGGACAAAAACGTTAATAAATCGAGCTTGTTAACTTTTGGTTGGTCGGTCTATTAATTATCCATATATTCAGTTCAATATAATCGTTGTGAATAATTGATATATGTGTGTGTGTGTGAAAGGAGGCTATAATGGGTCTGCAATTCCTAAAAACGGTTTTGTCTCCCTTGACGCATCGAGCAAATACGTCCATTGGGTAGGGAGTGAGATTTCGGGACAGAAGGCAGGGTGGGGTATTGTGGGTAGGTTTGGAGCTACGTGGGCAGATTCGGTACCCTTAGAATCTGGGTGGAAATGCAAGGAAAATTTTATGCACAAATACATTCACGTTTACAACTAGAAATAAATGATAAGGTTGAGTTTTATTTAACTAAGAAGAATTGCTTAAACTACATGAACCAAATGAATAAACTTCGCTGTCAACCGCTGCCGTACACACCGGGCAATAGCCAAAGCATACGTTAGTAGCGCTGTAAGCAATGGAAACACGGAGGGGAGGGGGGAAAAAGAAAAATAAATAAACCAAATTTACAACAGAGAAACAAAAACTCGTCGTAAAACAACAACCCAATGAATCAAATAAAAGAAAGGAAAACCTCTTTCATTGTATTACCTGGCTTGGTGCCCCCCCCCCCCCCCCCCCCCAATTGGATTGCGAGAGATTTATACAGCGTTGGGAGGCTGGAAATAGTTTCGCCGTATTTTTAGTTTCACGCATTTCGCCCATCACTCCGGGGGGGCGGGCGGAGGGGGGGGAACGCGACACGACTACAAATGCTCCGACTGCTTCTGCGCAAGCCACCGTTCACCAGGCCCCGCTGGCGACGCCACGGTTGGTGCCCGGTGGCAGGAAGCGAACCGCCTGGCAGGCGCCCCCCCCCCCCGCCCCCCCGGTCCACGTGCGGGCCCCTCCACCTCGCTCCGGCAAATAAAGCGAGCCTCTCCCACGGCAAAGGCGGCCAACAGCCCTGTTTGCCCCCCAAGGTCAAAAGTCGCAAACAGACCAAAAAAAAAGACCATCCTTGGTGAAATCAAAGGGAGCCTCTCGACTGCCACATATCGAGATGATCGATTCATCCATCCCGGGACGCATGTGTCGGTCTACCTGAGGACAGCAACCTCGGAAAACACATCTAACAAAGCTATATGCAAATCGAGCTACATTTTTTTATTTCATTGATTGATTAAAGTAAAAAAAAATCAAATCGACAGATTCCAGGCGTCATTTCTCACCGAAAATATTTTGGGTCGCTGTTAAGACTGGAGGTGATGGCACGCAACTGATTTGAAGCCACAGCCATAGCGATAGGTATACTGGATGCGGTGGAGTGCCAGGTCCAAGAAATATTTCAAGAGCGGGATTGAACGGGATTGACGTTGATGACGTTGTCATCGTCACAACGTTGCCCTGGGTGTGCACAGAGGGAAGTTTCCTGCATTTTGGAGGCCAGATGCCCGGCGTTCGCTATTTAAAAATGGCTGTAGATTTAACAAAAAATGTAAGCAATGGATGTTCTAAGTGCAAAATGCGATATCCGGTTATAAGTCGGACAATCTCACTGCCAACCATCTCTTTATGCTCTGCAGAACGGCCACTGCCAGAAATGTCAGCCGATTATATATTATTCTATTGTAAGGCAGCGTTAATAGCAAACGTGATCTGTTTTTTGTTGTTTGTGCTCACACACCACTGCCCAAGCCATCCTTTAACCGTTTGTTTTCTACCTCAGCCATGACTTGTTTGTGGCTCAACAAGTTGTGCCCTTAAAAAGGTGTCCGCTTACTATGAATAATTATGCTTTAAGTCAAGATTTAATAATTATGCCATTTATTTATCAACCAAAGGCTTGAGGTATTTTTTTAGAAGGGTCACACATTGGGATGTTTAGCCAATTGGCATATTAAAGAAAACCACGTAGAAAACGGAATTCTGGTCTAGAAAACAGCAGAAATCGATGCACCAAACCTACTGCTGGCGAATATTGCCTTTGAGGATTGCCCAAATATCATGCTCCCGTTCCACGTGTCTAGAGGCGGCACCACCTCACCGGCCACCAGCTGCTTGGGGGCGTCACTCACACCATGTCTAATTTATACGACTACCGCTGGGTTAAAGGCGAGCACCGCACCACATCACTGGACCTACAAACGGCGCAATAACGAAGGGGGGGTAGGGGGCTGGAGAGTGGATTCTCGGCGGCGCCTCCCCACAGCCACGCTGAGCCACGTGCCGTGCACCGAACAGGAAACGATCGTGGAAACGTTGGCTCTGGCCCCAAACTTTTTCGGCTCCCGAATTGCCGTGTTATTCTATGAGAAAATTTCGGCGCGGTCAGCAGCCAACGGAAATAAAGTTACAGCTGAGGGGTTACGGAGGCCGGGTTTCACGTCTGGTGGAGCGGCGAGAAAGAGAAAGAGAGAGAGAGAGAGGAGGCTTTCATAAAAATTTTGAAGCGTAAAAATGTTTCCCCGTCTGTCTCGCAAACACACCGGAGTGAACACGCGCACTGCTTTGGTTGCGGAGGTGTGGATTTCAGCTGGCGTGGGCAGGCGGGCGGGCGGGCGTCTGTACGAGGCAGCGAAGTCACAGCACAATAACCCCGTTTAGAAATCGTGGACGTCAAGAAGTGCCGCGCTAGCACCGCTGGGCGACCCTGGATTTGAAATCTGGGGTACTCAGCCACACCACGATTTGATGGTCTCAGCCCAGTTACTTAAGACACACACCGCACAAAAATCTGCTTCTGCACTTAATTAGCAAGATTTACAGTTCTTTCCTTGTATTATTAATTTCAGAAAATGAAAGGGCAAAATTCAGAAAATGAACCCTACACTCACACACACATGCTATTTGTTCGTGTCACTTCTTTATTGGTGATTAAACACACACGCACGCGCCCATACCTGCTTATTTATATTTTTGGTCGTATCATATTTCACTGAAAGAGCAAAAAATGCTTCTTCTTCTCATCCCCCCAACCCCAAACACACACGCGCACTTAGCTCCATCGACAAAGACTGCAAGGCTGGAAAAGCCAGTTATTCCAAAACTGCTATGCTCGGGTGAAGCACGCAAAAACTATGAAGGTTTTCTGTTTCTAAAAAAACGATCAAGGGAGGGGGCATTTATCCTTTCTAACTCATCGGAAGAATTTTTTTTCCACCGGGATATTTCCGACTGCAACGGGACGCCGCCGTGGTTGCAACGGTCAGTGGCACTGGGCTGGGCGCAATCCAGGGGTCGCCGGTTTAATGCGTTCTCCCAGTGCAGCACTTGAAACAACGGGGGGGACGTGATGCCCACCACCTTTCCCCCCCCCCCCCTCGCACTCCCCTCAACGCCTCACCCTTCCTGCACCCGCCCAAGCAGTGCAAATGGTGTTCACCGGCGTCAGTCGATCGGCTGGTAGAGTGCAGTGGGGTAAAAGGTGTGGGATACTCCCAACTGGAAGAGCAGGTCAAAATACACACTAGTGGGGGGCGGCGGGGGCAGGGGGGCTCGGGGCTCTCCAGAGCTCCCTCTAGCCGAGGTCCTTTCGCCAGCGGCGGCACGAGAAAGCAACACGCAGGGATTGCCGCCGCCTTCACCTTCACTTTTGATTGGCGAATTGTTCTTTTTTTTTTTCTCCTCGGCATGTGTCCCACTCTCGTGCGAGCTTTGACCAAGGTTTAGAACCAGGGGGTTGTGCTGCTTGCGAGTGTCGTGCAAAAGAAGTTCACCGCACCTCGAACCGCGGACACGCGGGCCGAGCTTTTGTCCTCCCAAACCACACTCGAGTGCAGGAATTTGGCCGTTTGAAAGGCCACACCGCTCCGTGTGGGGGGCAGATTTAACGGCGATCCCACAAACATCCGAGTTACGTCACCGACAGAGGAAATCCCTGCGAAAGCTAAAAGGACTATGCGACGTCGCATTGCTCCGTTAAAAGCTGCCGTGGGGGGGGGGGGGGGGGGGGGTGGACAAACTGACCTGGTCACTTTCTTGAAACGTTAGCTTTTAAACTTACGAGGGTCATTCTAGGTAAACCGGCACGTTTATGTATTTTTTCAAATATAACTTTGGAAGTCAAAGCGAAGTGATTGAACTGACACTATTTTTCAAAGCACTCTCCTGCATTTGTTGCGATGGTATAGCGATGCATTCACTTCCACAAGCGTAACATTAGGACATGCACACAACCGATAACCTTTCCAGGATATCTTCTTTCACATCTATATCATCACCGTGTCCCTGTTTGAGTGGTAAAATTTTACCACTCGTACAAACCTGACATGGCTCTGACGTTATCCTTCGCCAGGTTTGAAGTTTCCAATCGGCAGAATCTTTGTTGCTGCACGATGTATGGTCACGACCGGGGGGGGGGGGGGGGGGGGGGGGGGGGGGGGGGGGGTGACGTGGCCCTGCTGAGGCCTCCCCAAGGCCGACTCGTGAACCAGAGCGGGGGGGGGGGGGGGGGTGCACGTGGGGCGGCCGTTACCTTGTCCTTGTCATCGCAGATGTCACAGAGGCGGTCGTCGGAGTCGAGGATCCCGCCGTCGGCGTGCTGCAGGTACTGCACCAGCACGGGGTGGCTCGCGTCCTGCGCCATCGGGGGGGGGGGGGGGGGCGGGAACGGAGGAAATCCCGTCACGATGACGCCTCGGCGCAACCTCGACAACAATACCGCGAGCAAAGTTAAATAGCGGCGACAGAGGCCACAATAGTCCGGCGGGCGACGTTGCAGTGTATGCATTGCATGTTGAACTTATTCTTTCGCACCGTACGTAGCCAACGGTGCTAATCGGAGGTGCGGGGGTGGGGAAGGACAACAAAGAGAACACGAAAAGCAGCGATACCAAAAATCGGCAACACTGCGACACTGCGACAAGCAACTCGTTCAGGACGACAATACCCCAAACACCAACCACCTCCACAACAACACAACAATAACAACAACAACACACAATAACTAACACCACAGCACAGCGACGACAAGCACAGCCGTGTCACGAGCTTTCAGTCGAAACAGAGACAAAGGCAACTTTGTCACGATTGCCGCGACGTTGGGAAAACCGCGGACACCACGATGCAGCGACATCTGCAATGTTAGCTGCGGCGGGGATTTGAACTCGGGTCGCCGGGTTCACACGCACTACAAAGGTTGAGTCGCTTGCCCTCCGAGCGCCTCCGATGAGCACGCTCGGCTGCATACGGTCCCGAACGAAGTTCAACATACATACATTTGAGTTGTCAAGAGTCGTCTCCGCTCCCTTTCCATCACCACCTTGAATCAACTGAGCAGATATCCCATCATAATACCGAAAATAAAAACATCATATTATTTTCGACTGCATAATAAAGACGAGAGAGAGATTTTTTTTTCCCCCCCCTGTGCGTTTTTTTTTAAAATACAGACGGCAAAAGTGCGGGACACTATCGCTCACGAAACAGAATATACCATACTCGCAAACATGCAAGCGCAAATTAGATCCAGTTACACTTCACCTAACACCGCTCCCTTCCAACCATTACCGGTTACCACTCGGGCCCTTCACTTACAAATGTTCCCCATTACCCGGCCACAGAAGCATCCTTCCACCCCCCCCCAACCCCCTCGTTGCCACGCGGCCACCACCAAGAGGGCCGTATATTATTTTGCTTGTGTTTTTTTCTCTGCCCCCCCCCCCCCCGTTCCCTTTATACATTTTTTTCGGGCGAGCAGGCTTTTCATCACCACTGCCTTTTGTCTCGGCAGTAAAAAAAAACAGCGTCGCTCCGCCCGCATGCCCAGAAGGTCACGTATTTTTGTCGGGCAGTGCACAGCAACAATCCTGTCTGAGGGCCGTGAGGTGGCTTCTCGTGGAAGCAAACCTAGAACTATTCAAAGCTATAATTCTATTTGTTTTACCGGGTATAAGGCCTCACTGGGCTACATAGAGCTCTTTTTTTCAGAAGCGACCTGGCTATCACAAATGATAGCCCAACGAAGTTGCTCGTCGTGTGGAAATTTATAGCAGCCAAATACTCTAATCGCGCGTCGATTCTAAATCTGGAGGGGAAAATCCGGGGACCCAGGAGAAAAATCCACGTAACCACGGGGAAAACTTGCAAAGTCCAAATATACAGCAGGCGTCAGGGTCGGGACCGAAACCACGACCTCCTGCATACCGTGGCACCACCCATTCGATTGGGCCACCCTCTCACGGTCCCATCGCCGAATTTTATCGTCATTGTTGTCGGGTGTTGTTATTTTTCACCTGGGCGAGGGTAAAGAATGCTGGCCACAGCAGCATAATGGTGGGCAGCACACTGCAACTTGCATTCCAGAGGCTGCGTGTTCAAATCTCCTGGCGTGGCGGTTTAAACAATGGGCAAGTTTCTTTTTAATGCCCGCCCCCCCCCCCCACTTCTGTTCACCCGAGAGAATAAATGGGCACACCAGTCAGTCAATCGGCAGGTTGTGTGCGGTGGGGTACAATCTGGGTACTTCCCAACTCTTTAAAGACATCGGGTCAGCGTTGAAGTGTAGGCCAAAATACCCTCTGAAGGCGATCTTTAGAGCGCCGTGAAATTGAGACCCCATCTGCTAGCAGACAAATAATTTCAGGGCTGCACTTTAACCTTTTTTATCAGGCCATGCCACGATTTCAGACGTACATATCAGTCACTCGAGCGATGTGGACTGGCCTATTTTCTCACTTAATATTTAACAGGTCATTGGTAGACTCGAATAGGCACATGACAATTATCCACAGCCACAGTGAGGTGTATACTGGGTGTGGTGTGCCGGATGCGTGAATACTTTCTGGATCACTGACCCGGACACAACCGGTTGGATGTGGGTAATCATGAGTACAATCAAGAAGTGGCTATGACTTGAATGTAGTATGTAAACCTATTGGGACTGGAATCCAGAATTGTCTACCTTTGCACTATAAACCGAGTGACCGGTGTTCGATTCCCAGCCAAGACTAACATCAGTGGGGAGCGACATCCGAATAGGTCTTGGGCCTCACCCTGCATCAATAAGCACTGAGCCGAGTGGTGAAGTATGGTCACACAGCCCCCGTGACCCACACAGTATGGGGGAGACCTTCATCAAGCAGTGGACTATGAACGTTATATACATTTAATATTTACGAACTTCTACAACTACTGTTGAGGCCCCTATACTGACCCCAGGAAGACGACGGTGGTGATGATGATGATGATAACAAGAGGGCTGACTTAACCGTCGCCAGGGGTTGAATTCCCCATCATGACTGCAAGACCCGCGGCTCTACCAAAAAAGTGAGCCATGTCCTGGTTTCCCAGATAAGGGAGCTGTACATTTCTCCCACTTAGAGGATGCTCTATCACTCGATGGGGGGGGGGGGGGGGGAGAGACGGGTAGGGGGGGGGTGTCTCCCTGGCTTCAACGACCGGCTGGAAAAAAGTGGCTCTGGAATCCTCTTAAAAAGCAAACCGTGTCCGTCGTCCCACTTTCATCCACGACTCCCGTCGCTCCTGGCGTCGCCCCCCCCCCCGCCCGCCCGCCCGTGTGAATCATTTATAAGCGGCACGGCGGGAAGGAGCACTGTAAAAAATCACCTGACACCGAGGTGTGCACAGTAGCGACAACAGCAACCGACTTAGCACCCGCATGAAACATATGCAGGCATGTTGGCAGGGCTTTCGAGATATGATGCGAATCCGGAACCATGCATTTTTCGTGATGCATAGTGATGGGGGGGGGGGGGGGGGGCACGAGCGATGGGGGGGGGGGGGGGGAGAGGTTTCAACCTCCGTGGATTTGGATCGCAAACCGCAACGACGCTAAAGCCGATTTGAGTCGTGATAAATGGATGCCTAAAAACTCAACTATACACTAGACATTTTTTTTTTATTTACGAGATAAGACCCACCGAGCTATTTAGATCTTTTTTTCTGTTGGGACCAGGCCACAAATGATAGCTCAACGGCGTGGCTTATCGCGTGGAAATTTCTAACAGCCAAATACTCGAAACGTGATGTTGATTCTAAATGTGGAGGGAAAAACTGGAGGACCCGGAGAAAAATCCACGCCACCACGGGGAGAACGTGCAAACTCCCGAATATACAAGCAGCAGGAATCGGGGTCACCAGGCGAGGCTCTCGTGACGCAAAAATTGGCCAAGGTGCAAATCTTTCTCGTACCAACGCTGGCCAGACCACTCCAGTTTTTTTTTACATTTGACGGTAAGACATTACAGTCATTTCCAACATTGTAGTCTATAAACACCAGTTATATTACTGGCCAAATTGTTTCGATCGAGACCAAACTTCCGATATCTCGCGTGTAGCATCGTTAATTATGCGTGCAGCGATTCTGTTTAATTTGAATTCATTTTGATTTGTTGCACGAATGATCCCGACTGGCCAGTTTTCTCAGCTATTTTACAAGAGAATGAGGAGTATCCTTCAGCAATATTGTACAACCCAGACGAGGATTTAACCTACAGTTGGTTTGTACTGCAATCGGAACTAGTGACAATGGCGAGTTGAATCTCGCACCACTTATCTCAGCCAGTCACAAATCTTTCAGTAGCCAACGCTCGCCAGGTTTTTTTTATCTGCATTGTAGGGCGAGACATTACAGACTTAAACGCTGTAAACAACGACGAACAAAAGTCACATTTGTAAGCCAACATGGTTTACCATTTATAACAAGATCTATCATTTCAATATCTTGTGTGCATGGTCGTGTTTTACGCAACGGAGCATCAACACTTCTCAGGCCTTTTGTATCATTGTGGACACAAACCACACGGGTACACGCTTACGCAAATACAAAGATCCTCCGTATTGCCTTAACAAACCGTCACGGGCTTGTCCTGTGAAGCGAGCACCTGTGAATCCCGGCACGTCACACGAGGGGGTGTGGTGCAACTCACACCCTTTCGTCTCCCCAGGACTGATGTTTACACACTGCACCAAGGAATCATTTTAATTTAAGGGTGATTTGACTTAGGTGAGGTCCAAGCCCAGGACTTGTTCAGAAATTTTCCACCCGGTGACTCAGGTCACCAGGTTCACAAACCGGGCACTACGGCGGCCTCGTCACCAGTGACCGCACAGTTGCTTCTGCCATATTAAATAAAATCTGGCTACTATATTCCAGCTTGATGAATGAACACTGTGGATTTGACTGCCATGTAATGAAGGTATTTTGACCTGTAGCAGGGCTACTGAGCGGATATAAAAATGTCACTGATAGAGCTTTCAGAAGAAGTTCTGAGAAATCTGCTTGGGCTTTTCGTTCCATCACACACTGCCGTCCCCCAAGGGTTTTAAAACTGACATTTATCCTCATGACACGAAGACGAGCGAGCGTAATCGAAAACAGAAAATTCGAAAGCTGAAGTTGTTTTACTACAATAGGTTAGAGAAAATGTTTTTTTAAGCGATCTACTTATGCATGGGGGGGGGGGGGGGGCACTGATCGCTTGAATTTGCTCTAGATCTGAAAATATTCGATGTACAGTATACGTAAACATATGCGTAATGTTTCGTTGGAAAAATTGAGTCACCAACATTGCACACGGTGGTCTGGTCTCGCAATGTCTTTGCCTTCTCTCTCTC